TACTGATTCAGTGTCATCAGCTATTGATTCATCGTCTATTGATTCAGTGTCATCGTCTATAGATTCATCGTCTATTGATTCAGTATCATCGTCTATTGCTTCAATGTCTCGGTCTATTGATTCAGTGTCATCATCTATTGATTCAGTATCATCAGTTATTGATTCAGTGTCATCATCTATTGAGTCAGTATCATCATCTATTGATTCAGTGTCATCATCTATTGAGTCAGTATCATCATCTATTGATTCAGTATCATCATCTATTGATTCAGTGTCATCATCTATTGAGTCAGTATCATCGTCTATTGATTCAGTGTAATCATCTATTGAGTCAGTATCATCGTCTAATGATTCAGTGTCATCGTCTATTGATTCAGTATCATCATCTTTTGATTCAGTATCTGTCTTCATCTGTTGATTAACTATATATTGACCCATGAAGATCCAGGTTGAGAATAAGTCTTCAGCAATCCATGCTTGCTGTTAGAGGCAACTATGCTTGTTTGTTTGTTTGTTTATAGTGTCAATAACATGGTACTATGTTTATGCTATGGAGCTCTTTATGCTATGGAGCTGTTTATCCTAAGTCAGTGCTTAAGTAACAAAGTGAGTGAGTTTGGTTGAACACTGTTTTGAACAGTATTTAGTTACATCACTGAGTGTCAACTTCAGTGGGAGAAAACTTTGTCTTGACATCCAATTTATAAACTCTTGAACCATATCAGCATACACAGCTGGTTAAAGTAAATAAGCCTGGCATTTTCACATAGAAGTCATCACCATGCATCCTCCTAAGCTCTAAATATTTTATTGATCTGTCAGTCTTTGCAAGAAAAAGGGATCAATCTTAACACTGAAATATTGGCATCCAGGTACCAGATAAATGTTTTGCGTACTGCACTGCGGCATCCAGAAAACAAAGCTTGGCATCCTGCGTACCAAAAACGGTTGGCACCCTCTTTCAATAGGAGCAAAAGAAATAATAGTTAAAATATTTTCTTATTTGTACAAATGCTCTATCTTTGATGGATGAGGGAAATAAAGTGACACAAATACAAAAATTTAACAATAAAATAACAGAAAAACATTATAGAGAGGAGCCTTCTCCAAGCTATATATTTTCCAACCTTATTATTCTTACTTCCCACTGATCTCATTGTCAGCTTCAGTAATAATACATGACCAATTCCATCATCATCTTCTTTCTTGTGAGTGAGTGAGTGAGTGAGTGAGATTTAATGCCACTTTGAACAGTATTCCAGTTATATCACAGCGTGTCAGCTTGATGTGGGAGGAAAGCCCAATGTGAGGCAGTTCTCAGACGTTTACCACTTTTGTGAAACCCACGAGCAGGGATATGGTGCTGACAAACCTAGAAAAGTAATCAGGATGAACCGGAACTCGAACTTACAATCTAAGGTTCCTGGCATGCCCAAGGGGCACAACTCTACAGAGCGAATTGCATAGTGCATCTTCCTAGAAAACATGTAATAATTGATTCAAACTGGACCCACACCAATAGAATAATGATTAGTGATTTGTTATTATTATTATTATTATTATTATTATTATTATTATTATTGACAGTAAATGAGTTTGTTTTTTTAACGCTTAACCTATTTCTGGTTGACAGAATACTTTTCCTTTTCAATTAATATTTTGGAGCCGGCAGATTTTAAAATCAGTCTGGCCTGAGTTCAATATTGTATTCCAAATAAGTCTGGCCTTTGTCAAGACGCCCACACAGCAAAATGTTGGTAAAGTTTATGTTAAAAATACTTGTGATGAATTCTATTCATGGTATGAAAACTAAGACTGATTAATATTTGGTTGGGGAATATTCCATATTCTCTACTCCATTTCCTGTTTCTTATAGAAATAATATAAATATGTTCTGTCAAATTCAGAAACTCTTTTCTAAAGTCCTCCAAGTAATAACTCTTGTTTCCATCATTTTCTTTTCCATACATATATAATACTCAAATTTTTTTATAGGGATATTAGTCATGTTAGATATATTTATATATATATACAGTTGACATTATTATTTTGAGAATAATCTGAGCGTATCAAGGAAAGATTACAACATCCCTATCAAAACTGGATTAAAGTACTCACGGAAATGAAAAAAAACTGTTTTTCTCAATTTAAAAATCGACACAAAGTGTTACGTAGCTGTAAATACGAAATAACAAAACAACTCGAAAAGTATTAGTCTGGATTTGCTAGTTTGATCTCAGTGAACAATACAAAATGTACTTTACAGGAGGTAATTTGTCGGCACTTTCAACATTCAAAAATAAAACTACCGTATTCGACGTAATAAGCGCCCAGGGCGCTCTCAAAATTAGAAATAGGGGGCTCTTATTAGAATATTATTGTTCACTTGCCAATATATTAGCAAATATCGCCATGGGCGCTTATAAGAGCGGGGCGCTTATTACGTCGAATACGGTAAGTCCAAATTGACATAGCAGAAACAGACTATAGGCATTATGAACCTGTTCTCACCTGTCGTCAAGGTGTCATAGGTCACCTTGATCTACTTACACCTGGTTATGCCCTGTTTCACAATAGTCTGTTTTATTCACATTTTTACACACTTTTACGTGTAAAAAGGCATAAAAACATTTGATACGCTGTATTTGTGCCACGGCCCAATTAGTACTAATTTAGTTGTTTGAATATTTACATATTTTGTATATTAACTGCAATAATTTAAGATCTGAGGTCGAAAAAACAGGTTTTTTTCATTTCCATGAGTACTTTAGTACAACATCATGCCCTTTAGGGTTAACATTATGTGTTTTAATTTGTCAGACATTTTAATTTGGAGGAGGTTTCAAATGTTTTTATTTCCAAGCATCATTGAAAACTTAAAAACACTTAAAAAATCTGAAAACACAGATCATCAACATTGAAAAATACAAATGTTATCAGCAACATTCCATAGGCATCTCAAACAGTGAATTTCTGCCAGCTTCCGACTCTATTCCCGATTCAAGAATGGACACAAGCCTGCGACAGGACCTGTGAAGATCCGGGGTAGAATAGGTCTTCACAACCCATGCTTGCCTTCAAAGGCAGCCACAGTAAATGCTTGTCATAAGAGGCGACTAACAGGATCGGATAGCCAGACTCTCTGACGTGGTTGATCCATGTCATTGTATCCCCATTGCATATATCGATGCTCATGATGTCAATCACTGGATTGTCTGGTCCAGAGTCGATTAGTTACAGACCGCCATCATAAAGCTGGAATATTGCTGAGTGCGGTGTTAAACAACAAACAAACATTTGACAGTATCAAACTTCTGAACATTCGTAAGTGAACTTACTTTAATTACAGGGCCTCTTGCTGCTGCCATATATTTGACCTGTTGTATTGCCTTGATACTCTTAATCTAATCATGTGTGTTTCAATATACCGTATTTGACGTAATAAGCACCCTGCTCTAATAAGAGACCAATATTAGACCCCAAATCGTCAGAAAGAATGTTACGTTCATAATTTCCCTTTTCAGGTTATGATAATTATACCTGGACAAAAGGACTGTCATCCCAGGTTGCATGTATGTTTCTCTTGTGTCAAGTGTATGCTATGTTTCCAAACAGGTCGTTCTGTTTCATTTCTGTGTGAAAACATTACTTCGCGTAAACAGATAAAAAGCATGCAAAAAAGCATGTGCATGCGCCATATGTTGACAGAACTGGGTTGTATTATTTTCAGTTAGGCTTAAGATTTTTTAATAGTTGTTTAGGTCTTCATGTCTGTCTGAGACAAAGACATGAATCTTGGGGTTCTATCAAGATACCACAAACAGTGAGTGTTTGGTGGACACACTTTACTTACTAGGCAAGATGGCGGAACACCCGAAAGTTGTGACGTCATACACATGACGTTATACAAATGACGTCATACACAAATGCTGCTAGTAGTGAGACTACTTGTCACAGTAGTGATTGTTAAAAGAAAGTTAGGAGTCACAAAGTTTTGTAGAAGTGAATTAAAATACCACAGCAATTGTTTAACCTTAGTTTAGAATGGTTGCCTGAAACCAAAACAAAACTTCTTAAATGACTTCGTGTTCTTTGCCTTTGGCACTGGTACTGATACTGCTGACCAATACCATTGTTAAAGCTTTGCAAAACTGTCTTCCATTCACTTACAACAAATTCAAAATAATAAGGCCTTAATACTTATCATTATTTGCATTGCATTTGTAGCAAGGCATGGAATCATCCCACAGATGACATCCTTACCTTGTCAGCTTGCTGACAGGGTTAACCTCTTTGTTCTTGTGGACAAGGCGTCCGACCTTGGATCAGAAGGTCAGTGGTTTGAATCACATCACAGGCCTCGAAAATTTTATGGCGGCTACATTTGCCCCCAAAATGGGTCTGAGCACATTTGCATTAAATTTGAGCAAAATTTGGCTCATATTCTACTATGTAGCCCGGGACATGCCTTCGGTTGAAAGGATAATATGCAGATGACATGATGTCATCCCACTATTGACATCCTTATCATGTCAGATTGCGGATTAGCTTAACCTCTTTGGTCACGGATAAAAGGCGTCCATCCTCAGATCAGAAGGTTCGTGGCTTGAATCCCATCATGGAACTCGAAAATTTTATGGTAGCTACACAAAGTTAAATGCTTTGACAAAATAATGTTTTTCCTGGTTTGCCCACCCTGGGTACGTCATGTCTGTATTTCTTTGACCCAGTCCTTACACATAAATCGACATTGTCACGTTCAAATCAGCATCAGCAGGGGCCGTATACATAAAAATTCTTAAGCGCTAAAGAAGTCCTATTTCTGAGAAAATTCTAAGAAATATCAAAAGTTAGTCTCAAATCTAAGAATTTTCTTAAGTCATATTCACAAAGACTTTCAGCACTAAAGTTCAGAGTACTCAAAAGGACTTTTTCTGACTCAAGAATTTAAGAATTTTCTTAAACCTTCCAAATGCTTGATGAGAGTTACTGCCACTTACCAGTCATGTTGCAGAAAGTGTTTGCAAATGGCCGTACAATCTTGAGCCCGCAACATGTCAGCCAGCCAGGCACAGGCAAGCCAAGGGATTTTCTGAAACATAATACAGCCTCAAATATAAATTTCTGCAATCTGATTATCATGATTATTAGACAAATCATTTGATGCATATTCTTATAAAATCACAGAATGTCTAGATTTTTATATACCCTCCCAAAGAAAGGGAGTTAAGTGACTATAAAAATCCAGTTTCAAAAGTATAGTAAGTTATTTCTCTTGCCTTGGAAAGATGTCAGTCTTGAAAAGGAATTAAGTATGCAGGTATCCGCTCTGCAAGTATTCACCCCATAAAATCAACTTTTCACGAGTTTCACAACCCCTGTAAAATAATGACACTTCTAATGGTTCTACCTCATTTTACATTATATATATTGTGTCATTAGCAAAATAGGTACCGTTTTTATGTCAGTAATCTCTATCTTTCATAAAGTTTGAGATAGCCCTGAACTTTCATCCTTAATATTTCAGTGGGGAACCAAGTTTACATATATCATCAAACCTTTGCCTTGCCAGTGCTTTATTTTCTTGTGGTGAAGTGGTTAAAAGTATGAAATTGTTGAAATATCACTGTCAGTAGACACCGAATGCACTTTTCAGCGAACATATTTCAGATTTTATGTCATATACATTAGTTTTTATGTTGTTATTTTACTAATGGTATTAGAATTTTTAAAAGAAACATCAGTTTCCTTACATGCATAACAGAAGAGTTAAATGCACTGATAATGAATGTTGTCAGCTACTGTACAGGGAGCAGTCAGTTGTAGTTTTATTTCATGTTGAATGAAAATATGTCTTTGATGTAACTGTCCTTGGTGTTACCTGAATCATGACAAAATGTCTTTGGTGTAACTTAATGCGTCCTTGGTGTAACTTAATGTGTCCTTGGTGTAACTTAATGTGTCTTTGGTGTAACTTAATGTGTCCTTGGTGTAACTTAATGTGTCTTTGGTGTAACTTAATGTGTCCTTGGTGTAACTTAATGTGTCTTTGGTGTAACTTAATGTGTCTTTGGTGTAACTTAATGTGTCCTTGGTGTAACTTAATGTGTCCTTGGTGTAACTTAATGTGTCTTTGGTGTAACTTAATGTGTCCTTGGTGTAACTTAATGTGTCTTTGGTGTAACTTAATGTGTCCTTGGTGTAACTTAATGTGTCTTTGGTGTAACTTAATGTGTCCTTGGTGTAATTTAATGTGTCCTTGGTGTAACTTAATGTGTCTTTGGTGTAACTTAATGTGTCCTTGGTGTAACTTAATATGTCCTTGGTGTAACTTAATGTGTCCTTGGTGTAACTTAATATGTCCTTGGTGTAACTTAATGTGTCCTTGGTGTAACTTAATATGTCCTTGGTGTAACTTAATGTGTCCTTGGTGTAACTTAATGTGTCCTTTGTGTAACTTTATGTGTCCTTGGTGTAACTTAATGTGTCCTTGGTGTAACTTAATATGTCCTTGGTGTAACTTAATATGTCATTGGTGTAACTTAATTTGTCCTTGGTGTAACTTAATATGTCCTTGGTGTAGGGCTGGGACGAGTCCAAATTTACTACCCGGGGACCCCACCCCCTATTACCCGACCCTACCAGGATACCCACTGCAAGTTTCAAGAGCCAGGCAAAATGTCTGATTGGTAATTGTTTTACTGCAGCCCTGGCTAAAACTATTTAGATACATGTATCAAACAATCAGATCATGCGTTCACTGAAGTTGACTGAAGCTTTATATTTACTCAAACATATACAAGTCAAAAGGTATGTGTGCATGGTCAGAAAGAAATGTGAACATTAGCGACTTGTAGTGTAACCACTGCGCTGTAGAGAGTTTTTGTTATTAAACAATATACATGTATCACGTGGCTAACCACGGGTCCGGGTAGTCCTGTGGGTACCCGGGTCCTACTCAGGACCCCCCGACCCGAGTACCCGAGTTACCCGTCCCAGCCCTACCTTGGTGTAACTTAATGTGTCCTTGGTGTAACTTAATATGTCCTTGGTGTAACTTAATATGTCCTTGTGTAACTTAATATGTCCTTGGTGTTACCACAAGTCAGCAATTATCAACTTAGAATGGGCAATGGCTAAACATGTCTTGTGACATTGAAATTACAACTCTTTGATCATATGAACACTTAAATTTGTATTGTTATAAAACATTCTAACTTAGGGTGAGATGAAGATTAATGTTTTGGTGTAACTACAAGTCAGCAAGTAATAACTGTAAAGATAGGGTTAATGGGTTAAACATTTCTTGTGCCATTGTAATTACAACTCTAACTCACATAAACACTTTAATTTATGAAAACACCCAAACTTAGGTCCCTTTAAATCACTAAATGTCTTTGGTGTTACCAGCAGTTAGCAGTATTAACTTCAAAGAAAACGTTGTGAAACAAAAATGACTGACACCATTGCAAATATGCATCATTTCCTACTGATAGATTATTGTGATGTGAAAGAAAAATCATCATGAGTAATGGTAATGTCTTTGGTGCTACCGCCTTGTCTTTGGTGTTACCAGAGGAAATTCTGAAAATGATTCAGGTAAACACACATTGCGTAGCATGATTTTCAACATGTACAAAGAACATGTTCAATAAAAACAGAATATTGAAAATATATCAATCATGTTGGTAATGTGACGGACACAGAGAAGAGTAAATTATCAATTTTTATTTTTAGGAGTGATTATCCGTGAGATAAAAGTGAGATACTTTTTTCTTTTCTAAGCAGAGGTAAAATATTAGTTTTACAATAATACACTCATCGAAATATTGTATTTATTTTTTATTTCTGCAAAAGATCGGTCACTCTAATAGTTACACCAAGGACAATAGATTTCCACTGATTCTTCAGTATACTTGAAATATTTCAAAATAATGTTTCCTTGAGTTGGCATAATTTACCCAACTATCTGTTAAGTTTAGATGTTTCTTGTTAAATCACTATAAGTTGGAATTTTCAAGTATTTATTTTTGTTTATTCAATCGGACCAAAAGGGGTACAAATTTTGATAATGACCCATTTACTCTGAAACTGAACAGCTTCAATATTATTGGTAAAATACAACTAACAACAGTTAAAAACCTTCCATGCATGTCAATCGAAGTTTTGAGGAGATATGGAGTATTTTGGAGCTTTTGAGACGAAAAAATTTTGAACTGCTCCACCCAAGTTTGAATGTTAATACTTTAAGCTGCAAAGAGTTATCTCCCCTGATTTCAGCATGTGCCTATGTCAATGCAGATAAATATCATAGATATTACAGTATTTTTTCAAACTTTACTTTCCCTAAAATTGTGCAAAATATGAAGAAAATGCAAGAGAGAAAAACACGGGATAAACCTTTCATCATGGATTTAAATTCAAGCATGATCTCACAGCTGACCATTTTGCAAAAGTGAATCAGTCATAAAATCTCTACGTTCCCCTTGCCCTCTATGTTTGTGTTTGTTTTTTGTTGTTTAACGCTGCACTCAGCAATATTCCAGCTATATGACGGCAGTCTGTAAATAACTGAGTCTGGACCAGTGATTGACATCATGAGCATCGATCTACGTAATTTAGATGCAGTGACATGAATCAACCAAGTCACCTAGCCTGACCACCTGAACCCGTTAATCGCCTCTTGCGACAAGCATGGGTGGCTGAACACCCAGAATCTTCACAGGACAATTATCCATGTATTAAATCATCACTCTGCTTCACCACCATAGCTTTGTTTCCAATACAGGTCAAATGGCACGACACTAAAAATAGATGCCCAATCAAATTGCAGTTATTTTTCATGATTAAAACAGGCAGTGATCTTACCAATACTTGGTTTGAATGTTAAATACCACCTCAAATACAACTGACATGTCTTACATCTGATGAACTCCCTTACTACACTAGAAACATCTACTACAGTTAACATTTCACTCATAACAGTCTTCTAACTTATACTCTTAACAGAGGGGTACACAAAGTACGTGATCTCGACTACCAGTTAGTTGTCAGACTTCCATTTTTGAGGAAGCTTAGGTGACTAAGTGGGTTAGGTCGCTGACATTGTGTGCTGGCAATTAGGTGCCTTACTTTGAAAGAGTGGGTTCAAATCCTGGATGGGACTTCACCTGGAAATGTGGTAGAACTTGTAGTCTACTAAGACAAAGTCTAACGCCACAAATAACATCTGTTACACATATAAACCAGCAAGGTGCCACTCCTACCTGTATTCCAGGTGTAAACCACCAACCAATGACAGCAAGGTGCCCCTCCTACCTGTATTCCAGGTGTAAACCATCAAACAATGACAGCAAGGTGCCCCTCCTACCTGTATTCCAGGTGTAAACCATCGAACAATGACAGCAAGGTGCCCCTCTTACCTGTATTCCAGGTGTAAACCATCAAACAATGACAGCAAGGTACCCTCCTGCCTGTAGTCCAGGTGTAAACCATCAAAAAATGACAGCAAGGCTCCCTCCTACCTGTATTCCAGGTGTAAACCATCAAACAATGACAGCAAGGTACCCTCCTACCTGTAGTCCAGGTGTAAACCATCAAACAATGACAGCAAGGTTCCCTCCTACCTGTATTCCAGGTGTAAACCATCAAACAATGACAGTAAGGTACCACTCCTACCTGTATTCCAGGTGTAAACCATCAAACAATGACAGCAAGGTACCCTCCTGCCTGTAGTCCAGCTGTAAACCATCAAACAATGACAGCAAGATTCCCTCCTACCTGTATTCCAGGTGTAAACCATCAAACAATGACAGCAAGGTTCCCTCCTACCTGTATTCCAGGTGTAAACCATCAAACAATGACAGCAAGGTGCCCCTCCTACCTGTATTCCAGATGTAAACCATCAAAGAATGACAGCAAGGTGCCCCTCTTACCTGTATTCCGGATGTAAACCATCAAAGAATGACAGCAAGGTGCCCCTCTTACCTGTATTCCGGGTGTAAACCATCAAACAATGACAGCAAGGTGCCCCTCTTACCTGTATTCCAGGTGTAAACCATCAAACAATGACAGCAAGGTGCCCCTCCTACCTGTATTCCAGGTGTAAACCATCAAACAATGACAGCAAGGTGCCCCTCTTACCTGTATTCAGGGTGTAAACCATCAAAGTCTAGGTTGAATGCAGAGGCCACATTCCCTGGTGTGGCCAGGGCCTCACAGCTGAGGACATCAAAGTCCTGGGGCAGCAGGGTGTCGGCATGCAGGAACAGGAGCAGGGAGCCGGTCGATGCCATTACCCCGGTTTGCTGCTGTATCCCCCGTCCTGGAACATTCACAGATGTACATTAGGATACCACAATCTATTTTCTTGCTTTACGAACAAACCCACAAATTTTGCAGAAGCACAACAAAAGCATACAATATGCATATCTAATTAAAAATATCATTCTTTAACATCTTTGCTCTTTTTACTTTTGTTTGAACATTTTAATTCTCCCCAAGTCAACTCTAACACTGTTTTCCTTTCATATAATTTTTAATTTTACCACATTGACTCTGTACACCAATAATAAATACACAAAATACATATTCTCAGGATATGACTTTTGAAAATCGGTTCAGGCAGGTGGGTCTCTGTTTTGTTGATTTCAGTTAAAGTTTTACCTGGATGTCAGAACATTTTTTTTTTGTCTTAATTCAGAAAAAACAAACCTCTTACTGTGACACAGGGGTGCCAGCGAACCTGGAATATTGTATAAGCCTTTTATTCCAAGCCAGCCATATCGCTGTGGTCTATTTGTAAAAGTTTTCTGAAAACTCTATGGGACTTAAGGGTAATTCTGGAAACTCTATGGGACTTAAGGGTAATTCTGGAAACTCTATGGGACTTAAGGGTAATTCTGAAAACTCTATGGGACTTAAGGGTAATTCTGGAATCTCTATGGGACTTAAGGGTAATTATGGAAACTCTATGGGACTTATGAGTAAATGAATAGAAAACATGCATTTCTATTTTTCATGCATTTCTATTTTTTTAAACAATTGTTTATAAAATGTGATATTTTGTCAACTGATATGTTGTTAGTTGGTTAGGGGTAATTATGGAAACTCTATGGGACTTATGAGTAAATGAATAGAAAACATGCATTTCTATTTTTCATGCATTTCTATTTTTTTAAACAATTGTTTATAAAATGTGATATTTTGTCAACTGATATGTTGTTAGTTGGTTAGGGTTAATTATGGAAACTCTATGGGACTTATGAATAAATGAATAGAAAACATGCATTTCTATTTTTCATGCATTTCTATTTTTTGAAACAATTGTTTATAAAATGGGATATTTTGTCAACTGATATGTTGTTAGTTGGTTAGTTTAAGTTTTATTTAGTCCCTGAAATGACATTTGTTAGAAAGTTTGCTGCAACAATGAGATGAAGACAGAGTCCATGTGCCAGTTCATTATAAGCAGAACACAGTTTGACCTAGTTCCAGCCTGAATATGGTACTGTGCCCATTTACAGTGGATAGACTCTGTTTATCAAATTCATATGCATAAGGTAGGTAATCGCAAAGTTGTGAAAATCATGGTGTGAGATGTAAAACAGGGAATCAATTGTAACCAATATTGTTCTTATTGTTTTGAACATGCATATGTTGGACAAAAATGCACCTTCCGCCATTTTGGTAAGGATGTGCACGAGGTCATTCCTTAGTAACTGTTTCTATGTTTTTCAGGCGCCATTTTTGTCGCCTTGCAAAGACATCAGGGGTTTGGGGGGCTTGACCCCCACTCAACAGTTTGAATTAAATGATTTTGTGAAATCTTGAATTACCATAGTAGATACAAACTACATTATTAGTAGCATCAAACAAACATGGCGGATTGGTGTCCGGTATAATGCATGTGTACCCATATGTTGATTACAGATTATGGGAAAATTATTTTATTGTAAATTTGATCACTAGGATCAACAGCATGCAAGATCAATACCAGGATCAAATGATCAATACCAAGAACAATAACAAGATTAAGTGATCAATACCAAGACCAATAACAAGATTAAGTGATCAACAGCTTGCAAGATCAATACCATGATCAAGTGATCATTACCACTATCAACATCAGGATCAGTTTCTGAGTGCTTCTGTTGTTGTTTGGTAGTCTTCCAGCGCAAGGCGATGCTGTTGTAAAGTTGAGATCACCAACCATGAGTTCATGATGCAGTCCCTGAAGACATTCCAGATCTAGGACTTGTCAGGCATTGAAAACCAGTATAAGGATCTTGTATTTCATTATTGCAGCGCCTTTTAACCAGTGAAGTTCTAGAAAACCAGAACTACATGCTGACATTTCTCATCTCCATGACAAGTATGGTGGCCGTGTTCTGGAGTTAGTCATGTGTATTCAAAGTTCACTACGTTTCTTTGCACTTCCTTAAGGGGTGGTCGGGTAGCCTAGTGGTTCAAGCGTTAGCTCGTCACGCGGAAGATCTGGGTTCGATTCCCGACATGGGTACAATGTGTGAAGCCCATTTCTGGTGTCCCCCGCCGTGATATTGCTGGAATATTGCTAAAAGCGGAGTAAAACCATACTCATTCACTCACTAATGATTATCACAGTAGCTGTAAATATGAAAACAAATACTCACCAGGTTTACTTGAAACAACCTTGACCTTTACAGGGGATGACCTTGCAAACTCCTGACAGATCTGAACTGTGTCATCTGAACTTCCTCCATCTGACACAACAATTTCCGCGATATTGTCCGTAGAGCTTACCCTCTGAAATAAATACATTCATAGTGTCGAGTGAGTGAGTGTGTTTGGCTTGACCTTCTTTGAACAGTATTTCAGATATATCACAGGTATACAGGTCTTAGAAATTTACCACTTTGGTGAAATCCAAGATCAGGTTGCTGACAAACCTAGATATAATCTGGGCAAACCGGGATTCGAATTCATGATAATAGGTGTCTGGCATGCCTAAGGGAGACAACTCTGCATGGCAGGTCTCCCATTACTTCAGTCTTTGATTCACAGCGTACAAGGGAACAATGGAATTGAAAATGAATTGATTCTATTGAATCTTATTGGGATTCTATTAGACTCCTATCAGGATCATTATCACATAAAAAGATTCATTGGTCAACTTCTTTTAGTGGCATTTAAAAGTTGGTGTGATGAAGAAAGACAAGTTCTGTGGATGAACAACTTCTTTATTACAATTAGTGCGACGTTTCGGTGTAGTTCCTTATAATAAAGAAGTTGACATCCATAAATATCATCTTTTTGTTCACAATCATTGCCATATTTTGAATGTAAAAATTAGCCTGTACATATGATGTCTAATTTCCGAGACTTATTTCATTAGAAAACTACTCCATGACGTTTTTATTTTTTAGAATTTAGAACATGCAGAATGTATCAGAAAATGCAGGTAAATTAACAATGTTAAAATAATTGCCAAGTGTTTCATTTTACATATTATACTTACATAAGAAACATATTTAAAATAGTCTTGCTGCAGTCCTTATCATTTCTTTAGTTGTTGTTTTTTTATTTCTCAACAAAGTCAAACATACCTATTGTTCTGAATACATTATCTCCTTTCATCAAATATGCTGCTTTCTTTCTAAATTCTACTATAGAAAACTTCTCACAGGCTTGAAAAAGCACTAATTTTGAATCTGCCTTCAAAAGGCCCTAAACTTCATTAAAAAGCCTTGTAAAAGCCTTGAATTTCTCAACCATGGTTAACTTGTTCTGCTGTTTACAAAATATATTAGACATACCTCTGTAATATATTTAACATCAAATAGCAAAAGATGTCCAAAATCTGATCGATAAATATCACTAAAACTGTTGAGTACCTGAGCACTTTAATAGTGTGGTCACATGTACAAATGGGGGCAAGAAATAAAGTAAAGATGCCTTCATAAATTTGTTAGGGATCACAGTGGGGCCTTACTTCCAGCCTTAAAAAGTGTTCTCATTAACTTGAAAAGGCCTTTAAAATTTTGTTGAGGTGAGGTGAAGTGGGGTTTAATAACACGCCACTTATATAGCAACATGCATGCACAAGTGTGTGTGGGGAGGGGTGCTGCTTGTGGCTACCAGTATTATAGTGCTATCCAATTGGGATACCATATTGTAGCTTAATAAGAATACCCCACTTCAACACTGTATACGGACTCCAAGCCGACCCTTATCCCCTTAATGCCATGTGCCAGGCAGGTTAACAAGAAGTACTCTTTTAAAATCACTTGGTATGATGTGGCTGGGGATCGCACCCCCAACCTTCACCTCTCACGGCAGATGCTGTATCCACTAGACCATGGAGGCAGTCTTTAAATTTTGTCCTTAAATGTGTGACTCAAATTTTGTAGAAACAATGTGTTGTGGAAAGACAACAACTGTATCAGCCAACAGCTTGAAATTGCTGATTCACTTCTACCATACGTCCATATTCAGGAACAGTAATTTGATGAAGATGGCACAGTTGTTCCATGTTCAGCAGAGAAACTCTATGATTTATGTATTGAAAGCATAAACAAGATAATAACTGTCACAAACACAAGCACCTATATATATGCAGTTACCATTATCAAGCAATTACCTAAACATATGACTTAATTATCACATATATTGGAGGTTTAATTTGTTTGTGTTTTTCTCACATATAAACATTGTATGGAATTTTCTTTTTTATTAACAAAACTGTAGATTGCTAAAGAAAACAGTCCAGGATTAGGGTAAGAAATGAGATACCAATTTTTCATGCAACATGAGCTTGTATTGTCAAATTAAGACTATCAGAAAAATACATATTTCTAATATTGAAAAGACCAACATTTTTCTATTTTCTTTCTTTTTGAATACTGTGCTTTAGGGATGCAACGATTCACCAAATATCGATGCAGCAAAAAAATATTCTCAGACGATATGATATGTGATACACATATACCTGTGTCGATTCATACTTAATCTGGTATCCTTTCACACATGGAACATTCAGAACAGCAATGGAATGACTAATATTCATAAATTTTATATTTATTAATTTATGCTATATCTACATTGTACAAAATGTTCATAGTTTTAGGATTTAAATTCTGTTCTAGTCCTTTACTAACCCAACAGGTGTTGACACTCAAGTTTTATCTGACATATAGTATTGATTGAAATGAGATATTTATTTTCAAATATGAAAAGTTTCAAGCCATTTTAATAGTGTTTATGCCTTATGGAAATGTATGAACAAAAATATCATTTATACTTTGCTGACTCATGCTAATTGCTTATCTCTCTCTTATCCGAAAGGTGTGGAAAATTCCTGAACTGTGTTCCCAGAAAAACAGAAAAAAACAGCTCACCCGAACACACCCCTTGAGCCACACATGCTCACTGGAACCATTTGACCAAGTCGTTAACTCTCCCATTCTCTTACCTTCCGTCCGAAACACAGGGGAAGAAGGAATGAGTGGGTGAACACTGTAACGTATGAGTCAGGATAAGTAGAAATGAGTGAGTGAGTAAGTTGGGTTTTTACGCCGCTTTTAACAGTATTCCAGTTATATTGCGGCGTGTCAGCTTAATGTGGGAGGAAAGCCCGAAGTGATGCAGGTCTTAGACGTTTACCACTTCGGTGAAACCCACGAGCACGGGTATGGTCCTGACAAACCTAGAAACATAATTGGGGCGAACCGGGATTCGAACCCACAATCATAGGTTTCTGGCGTGCCCAAGGGACGCAACTCTGCACAGCGAATCGCGGCGCCTTAGATGACTGGGCCCCCCGTGCCCCCAAGTAGAAATGATATTTTTACCTTACCCTGAAACATACTAACTGCTTGAATCCCACGGTAGGTGGCGGGTTCCACCTGTGTGTGTGTGATTCAGATCAAGATCTGTTCCAACAACCCCTTGAGAACATGCTAATCTTAATTCTTCATTATATCCATACGGGCTACCACCTCCTTCTTGTGAAAGAGAGGAGAAAATCTTATAGATTTTGTGGATTTAGTAAAGTTTGCTAAGGAAAATAATTTTTCCCGCTTACTTTAAACAATTATAGTGTTAAGAGAAGGTCATAAATTCAACATAATAGTTTTCACTCATGCTCTGAAGCACGCAGTAAAACAGGGACATGGACTCTTGGTCAGTGGTTACGGGACAGTAACCTGAAGTTAGCAAGTCTGTGTGATAGTGGGTGAATACTTGTAGGAAGGTCTGTCTTCCAGTGGGCACTGTCAGTTGTTGTGCAACTACTAATGGTCCAAACTGATCACTTCCAGCAACATTTTGTGTGGAGAAATCTCTGATATAATGATCAGCAAAGACAGTGTCTGATCTCCAAAAACAACCTTCCATAATCGTTTGGATGGAGCAGTTGCCATGAAGAGCTAGGATAGACACTATGGCTCTCACTTCACGCGGGTTGAATGCTGATGGTGAATCCAGTCCGGCTGCCTTGTAGGCTCTGAACATTACATCTCTCATCCAGCAGGAAATGGTTGTTCTGGAGACTTCTGCTGAACTATTCCTGGTTAACAGAATGGACAATCTCATTAAAATCAGATCTTAGTTCTCGCTACAGAACTGAGGACATCCTATTACGGGTCACGTCAGACCGACCTTGCGCGAACTTTGACCAACCAATGCAATGACCAATCAGAAGGCAGCTTTCTCGTGCTTAACGGCACTTATTTCAAATTGGCAACTATGCTTCGAAACATATTTTGACAAATTCTTGATTACACATTTGAAACCTGAACAAAAGAACATTCTGGAATGGCTAACAGATGGTCTAGATTGTATGGATTCAGTCGTTAACCCCGTTACTTTCGCTCGGAGCTAAAGTTTTCAAGGTTGCATGATTAGAAATCACATTCCGACTGTCACTTTCATAATCTGATAAGCGATGCTCTGATTGGTCGGATGAAAGGTCGTTCTGACGTGACCCCTAATGGGATGTCTTCAGATCTTTGTTTAGCAGTAGCGAGAACTGAGGTCTGATTTTAATGAGATTGCAGAATGGAAGTCTTCTTAGTCCCTATCTTCTGGAACTTGTTGTCTGGTGGTACATACGTAATACACGAACTGGGCATAACGACAAATCTTCAGCGTCCTCTGATCCCAAGATGGATGAGAGTGGAGGAACGTGAAACTGATGTTTAGTGATGAAATCCCATCTAAGTCTGAGATGCGCCATGCATGTTCGCCACTGTCGAATCTTGAACGGGAGAAATCAATCGCTTCTATTTCTGACATCCTGGCTGCCGTGGCTAGGGCCAGTAGAAATAATGTCTTCTGGGTCAGATGTTCAAAGTGAGCTTGTCGTAGAAGTTCATAAGCATTACAGGTGAGATATTTAAGCACCACATTCAAATGCCAGGCTGATCAAGGCTCTGAATTTCATTTGTTTATCTTCAAGCCTGTATGATCTCAGAAAGGCTATCAATTTTGAAACATTCATTGGTGAGTTTGATTCCAAAACCCAGGGTTAAAACAGAGCTGATAGCTGATAGATAGGTGATTAAGTAGTGGCTTTAACTGCTGTGAACCCCTTGGATCTCGCAAACTGGCCAAAACTCTTGACCAATTGTTTGGTACAGATACATCGAAGCAGTGATGTGAACAAATTATTACATATGATGAATAAAGGTCAGAATAATGTAATCTGAGCAAAAACAATTGCAAAAAGAAGTTTATTTTCATTGGATGGTTCGGATGACCGACGACAGACTCAGTTGGCACGATAATGAGAGTGTGACAAGTCACCAGCTTTGTCATTTGGTTCTGGTGCGTATGAGTGGTTCAAAGGGTGCGTTCGGATGAGCTGTTATTTTCTGGGAAAACATTTCAGGAAGTTTCCACTCCCTTTCAGAAAAGAGAGAGATAAGTAAATATTACGAGTCAGGATAAGGTAAAATTAGAAACATTCACATAAGGTGATATAAGGTGTCATTCTGGTTTTAACAATGTGTTCTTTATCTTGTTATAACAATGTCATTCTGGTTATATCAATGTGTCACTCTGGTTATAACAATATGTCGCTTTCTGGTCATAACAATGTGCTCCTTTTTGTCATAACAATGTGTCACTGGTTATAACAATGTGCTTCTTATCTTCTATAACACAGTCACTCTGGATATAACTATGTGTCTCTCTAGTCTCATTATATTCCAGAAAGCTGGTGCTACTATTAGACTATGATTGTAAGCGTAAATCCATAACATAGTGTCATGTCATCACTTCGGATTAAATGGCAGGCATTTATCTAGGATTCCAAACTAAAAGCCCTATGCAGGCAAATCTGGAAACAATCGTTATTTTGTTCAAAACTGGGAATTGTTTGAATTTTCTATTTTTTTAAATCGAGAAGTACATTAACATTGCATTCAATAACATAAATCCAAGCATCAAAACCTTGACGTCTTTGTCATATTTCTTCACCATGAAATTGCATCTTCCCGAGGCAAGAGAGTTAACTGGCTTTAAAAGTCCAGTTTCCACCCTTGCCGAACTAGGCTGGAATTATTGGGCTTGATCGTAGTGCCATCAGTGGCTATTACCAGTTATGTCCCTTCTAAGCCTCTCCTATGGACCAATCAGATTCCACCTCTCGTATCACTTGCGTTTGCTTCACACAAAATGGTGGCGCCCAGTCAGGACGATCTGATCGATAATCAAGATCTATTTTGTGATGAAACGGGTCTTACATCGCGAAATGCATCAAATCACGTGAGCACCTTGATTAAAAACATGAAAAGATTTGGAAAATATCTGCTGACAACGAGTTGGCGGTGCACATGCTTTGCAAATCCTGCAATCGATCGAAATCGGCCCGACAGTTTACGACCCGGATTTTGATTTCGGTGCGCGATTTTAATTGGACTATGCATTGACTAGTTAGTACAGCCAAAATGTAACTCCATAATACCAGCCTAGTTGGCAAGGGTGGAAACTGGACTTTTATAGTCAGTTAACTCTCTTGCCTCGGGAAGATGTGAAACTGCCTCTTCAAATCCATCACAATAAAACTGACATGAACTGCAGGATTGTTTATTCAAATCTGGTAATTTTCTTCAGACTTAGGAGCAAATATCAGCCCCTGAGCAGGTCTATAGAAATGCTTGAATGGTCATAACACTACTAACAGTCAAACAGTTGAGAACATTACCCTCAGCAAATCCCGGAGAGTGCGAGCAATGTTATCAGCCTCGTTATATGTTGGGATGATGACGCTCCAGTGTGGATGTTTCAGCTCCGAGCGTGGCACTCCAACTTTGGCCTCCAGAACTGGTAAATCTTCAGGATAATCCTGAAAATATCCACAGTTAAATCACTCAAAAAACCTCCTGTTGGTTCATGTGGGGGCTGAACGTTGATCACCAATGCGATGTGAGTGAACACTTTGACCACTCAGCCGTTCTCTACGCCAGAACTGCTGAGGTGTCAGTTATCAACATTAATCACAGACAGACTGAGGCAACAAAAGCATGCTATGGAGTAGTCATAATGGTGCACATGGTATTATACTCAGATATTCTTTATGAAGAACAAAAAATAATTTCAAATGTCTTTGTTATCCCCCATGTGCCAACATATATTTTTCACTAAAAATTTCAAACCAAGTGTTATTCTGAGATTCAACCCCAATCAAGGGTGTCTGTAACATCTGTATGAAGCACCATGGCTCAGCAAGGTGAGTGCATGAGACAGTCGGGCAACCCTTGACCCCCCAGTTGGATAAGACCTCAAGGAATATTAAATATGAAGCTAAAATGTTTGTAAATTTGGTGCTTAACACCGCTTTATTCCAGCTATATGACGTCAATACATAAATAATGGAGACTGGATCAGACAATCCAGTGACTGACATCATGAGCATGGATTCATGCAATTTGGATTAAATAACATGACATCAACCAAGTTACCGTGTCTGACCAGCTGATCCATTCAGTCGCCTCCTACCACAAACAACATATATACAGGTACATACCAGGTTGCTGGGATCCATAGTATTGACTCGAATCCCCAGTGGTCTAGAGAATTATACCGGTACATACCAGGTTGCTGGGATCCAAAGTATTGACTCGAATCCCCAGTGGTCTAGAGAATTATACCGGTACATACCAGGTTGCTGGGATCCAAAGTATTGACTCGAATCCCCAGTGGTCTAGAGAATTATACGGGTACATACCAGGTTGCTGGGATCCATAGTATTGACTCGAATCCCCAGTGGTCTAGAGAATTATACCGGTACATACCAGGTTGCTGGGATCCATAGTATTGACTCGAATCCCCAGTGGTCTAGAGAATTATACCGGTACATACCAGGTTGCTGGGATCCATAGTATTGACTCGAATCCCCAGTGGTCTAGAGAATTATACCGGTACATACCAGGTTGCTGGGATCCATAGTATTGACTCGAATCCCCAGTGGTCTAGAGAATTATACGGGTACATACCAGGTTGCTGGGATCCATAGTATTGACTCGAATCCCCAGTGGTCTAGAGAATTATACGGGTACATACCAGGTTGCTGGGATCCATAGTATTGACTCGAATCCCCAGTGGTCTAGAGAATTATACGGGTACATACCAGGTTGCTGGGATCCATAGTATTGACTCGAATCCCCAGTGGTCTAGAGAATTATACCGGTACATACCAGGTTGCTGGGATCCAAAGTATTGACTCGAATCCCCAGTGGTCTAGAGAATTATACGGATACATACCAGGTTGCTGGGATCCATAGTATTGACTCGAATCCCCAGTGGTCTAGAGAATTATACCGGTACATACCAGGTTGCTGGGATCCATAGTATTGACTCGAATCCCCAGTGGTCTAGAGAATTATACGGGTACATACCAGGTTGCTGGGATCCATAGTATTGACTCGAATCCCCAGTGGTCTAGAGAATTATACCGGTACATACCAGGTTGCTGGGATCCATAGTATTGACTCGAATCCCCAGTGGTCTAGAGAATGGGATTTTATTTACATAACATATGCAAATATTTTCACTGAAACAAAATATTGGTGCAACTTTACAGTCAATCAACACTTGCTACAGTGATAGAGTTGAGATTAATGCCGCGTTAAACAGTATTCCAGTGATATAATGGCGTGTCAGCTTGCTGTGGGAGGGAATTCCAAAGTGACGCATGTCTTGAGACATTTACCACTTTGGTTAAACCCACGAGCATGGGTATGGTGCTGACAAACCCAGAAACAAAATTGGGGAGAACTAGAATTAGACCATAGGTTTCTGCCTCGCCTAAGGGATGCAACTCCGCACTGAGAATTGCAGTGCCCTATGAACAGGGCAGGATGGAAATGAGTGGTTTCATGTACTGATGATTTCACCGGTTACTCCATAGTTTAAGACAACAACTCACCACATCATTGAGGACTGTTGGGAGCAGGTGTACCTTCAGGTTGAGACGACGGCATGCTACCGCCTGCTGCTGAAACACTTCCTCACTGCCCCATTTGATTCCCTTGAACAATTCATCTATGGAAACATATAATAGTCATACATTTCCTGTCTAGGTACATCAGCAAATACAACCCTAGTTTCATCAGGGGAACCCCACGTTTTCCTAGAAGATTTCACAAATGGTGTGTTGTCTGATAGGAATCTATGGAAAAAAAACACTCTAAGCATGTAAACTTTTACATATTTTCTTTTACTGTTATGTTTATGTATCAAAACTTTAAAAAGTGACAAAAGTAAACATTCACAAAAACATATTCATGAATCACTGGTTGTCTGACCGAGACTCGAATTAAAAAAATAGACACACTCAAACACTTTCATTTGAAGATGACTTATTTCTTAGTGCTTCTTCGTCCATACAGCCCTAGTGACAAAGCAGCAAAATTAGAGGCTTGAGGTAGAGTTTGTATCTAAGAGACAAAAGTCTACATTATTTCTGGACTTCTATTTTAATTTAATATTTTTTTTAAATTTTAATTCACACCTGGAACAGTTTAAAGCTTTAACATTTAATTAATTTTTGATTTTTGCCTTTAACCCTCACTCAGCAATAATCCAGCTATATCAGAGAGGCCTGTAAGAATGGACAACATAAACTAGTGATTGATATTACAAGTAACACTCCACACCATCAGAGTATAGTGAACCTCGTCTGACCACCCACACTAACTGAGTTGCCACCTAAGACAAGCTATAGAGTGCTGGAGACTAATTATAGCCTGGGCTGTTGCTTGACATAAATAAAAGTCATAAAAGTGTTGTTGTCAGCCCTACTGAACATGTGAGGTGTAGCAGTCGATACACTTACGATTTAAACAAAGAACACCATGGCAACAGGCCAATGGACATTTAATATGTAGTCTTTGCTTCTTAATAATGACAAACAGACTTGGGATGGTCCAGATAATGTTTAATGTATTAGACATGCATGGTCAATCACCATATTACATTCCCAAGATGCATAGCGCTCGGGAACGATTATTGTCATCCGCTCTAGGGAGCATACATTATTATGGAATAAATGGAGGCAGATAAATGAATGCTACATAATAGCTTACTTGTTACAGGTCTTCAGCAACCCATTCTTGTTGTCAAAGGCGACTATGCTTGTCGTAAGAGGCAACTAACAGGATCGGGTGTCAGGCTTGCTCATTTGACTGATGCATGTCACTGTATCCCAATTGCGTGGATCGATGCTCATGATGTCAATCAATGGATTGTCTGGTCCAGACTCAATAACTTACAGACCGCCATCATATAGCTGGAATATTGCTGAGTGCAGCGTTAAACAACAAACAAACAAACAAACAAACTTGTTACATGCCAGTGAACTCTTGAAGTTTGCAGCCGAGTGAATGTTTCACATGTCAAAGAGAGAGTGCTTTTTATTTCAGTTCCCAATCACTCATAAGTGATGAATATAACAGTTAACATTCTCTCTCATGCCTCAATAATACCCATTTTCATCTTTCCCAATTACAAATATAGATGCTTATTGAACAGACCCGCAGACAACATGGACAAGGCACAGTGTCTCTTTTTCTGTTAAGGATAATCCCATCTTCAGCCTTGCGCATCTGATAATGTACCTACCAACAAGTCCCTTGCAGCTGTCTTGCATTCCTATGAGATAGTATCCCCCATCTTCTGCCTTGCCCAGAACGACGTCTGTGCTGGGAGAATGCAGTAGTGTCATGGCTTCTTTCAGGATGTCGGTGGTGATTCCTGGGATGTCACTCCCTGAATAAAACAGAACACTTAATTGTACACCAGCGCCATTACAGGTATGCATGGGTTAGATGGGAGTGAGAGTTCTCTCCCTTGCATAACTCTTATTGTGTTGAGGTGCGTTTCCTTTCTTCTTCCTGTTGCCTCCTTCTGAAATAAACACGTGTTTTATGCAATCACTGTGTCGGGTCGTTGGAAGATTAGAGGGTGTTATATCTTAACTGCTGCAGTTGTTGCCTGGACAACAGAACATTTCATGTCTATGTACCTGTTGTTGCCTGGACAATGAAACTATAGGGCTGAAACGAGTCCAAATTTACTACCCAGGTACCCAACCCTCTATTAACCCGACCCTACCCGGATACCCGCAGTAGGTCTCAAGAGTTGGGTATAAAAGGTCCGAATGGTAATTGTTTTTCCGGATCCAGACAAAAAGTATTCAGATAGACATATAAAACGATCTGGTCATGCATACATAGACTAACATTTAGTCTCTGAAATCTTATATTACACAATATCCTTCTTGACTCTAAAAATAATAAAAATTCCCTATGCTGATAGAGCTAGCTTGAGCTGGCTAGACTTGCTTTTGTATGCATTTCTAGATTATTATTTTTTCATAAAATAAATATATTCCACGGTCATGGTGTGGAATAGAGCTAGCTTGAGCTGGCTAGACTTGCTTTTGTATGCATTTCTAGATTATTAGTTTTTCATAAAATAAATATATTCCACGGTCATGGTGCAGGACTAATGCATACACTGAAGCTCTCTCTATGTTTAAACATAAAAAAGTCAGAAGGAATGCGTGCATAGGCAGAAAGAAATACAAACATTAGTGACGGGTAGTGTAACCGTGGAATTTTAGTAATTTTTTTCTCATTAAACAATATCATATGACCAACCACAGGTCCGGGTAATCCTTTGGGTACCCGGGTCCTACTCAGGACCCATCTGACCCGAGCACCCACATTACCCATCCCAGCCCTAAATGAAACACTGGACAACAGAACATTTCATGTCCATACCTGTTGTTGCATGGACAACAGAACATTTCATGTCCATACCTGTTGTTGTCTGGGCAACAGAACATTTCATGCCTATACCTGTTGTTGAATGGACAACAGAACATTTCATGTCTATATCTGTTGTTGCCTGGACAACAGAACATTTCATGTCTATACCTCTTGTTGCCTGGACAACAGAACATTTCATGTCTATACCTCTTGTTGTCTGGACAACAGGACATTTCATGTCTATACCTCTTGTTGCCTGGACAACAGAACATTTCATGTCTATACCTCTTGTTGCCTGGACAACAGAACATTTCATGCCTATATCTCTTGTTGCCAGGACAACAGAACATTTCATGCCTATACCTGTTGTTGCCTGGACAACAGACTTAGACTCTCTAACTAACTCTGCCCAAATATTCTCAAGTAACCTACCAATAACAATGGTGTAAGTGTGGTTCTGTGAGAAGCTCTCACGGAAAGCGTATGCCAGCTTCTCGCCAAGACACAGACCCGGCATTTGGGGAGACCATGAGACATCCATCTTGGCAAATCTCCGCTGCAGCCATCGGTCCATCTGAGGCTCCGTGGCTCCGCTGTAAGAGACCGTCACATGGGGCGCTGGGGAGTCACCATTTGATTGGAACTTTGTCAGTTCACTAAAGAGGTGCTCGCTCTGAAAGAGAATGGTTTGACAATTGTTTCATGGAAGTCCATTAATTACTACCGTCATTATGAAAAGAGGACATCAGATCTGATTGCTGAACACTTGAATAAATACTAGGCCATACAACAACACCAGAAGTGGCTGTTCAGGAGAAACTCATTCTCATTATCGCCAAAGGATACCATATTCGCTGTAATCACTGGTAATGAGACCCAGGTGCTTAGGAAATTTTAAAAGGGGGAGAGCATTTTATTTAATCCATTCACAACAAGATAGCTTTTTATTCAGAAATTGAGCAGTAGTGTTTCAATGTCATTGAAACTAAAACTACTTGCAATCTCATTAAAATCAGATCTTAGTTCTCCCTATCGCTAAACAAAGATCTGAGGACATCCCATTAAGGGTCACGTCAGAACGACCTTTCATCCGACCAATCAGAGCGTCGCTTACCAGATCATGAAAGTGACAGTCGGAATGTGTTTTCTAATCATGCAACCACAAAAACGTTAACACGGGGTATTCCGAACAACAGTTATGGGTTTTATGATTATATCCATACAATCTAGGCCATCTATAAGCCATTCCAGAATGTTCTTCCTGTCAGTTTTAATTTTTTTAATCGAGAATATGTCAAAATGTTGCTAATGTCGATTTCTTGTCAGTCATTTCATTGGTCGGTCAAAATTTGCGAAAGGTCGTTCTGACGTGACCCGTAATGGGCATGATGGGATGTCCTCAGATCTTTGTTCAGCAGTAGCGAGAACTACGATCTGATTTTAATGAGATTGAAACTACTTGGCAATAATATACACCTTCTGTGTTGTGGTTTTCGGTAAAAATCTGTTACATACACAACAAAATATGTACTGTCATGTAAATGGTTCAGTCTAGGCCAGAGGCGCTAGAAGTTGGTAAGTGCTCTCAATATGATGAATACAGTATTTGTGACAACCATGAGACGAGGGACCTTTTGAGTGAAAAATCCCATTTTGACTTCTTATTATATTTTGAAACTAAAATTTTGATATGCTTCAATTCAAATATATTACAGAGAGACATGGCATTAAACCTTTGGACTCATTTTCAGCAAAGCCCCGTTTACAGACTAATGACATAGCATAGCCCTAGCAAAATGTATTTATGTACACGTATTAAACAATCTGGTCATTCATACACTGAAGTTGAATTAAGTTATATCTTTATTCAACCAAATCAAAAATCAGAAGGAATGGGTGTATAGTCAGAAAGAAACGCGAACATGAGTGACTTGTAGTGTAACCATAGAGTTCTAGATACTTTTTGTCATTAAACAATATCTCACATGACCATGATGACTAACCACAGATCCGAGTAGTCCTGTGGGTACCCGGGTCCTACTCAGTACCCACCCAAACCGGGTACCCGAGTTACCCGTCCCAGCCCTAGTAACTTCGCATTCTTTCATAAAAGTTAAACAGTAAACTTCAAGGACATTTAGCAAATCTTCATCATAATTATCATGATCAAATCAACATTCTAACATGCATTGGGAACGTACTCAACCTGGATTGGTCATTCAGAGGTATCAAATCACAATAACCACCTCCGTTTAAAACAGCTGATTTAATGACTGCATCACCATGGAATATAATATCAATAGAAAAGTTCTTTTTTCTCAGTCATTGTCGATAAGCATTTCTAAATATTTATATGTACAATTACAGGTCATGAACTGCAGACTTGTGGTAACAACAATATTCAATCTCATTAAAATCTGATCTTAGTTCTCGCTACCGCTAAACAAAGATCTGAGGACATCCCATTAGGGGTCACGTCAGAAGGACCTTTCATCCGACCAATCAGAGCGTCGCTTACCAGAACATGAAAGTGACAGGCGGAATTTGATTTCTCATCATGCAGCCTCGAAAACTTTAAAATGGGGTATTCCGAGTGATAGCTACAGGCTTAACGACTGAATCTATACAATCTCGACCATATATTAGCCATTCGAGAATGTTCTTTTGTTCAGGTTTCAAATTTTTAAGCGAGAATTTGTCAAAATATGTTTCGAAGCATAGTCGCCGATTTGAAATTAGTGCTGTAAAGCACGAGAAAGCTGCCTTCTGAGTAATTCCAGTAATTCAGTAATTCCATTGGTCGGTCAGAGTTCGCAAAAGGTCGGTCTGACGTGACCTGTAATGGGATGTCCTTAGATCTTTGTTTAGGGGCAGCGAGAACTAAGATCTGATTTTAATGAGATTGCAACAATATTCAAAAGGAGTGTGGCAACACATTTTGTGCAGAAAAATTGATAAAAGTCAACTGAAAGAGGATATTACAAGTTTGGAAGACATCAGAAGAGAGCTTAAAATTTGGCACTTTTCTACAGTCAACTCTCACATCAAATTTTCTGCTCACAACGAGCGGTGTGGCATCATAATAGAAATGTATTATCGTGCAGAGTAGAACTAAACCTTGGAATTCTTGTGCACTTTTCTTTCAGGCTTCCATTATTCATTAATTGGTTTAAAAATGGTTTGGCCTAATATTCAATGTAGGTGGTCAGAAATTATTGTTTCTAAATTCTAATTTCCAGGTTTGTACTGCTACTAATACTACTAATGAATGAAAAACAATTTCATAGGTGACACCATCATAGAAGTATGATTTATGAAACAATTCCAAAAGATAATATATTGGGCTTTTTGTTACAAAGATTTTTATGCGTTAATCAGCATTTCTCAAGGCATTTCACCCAATTATAAGACAGAACCAGCTCGGTTGTTTTTGTCACAGTTCATTTTATTTTTTTCTAATTTCAGTTGGATTTTCTGGCGGTCATTCTCGTTAACCAAAAACATAAAGGCCTTACTGCTTCCCACATCTATGCCAGCCACATATGCAAGTAAAGCATACAGTCCAGTCTTGTTAATCCGACACTCGTTAATCCGACAATCGGCTTTATCCGACACTAATGATGGGAACCAATTAAATCAGTGCTATTTAGACCCGTTAATCCGACAGTCTCGCACTCCGACTCCGACACACCTAATTGGCAACGAATTGCTGAAATCACTCATTAATCAGTCTCGTTAATCCAACACAGTGATCAGCGTACTCCGTGGTCATCTGCCCGCGAGTAAACAGCCAGTGTTTTGATGCGAGGCGAGTCGGCTGGTAGCTGCATATTACAAAGCTGCAGAGATAAACTTGCTTAACAATAAACAATTAAAGCTTTAAATAAAGAAAACAGGATAATTCCCATGCTTAGATTACCTCAATCTTATTAAAATCAGATACAAGTTCTCGCTATCGACGAGGCCATCCCATTACAAGTCACGTCAGAACAACCTTTTGCGAACTATGACTAAATTTCGTTTATCCGACATACTCGTTAATCCGACACAATCATATGCAACCATCGATGTCGGATTAACGGGACTTGACTGTATATTGATGTAAAAACTAATAATGTACAAGCACAAAAAGTGCCATTATTTGTTTTAATACTATTATCTGTATTTCCTGAATTGAAATGAACATTCAAAACAATGGACTAAACCCATGACGTTTCACTTAATATCTTCACTAACCCAAAAAAGTTTTGTCATGGTAGAATCTCTAAATACCGTATTCGACGTAATAAGCGCACAGGGCGCTCTCAAAATTAGAAACATGAGGCTCCTATTAGAATATTATTTCGGTAGAAAAAACATAAATTTCGTGGTTTATGCTGACCGCCTGAAATGTTTATATAGGACATATATATTTTTCCAGAATTTAATTGCCTATAAGTAAGGGTGCATATGACACACGAGTGTGTATTATACGCGAATAAATAAGTCTTGTGTACATTGATCAATCCGAAAGGGTGCTAATTGGGATTGTTCATTAGCCATTATATTAGCAAATATCGCCGTGGGCGCTTATTAGAGCGGGGCGCTTATTACGTCGAATACGATAATTCACTTTATACTTGATAGAATGACTTACCATATATCGCTGAGCTCTCGCTGCCCCACCTGGCCCCAGTTCCGACACCAGTCTTGTCTTGGTGGCACCAGGTGTTGGATAACGACTGAAGACAACTATATTAGTCCTGGACTTCTTCTTGCGCGTGCTGAACATGAGGTACATGGACATCAGCAGCGCACAGCCAGCCCCTGCTCCCAGGCTTGTCCTGGCCCACCGAGGCAGTGCCTCAGGCATGTTAACAATGTTCTCACTGTCTGGAGAAAAAAAGAATGAGTGAGTAGCTTTAAAGAGAAGTTTCTCTTAAACGGCAACAATTGACCAATTAATTAAGGTAATAACTCAAATTTAAAGCCAACAGTCAACAGATTTCAGATTGACATTTGTTTTTCAATGAGAAAAAATACTTGTTATAATATACTCAGATTATGGACCCTTAAATGCTACTTTCAGACATATATCTTACAGCATTACAGTGTAAAAGGTACGGAACCTGCCAGGTTGCAATGAGCTGACTATCAAGACATGATCCACATCACTTCTGTCTGTGACCATTTAATTGATACTTGCATATAATTACTTAGGAGTGAAATCACACCAATGTCATAGATATGTTCTCTAGCTTTTGCAACTTTTCTCCATTTTTATAATAGTGATTGACCTCAGGCTGTCAAATAGAAAAAGTGTACATAGCTACAAATATTTACAACAGATGTCTGTGTACAACAATACAACAAATACAGATCTAGGTTGTTTTCTCTTGAAAAGTTGTCTCTCAAAGTATGTCTAAAGATCAAAGTCCAAAAAACACTTAGAGTGACAATAATCAGTCGCATATATTGGTACCTGACATTAGAAAGTGTGATTAGTATACAGATTGGTTTGTATATAGTTGACACATTCTCCTTCATCTATGTAGAGGGACAGGTGAGTATATACCTTGGTATCGGTGAACTTCGATCAACAGGTACGCGAAAACTCTAAACTACGTTGTCTGATATTCATCCGTACAAAACTTAAAGCACAACATGCACTGTGCGGAGCTTGTACAAATCGCATGAAAACATATCACACGTGATATTCTATTTTTAGAACTCGTTGATATAAGCGACACACTAATTTCAATGAAATTAGGATCGAACAAGAACCAAGGTAGTCGTATTTGTCTCAGTAAATAGTAAAGCAAGATAAAATACCTAGTCTAACCTTCAGGGTGTTACAAAACAAACACATATATTTGTCTGTGTCAGTGGCGACTGTTTGACAACATTGGTCAGAGGTCAACGCATACGCTCGGAATTTGGGACCTGTTTTGTTTCAGAAATAACGATTTCGAGCGTTTGAGACAGTCCCTGTTGCTGCTTACACCTGAAGGATGGACGTCGTAGCACTTTACGACAGCTGTCGAGTTGGAGATTTGCAAAAAGTGAAGTATGTTGACATTTCATTTTAGTCCGTGATGTTCAGCCGTGCATGCACTGCTCTTGGTCTCGTTCATTTGAACAACAGTCAATGCGCATAATAGGACTGCACAGTCAGCTCACTTATTGTGCACAAGTGACTTCCTCGTGATAACGTCTATCTTTACACCACCAATCCATCAGCTTTTAATCTTAAACATGTGCTGTATTCAATGAACACTTGTGAAATTTGGCTTTCGAATGCACTGTTAAAATTTGTATAATTACAGTCAATGCCTTTCAACATGCGTGTGTATATCAGGGTTCTGAAGCTCAGTTAGTAAAGAACAACTGACAGTACTGACGTGGAAAACTAAGTTTGAGTTTCTGAGTTAATTTTTGTGTTTAGAACCAGAGACCATATAATAGAGGGACGGCCCTCCCCAACAGTTTATCATAAACCATCAGCGCTACGGTCTGGCATGTAACTGATACACCCCGACACCCTGCTGTTAACCTCCCTGTACCGCTGCAGATGCGCAATAGATGCGCAGACATTCACGACTGACCATTCTGGTAACTAGTAAACAATATTATATAATATCCGGGGTAAGAGTTAATTCCCTTAGCCGAGATTTCTCCGACTACGACCAGCGACAATCCAATAAAAGGACGTCTCTTAGCGGATTACAAAGATTTTTTTATGATATCTCTCATAAGCACATGTCAGTTGGCTGCAAATCATTTGCTGAACATGTATGTCTTCCGGGACATTTAATTCAATTTACATCCGCCACAGCCATGGACGACTTCATTCACTCGGACGATTTCGTCTTGGACCTAGATATGCCACTTGAAGAAATACCTCTCTTCGACCAGGGGTGGGTTTCGGATGACTCTTGGTCTAAATAGAACGACAGTGATGTTTCCGCTACCAAGCTGTTGGTAAATACCTCCCAAAAAGTTTCACTCAAAGAAAACGATAGGAAATGAAAATATGACGTCTGTCCACAAGCGTAAGTTTTCGAGGGCGTGTGAAGAAAAAGCCGTTCCGATATTAAAAGTATTTTATAACGTATTCTATTTGTTTTAAAAATTAGTTAATATATCTCATTTTATGCTGCAATTGTTAACTATTATAAACAAACAAATATACCAAATCTTCTACGAACGCCACAGAAAACTCCGGTAAATTGCACAGGAACTCAGGAAGTGTAAATAAAACTCATCCAGAAGCAGGGAAGACACTTGTAACATATCACCATATTCCCGATGTTCACAAAATATATCTCCATATTAACTTCATATCTCATAATAAGTCCAGACTAGATTTACTTGCAAAAATGCATGATCACCGACTGGTGTAAATGCTTTACTATTAGCCAGAAAAAAAGGACGCCATATTAATGTTTTTATTTCATGTAAATTCGCTACTATTTTATAATGCTAATAGTTCCAATGAATTAGAAATACACATTAAACTACGAGCGTTGTTAAATGAATTTTCGATGTGTCCAACAATGCGCTTCGAAAGAATCAAAAGTTATTGGTTAATGCCAGTTTGGGGCTAGCAGTGATAATGGGGTTTGCCGGAGTGAGGTAAGTTTTTTTTAAAGGGAGGCTACTGTTTAATTCCAAAGCAAAGAGGACGATTGTAATTTTACAATCGTTATTTGATATTACCCGATTAGATTGATATTTCAGCATACAATAATTATGTATTTGGGTATAACAATATAGCTTCAACAAGCATGGTACCAGATATGTACAAGTATATCGTAAACTGTAGTAACGTTTGTTGTTTTCAAAATTCTTTCATCATAGTTTTCTATATCTGATCAATGAAAAACAAACTTTAAACTCTAACCTGGAACAAAGCATGCAACTACACATGTATTACTATTAAAACAAAACAAAACATCACAAACTCTGACATATGTAAATGTATTTTTCACAGAAAAGGACAATAGACCATCAATATATTTTACTGAATGACACCTTCGACCTTGTTGTGTGGAACTTCTCTCCCGACAACTGCCAATATAATCCTTCTTCTTTCTTGGCATTTAAAAAGCAAATGATTATTTTATTATACAAATATTTCATGTAACAGATTTTTATTTTTGTATGATGTTTTCATTGTTGTGTAAATACACAAAGTAAGTAGTACCTTCATCATATTTACATTATTATGATTGGGTTTAGGCCAATATCATTTTGCTCATAATCAATATTTACACGGCAAAAAATAGATAATTGATTAAATGTAGTCATGATTTATTCAGACAAAATCTACAGAAGATAACAAATATGTAGTATTGTAGTATGTAGTATATGCGCGATATGTGATAAGGCCTAACTGAAACAAAGTTAAACTTACGAAGAAATGGCGAAAGCAATGGTAAAAAAAATACGCGTTTTACAAAAACAATTCTAATATCATACAATCTAAGTCACTTTGTAGAATGTTTCAAAGGATATATGCGGATGATAATCACAGACAAAATGCATGTTATGTCGTCTGCTATATGGTAATTTAACTTAAAAAATGTGACGTGAAATATGGCCTTGCGCCAAAAATCATACCAAAAAAACTACCGATCATACCTAAATAACGTTGGTACCAAGCCAAAGGGGAAATCGTGATGAATGTAAAACTATTAAATTCAGGACCGATAATAGGAACACATTCTTCTGAAAGCATGCGAAAATTAAGAGTTGTGGTGTAATTATTTCGGGAAAATTCAGATTTAGTCCCATTTCTGGAGTCAAAATCTGAAATTTCGGATCCGCCCTAAATTTGTTAATGGCACTAAGCCAATTTTTAACATATCTCCTTTTTATACACCTAGGTAACCAAGGACTTTCATTGCGAATTAGAGGCCGCTATTGAAAATCAAAATCTGCACTTTTGCCGATTTTACATGCGAGCCCTTTTGTCCTCTCGGACAAAGACAAAGCATGATCACAGTCATCAAATACAGTGACAACGACATGCTTTAGGGCACCAACAAATCTCAGTTGTAATGTTAACAATGTTAAGAAATACATGAGTGTAATTATGTATTGTGAAATATATCTTATGCATGGGAAAAAAAGGCAACAACGATGAGTCTTCTGCTCGCTTCTGGACAGGCTGCGCAGTACAAGCCGTAGCACTGATGGTTTCGCGCATAGGCTAGAGGGCCGTCCCTCTATTATATGGTGTCTGTTAGAACTGAAACACAAATATAGACATTTACCTAGAACTGAAACACAAATATAAACATTTACCTCCAAGCTTCCAGACCGCCGACATGGTCTAGTGGTAGAGCATATGCCTGGAGAGCGAAGGTCAGTGGTTCAATCCCAGGCCGCGATGTCAAAATATTATACTTGTTGTTACCCTGCCTGGCGCTCGTTAGTAAGGGACTAAAGCAGGGACTGGTTGGTTTGGAGTCAGTTTACTGTGTCTGAGTGGGGTATTCATGTTAAACTGTGGCATGGTATCGTTAGCACTATAAGCTCTGCATAAGTCCAGACTAGTACAAGCAGCCACACACATACACATGTGCATGACGTCGCTATATAAGTGCAATAATCTTGAACATGATGTAAACCCAGTTTCACCTGACCTTCTAGTTTCCAGTAATGGGAGCCTGTTAAAACGGTACATCACCTTTGGCTTGTGAAAATGGACCACAGTTAGTCAGTATTAGCAAGTGAAATATCATATTGGAAACAAAGACCAAATAGTCCTGTTCCACAAAGCACAATTAGTGCTACGATTGTCCTAAGTCTATGTTAATGTGTGGGAGATGCGATTGTCTTAGCTTTGAGGAACAGGGCCCATATCTTTAGTCATAAGCATAATAAGTCATGTACCAAGTATGTATGTAGTGGATTAAAACTACATTTGCCAGTTTTAACTTGGTGCTTACCAGATTATGTATCTAAAAAATTATCATATGACAACATCTCAATAATATGTGAAGCCTTTACTGGTTTACATTTGTCTCAACTGAAAACAGGATTCATAGATAATTCCAAAATTTACAGCATATATGATCTAGCCCAAGAGAGGTGAAGCACAGTGCAGTTTATCCATTGTAATATAGCAGCCCATGAGAGTATTGAGCATTTTAGGATGAATTAGTTGAGGCTGCTCAAGCAAAGCTTCAAATTCAAGTAGATTTGTAGAATATTTCATGTCTAGATTTTACACTTCAAAAAATTAAGTGTCCAATTCCAGTAAGCGTCCCCTGACCATTTAATGAGTTGTTTATAAGTGCACTGAACAAAGTCTGAAAATTAACAGCGCAGTCCTTATTTCAAACACGTTTCGTTTCACTGATGTCTGTAGCCAGATACTATTAAGTAACTGTAGTCATCATGGGCCTTCCATCCCCATCTTCCCAAGGCAAGTGAGTTAACTGACTATAAAAGTCCAGTTTCCACCCTTGCCGAACTAGGCTGGTATTATGGAGTTACATTTTGGCTGGACTAACGAGTCTATGCATAGTCCAATCAAAATCGCGCACCGAAATCGAAATCCGGTTCGTAAAGTGTCATGCAGATTTCGGTCGACTGCAGCATTTGCAAAACATGTGCACCGCTAACTCGTTGTCAACAGATATTTTCTAAATCTATTCATGTTTTTAATCAAGGTGCTCACGTGATTTGATGCACTTCGCGATGTAAGACTCGTCTTATCACAATTTAGGTCTTGATTATCGATCAGATCGTCTTGACTGGGCGCCACCGTTTTGTTTGAAGCAAATGCAAGTGATACGAGAGGTTGAATCTGATTGGTCAGTAGGAGAGGCATAGAAAGGACATAACTCGCAATAGCCACTGGTGGCGCTACGATCGAGCCCCGTAATTACAGCCTAGTTCGGCAAGGGTGGAAACTGGACTTTTAAAGTCAGTTAACTCTCTTGCCTCGGGAAGATGTCCATCCCCTCCTTGTCAACTTTCTAAGTTCCAATGGCTCATTACGACATTTACCCGGTACACAATTACAAAGTGTTCTTTGCAATGATAAAGGTCAAATCTGTGGCATTAAATACCATATAGATTGTGTAAAGACTTATCATCATGATCAAATGTTCATTCTGTAATAGGTCTATCTCAATGTGGATTCCATCCTCCATTATTCAGTGTCTCCCATATCCATGATATCCATTGTATTTTCATCTATCCATTGTATTATCATCATGATCATCTATCCATTGTATTACGGTTAGAAACTAACAGTTTTTGTCCACTAGTCCTTATAATGATAACATGTAGCAAAACCCTTAAAATGGGCCAATTTCTACTAGTCCTTAGGATACCTTTACCAGTCGCAGACGTAACGTGTGTGCGAGATACGTCTCTTGTACGCGAGACGGGTGCGGTCCGCAGTACTCAGTGAAGCGCCTGATACTAATTAATTCAATCACCGTGGCTGTGTCGTCACCCGCGACCTCCGCGAAAGTAATTAAAGCGCTATGTGAAATCATCCACTGCCAAGAGGGACCACAATCCACCGAAGGTCGTGACTGGCGAGTCGCGTGTGCATCGAGGCATCCACCTTCCTATTTTCACATACCCTATTTTCGAACAGTTAAGACATGTCAACATGTCATTCTGGACTGGATACACGAAGCTAGCGACCAGTTATCGCCATTTTTTTCATGATATTTCTGACGTGTATACTCGGACCTCGTTGTACAGCCGCATTCATCGTATTGAGGCATTTGTGATTTCCGGTCGCTCACGCGGGACACACCTTTTAGCGGCTGTCTGTTAATGAAAATCAGTAACCAGGAAGTGCTCGCTCCGTAAACAATTTCAATTTCCTCGGAATGTTCCGTCTGCTGCAAGTTAGGGGTCATTAACACATTGATACTTACTTCTGGCATCTTTTTATTATTGCCTTGCCCCCATCTGTCAGTGGACAACGATATGACCGGCAGTTTCCCAAATAAACTTTCTCTCTCGACCTGAACTAGATCATCTACATATTCATGGCGACTAATAAGGTAACGGATGTTACGTAGCCCGACATTTCCCCGCTCTGTGGCCAGGATCTATTAGGAGATAATTTGGGTCAAAATGTCATACTTAGCAATACATTCCTCACCAGTAGCCAAATCATAAATACATACTTTTAGCGTAACAGGAGTGCTTTATATATATTTTTAACATGTTTCCATTTTTTTACAATTTATTTTCATCCAATTTTTTATCCAACAAAAATCTTAAAATATCATTTCTGATATTTTGTTGTTTTTAAATATTTTGTTCTTACTTTTCAGTAAATATGCTTTGAATACCTATTGATGATAACATATTCAGAATTTTACATGTGTTGTCTTTGGACATCTCTGACATCACCATACTTAGAACACGAATAATCATAAATGTTAGTGAGTGCATTTTGTTCCGTTTAGTGTATATGACAAGTACCGCGAAACCAGAGCTGCAGGCTACAAAGTTGAATGTACCAATAACTTTAATTTTTGTGAAACTATGAGCATATGCGCTTAGTTGAATAAGATTCAGTTGATTTCGGTTATACCATTACGATGTCTGTCTGTGCTACGATAGGGAACAGTGGAAACTTTTCCGTTGACTTATTGTACAAGTTCTCGCCATCGCCTTACAGCACGTGATCACGCCCACCGTTCCAGTTTACAAATTATTTTTTGGGGGTATTTCAGTTATCGCGCTCAATATTTTTCTTAATTCACCAAAATTAATAAGAAATGCTATTATCAATTTGTTCTCTGCAAACTGACATAAACCAATATTCCCCAAATTCGATCTTGCTTTTCCCTATATATAGCTCAAATAGGTTTCAGAATTTTATTTTGAGGAAGATAGGAAGCAATAACAGAACTGAAACTATAAAGGGAATCAGATACTTTTGCGTGAATTCGTCACGTGACACCACCGACGTGTCTTTTCTATTTCTATGTTTACTATTGGGCAGTTTGGTAAGGACTACAGGACTAGTGCCAATTTCTAACGCTGTCTTATATCCATTATATTATCATATGTCCATGATATCCATTGTATTATCCTACATCCATTGTATTATCATATATCCATTTTATGTTCCTAAATATCCATTCTATTATCATATATATATATTGTATTATCCTATATCCATTGTATTATCATATTTACTCATTGGTTTGTTACTCCTTTGTGTTCGATGTAATTAAGTATTTGCATTTCTATTGAGTAACCCACTTTTTGCTCGCCAATTAATTTGATCATTTGGGTATTTTTGAATTGACATTTTGTGTGTGCAGCTAAACCTTGAGTATCAAGAACTGTACTATGCTGCAAGCAGCACCACGTGTCATTAAATCAGTATGATACATTTGTCTCGAATGAAGTGTCCCGTTCCAGTACATTTTTTCAATGCATGTGCTTCCCGAAGCATGATTTCATGTTACAACAGACCCATAAAGATGCGGGGTAGAATAGGTCTTCAGCAACCCCTGCTTGCTGTAAAAACTGACTATGCTTGTCGTAAGAGGAGACGGGATCGTGTGGTCAGACTCGCTGACTTGGTTGATGCATGTCATTGATCCCAATTGCGTGGATCGATGTTCATGATGTCAATCACTAGATTGTCTGGTCCAGACTCGATTATATACAGGCCGCCATCATATAGCTGCAATATTGCTGAGTCAACGTTTGTTTCAATTATGAAAGAACAGTATTCCGGTAGTTTAATTGCATGTCTATATTTAGCATCATGTCTTTGAACCAAACACAAAACAAAGATGAGTCCAGGGTATTTATCCCAATAGAATGGAGATAATATACCCTGGATAATCGAGAATGATGTCGCTTTGTAATGAGCTTCTTAATAGCCTCCAGCAGTTAAAACCACATTCACTACCATTTACCATATTCACTCAGCCTAGCACAGCTGGTACACTGACAGTGATAATCATATCATTTGGGTCATGGTTTTTGTGGAATATGGTGTGATTCTTTTCCTCATTATATTTCAGATTCCTGGTGGAGGAACGAGAGGTTGAACTGAACACCCGAGACAAATGGGACAGCACTCCACTGTATGTGTAGCTTGGGCTTGAAATTATCACACTGAAATATGTCACATTAAAACATATAGCCCTGTTACCATGGTAACATGTTACACTGACAGGTATAGCTCACTGTAACCATGGGAATTTGTCACACTAAAATGTATAGCAGTTTTAGAACTGCAGGCCTCAAAATTAGAAAACAACCAGTTTGGATCTGGACCTGTTTTTCAGGTGTGCCGTTTTTAATTTAAGTGTGCCTTGTCTATATTGCCCAGTAATTATAACAAAAGACAGCATTAGATCAAAATTTTAAATGACCAATCTTTTCACTTTTGCTGGTTCTGAACCCCATGAACCTTTGAAAATGTTGAAGACCTTTTTTTAGTTTTCCATCTTTTCCAATTGGTTGACCATACTCTTTCCGAATTTTGCAAAATATTAAATTTTTATCCCTGTCACATAACAGGATTTGTACTTTGAAAGATTCCAGTTTCTGGGAATGCCTCGTGGTGATTTATGTTTAATTCAGATAATTTGGGCTTTGGTACATCTGAACATCACGTGTCAGTCATGTCTATTATTTGTTTAAATTCTGAGAGATTTTTTTCAATTTCAGTGTTAGCACTAGCACTCGGCAATAGAGCTGTTTTCCTCGTTGGTTGTCTGCAGTAACTTTATTAGAACATGTAGAAGTTACAGCAGCAGGCTTGAAGAAATAAATAGTTGAGTTTTTCTTTTTAAACTTCCTGTTTGACAAACAGCGACCATCTGCTAGGTTTTTTACAACAAACAATGTGTATAACCACTTCCATTTGAAAAGCACGACCTCACAACGTTCTGTCAAAATAGAGAAAGAACCGTGTCCATTCAATTCCAATCATTCAAATGTATTTTGTGCATTCTTGGACATCTGGTCAAATGTCAGTAAAATACAGTCAACAGCAATCACTAAATATTGCCTATTGGATTTACAACAGGAAGTCTTCATTTCTCAGTTCAGTTTTGTAAAGAAATGAAATAGAAATTAACCTAAGTACTTTAAATGAAAATGGCCATTTCACTTTTGGGGGGGAGGGGGGAGGGGGGAGGAGTCCAGCGTACCTCAAAAATCACAAACACTTTATGTATACCTTTTCAATTTTTCTTTATCCAACAAATCAACATGTTATCATGGTAGCAATGCTTCCTTATTACTATTCCAGGAAGTTAATCTGTCATGCCATGATTTTCCTGCCCAATTTTTCCATATTACTATGAATATATATGCATATGAAGGAATCAGATGGTCCTTAACTTCTTTGAGTAGTATATTTACATTATTGATCATGTTGATAGCAGCAATCATAGTAATGATGCACTTTCTAATGTCATTGAGCTGTATTCCAATATCAATGTAAATGCTGGGAGTCCCTACTGTAATTGATCACCTTACATTTCTATAGATGGTGGTCATGTTGTGAACACTTGAAGGAAGGGGACAGTTGGATAAAGGCCCTTTTGGCCGACTGGAATTTTCACCTTTAATTTTTGTAAAAGTCACAGTAAACAATGGTAAACTGAAATATTTGAATGACAATTATCAGACATATTCAAATGGTTGAAAACTATTCCCTGTTTCTTGCAATATTTTCACTTCTGTCAGGACCGAATACACGTTTGACTTTATTGAATGTGAAAAAGGCTGATTTTTCAACTTATAGAGAAAATCTAACTACAGTAAAATATGTTTATAACGAACACGCTTATAACGAACTGAGGAATGTAACAAACTTATTTTGGGTCCCAGTCATTTGCTGTATAGTTTCTGTATAAATGCTTATAATGCACTCCGGATATAACAAAATAAGATTAGTGGTCCATTTGAGTTCGTTATAACCGTAGTTTACTATGTGAGCAAATCTGTGACCCAAGGTGATTTGTTACCGTAAATTTGTACTGTTGTTATCTCTATCTCCTAAAACTGCCAAGAGGATGAAGACAATTACCTTCAGTTAAACACTTGCTTATGTAAAAATATTTTTAAAGTGCATCCTCCTGAAAGCCTGAAAATCAGACCTTTCAACATATTTTAGCCTTATCAATATATATTTAGTGTCCAAAACATGCAAGTGCTGACATGAACAAAGTCTATTTCTAATTCATATAAACACATCTGATACATTTCGTAACAATTTTTAGTAATTTCTCAAATTATGCCCTTCTCATTGTCCAAAGGGTGTCCTTATCCTACCTTATCCTCCAATTACTTGCAACATGTACAACAGAAGCTTGTGCTATGTATATTCAACCATATAATTTGTGTTTATATACATGGTATAATGTTATCTTGACACAAAGGGATACAGTGCAATGTACTTAGATGAATCACTGCAGCCGTTCTGTTACACTCTTCTATTTCTGTGATAGATTGTGCTACTGTTCATCCTAAGGCCACACGTTCTTTGTTTACTTGCTTTACGGATCCACCAACTGTAAACTTTATTGAAATGGAAAAAAGAAATGAAAATTTGCTCTCTCTCTCTTTTTTTTATCCCACCAATAAGCTGATAGCATATTGCACCCAAAAACGTATCTTTCAAACAAGGATCCACTGAAGTTGACATATATTTAACATGAGAGTCAAAATAAAGGTGGTTGTTGTTGTTGTTGTTGTTGTTGTTGTTGTTGTTGTTGTTGTTGTTGTTGTTCGTGAAATTTGAACGGTGCATAAGCATGTTTATCATGAGGTACTCCTGGTCCATATCTTATCATACTTGTATAGGTCATTGGTTACTTTCTGAATAATATATATTTTCTCTTGCAGGTATTATGCATGTTTATGTGGCCACAAAGATGTAGTCCAGTATTTACTGGAGCATGGTAAGTTAATGTCTTCAATCAAGCTCATTAAAATCAGATTTTAGTTCTCACTACCACTAAACAGAGATCTGAGGACACCCATTACAAGTCACGTCAGACCTACCTTTCGTTAACTTTGACCCACCAATGGAATGACTGACAAGAAGTTGACATTAGCCAATCAGAAGGCAGCTTTCTTGTGCTTTTTAGCACTAGTTTCAAACTGGCGACTACGCTTCAAAACATATTTTGACAAATTCTCGATTCTGGAATGGCTAATAGATGTCCTAGAGTGTATATGGATTCAGTTATAAAGTGTGTAACTGTCGTTTGGATTAGAAAACACATTCCGACTGTCATTTTCATGATCTGGTAAACGACGCTCTGATTGGTCGGATGAAAGATCATTCTGATGTGACCCATAATTGTATAGCGGTAGTGAGAACTAAGATCTGATTTTAATGAGACTGTGTCTTCAATAAACAGAGTTCTAATTTGTGACCCCAGCAACCTGTTTTATCGTCATTGTGTCCCAATTGCGTGGATCGATGCCCATGATTTCTTTTGATTGTCTGGTGCAGACTTGATTATTTACAGACCACCGTCATATGTCTGGAGTATTGCTTATTGTGGCGTTAAACAACAAACAAATATTATGGTTGTGACATTTATCTGTGTATCAGCTCGAACGATGAAGTTGAACTGCAGAGCCTTGTGTTTCAAACCTTTGCTTTTAGAAAGGAATATGATTATTTCAAAATGGGATGGTTTGCTTTTGCAGGCCCGAGGACCAAGGATGTTTTCGTTTTGTCATGTAATATTAATAATCTTTATTTTTGATTACATGTATTTGACACTGACTCAACCATGACACAGCTTGATTCATTCCATGCCTCAGTGCATTCCCCATAGCAACAAGGGCACATTGTACACATTGATCGAGGCATGTCTCCATTCAGCATGTTCTGAATGAAGTCATTCTTGACTGCACATTAGAGACAATGAGTGCATAGGGAGTTTGTCTGAATAATTAACTGACAGATGTTAAAAATCCTGATGATTGCATAGGTTGAGACCGTAGGACCTTGCTATGATACTGTTGACTTCAGTCATTTGAATGAGAATTTTTTAGTTATCCTATCTCACACTATTCCTCCTTATTCTTCGATCCTGGTGTGGAAACGTCTTAGAACAAAGGTTCCAGCTTCAAAAAAATCGTAATCGTCATTCTTCATCCAATTGGCCAGCGTCCTAGGGATCATCAAGTCGATGGGTAGACACATTGTCAGTCATCGACAGATCAACAAATAAAGGATCGACAGTTCAACACATTGATGGATCATCATCAATCTCGGAATTGTCCGTCTCCATCGCATCGCCATCCCTTTAACAGTCAGGGTGACTTCTTGTCTACGTGGCTATACAATTCCCATAACTCAGTGTAGAAATTCAATTTGGTCAGTTTTTGCACATTTTATCCCTTTTTGATATCAAAGAAGTATTACCTCACATGAGGAAAGACATAAATAATAACATACATTCATTATGTTTGTATAAATGTACTTTTGAAAAATATTTAACCGTAATCTTGACTTAGGGGGAATTTTTTTTTAAATCATGCATAAAAAGTAGGGTAATTTCATCTGGTAACTTCAAACTTCATATGTGGAATTTTCTTATAAAACTTATGTCATTACAATCGCACATTCTTTAGGAACACTATTACGCGGTTTTGCTTAAGGATCAACAAGTCAAGGGATCACCTGATCGTCAAGCCTCGACAGCGCGACACTCAAAGCATAGACATCTCAACACAACCAGGGATCGACATTCAGCACAACTATCATCACAGGATCATCATTCTTCTTTGATTCAGCATCTCTCTAAGTCAAGTCTAGGGATCTCATGTTTTCACATGGTCACCTTCATTCACTGGATCGGCAGCCTTCTAGGATCAATAGGTGTCGCCAGAGATATTGCTCAACGTACCTCACAGAAACACAGGTCACCATAAACAGAGGGACCGTCCTTCGCCCAGAGAGCTCCAAAGTTCTCATGGCTTGACAGATTGCTATCAGCTGGACAAAAGACCGTATCGTTGCCCTTCTCACAGAGATCATTACGGTCAATCGGATCGACGGGTCACTATGGGTCAACCACTCTATTCCTTTTATTGGAATCACCAGGACTATAGATTGGGATGCCGTTATGACTCCTCGGATCATCATTCTTCTCCAGTTCATCGCCGTTGTCATTTGCCTATTACACATAGACAACTTCAGTGCTCCCCTACTCTACCTACAAAGTGGGATCATCGCACTGACTCTTCTTCCATTCCCAACTCAGACTTTAAACCGCTGGTCCATGCGATGTCTATGGCACTGAATCAATGTGGCTTCCCTTCAGACAAGACTTCTACTTTGCGTACATCCTCTACATCGAGGGCTCCTTCCGGTCCAGTTACCATTTCGGAGGAAAGTCTCACTGATCCCGCAGATCCACAGTCACCAGTCTCGACTCCTGGAAGTTGCGATGTTGTTGACCCTTCGGATATGCTGTACTGGATTGTGGATCAACTGGGCCTACCATGTAGCACCTCTAAGGATGATCAACTCTCAGGATTTGTGGTCTCTAGTCCCTCTTCAAACACTCTTACCTTATGCCTAAGAAGGTCTCCAGGATATGGTAGCGTATTTAAATCCGGCTTTTAGTATAACTACAATGCACTGAGGAAAGACGGTGGTCTCAGTACGTCCCAGGCCAAAAAAACGTCCAACAGACTTACAGCCACAAGTGTGGATCTTTTCGAGGCAAAGGCAGAGGTACCAAATGTTCCACTTCAAGGACCGTCCCGCTCACTACTGGATCTTCCCTCGAGTGAGTCAACCAAGCTGGTTGACTCCTCCGCCAAGTGACATTGAATCAGATCAGCACGACTGTGAATTTCTGCCCAAAGCTGCTATTCAAGAACCATGAAGTGGACGACTTTGTTACTTTGCAGCCAACTGGACTTTGACTACCCCTTCCTGACAAAGATCTTAACAGACAGATACAGATTCCCGTTGGTGTCTCAAATTCCAGTCACGGTTTGCAGCACAGATACTACGATGCCATCCAGATGTCGGCTGTCACAGAAGTCATAGGTACATTGGTAGCGAAACATGCCGTAGAATGTTTAGGTCTGATCCCTTCCATTCCAGGCTTCGATTCTCTGATCTTCCATAGGATGCACTATCAGTGGATGGTCCTCCCATTTGGAATTTCTACGACCCCATGTTTGTTCACCCATATCACGAAACACGTAACACAGTTTCTGCGTCAGCGAGGGATTTTGTTTGTGGCCTTCATAGACGACTGTCTCCAGTCTCATGCCAACTCAGCATGGAGGCTGCTACATCATCGGGGCTGGTCCATAAATGCATCCAAATCTGAGACTGCCCCACCTCAGAGTCTCCAGTTTATTGGTGCCCTTTTCGACACACAGATGTTGAAGATGTTCGTGCCCCCCCAGACAGTTGGTCAAAGATACAGAGCCAAGTAACGTTGGCCCTCAAACAGCCGTTACTTCTCCGGCAATGGCAAGATCTGCTCGGAATTCAAACATCGTCACAAGCCTTCACATGGTATTGTCAGTTACATCTGCAAACAATACAGTGCTTTCCTCCAGCCCTTTCTCCAGGAGGCCAATTGCGAGATCAAGATTCGGCTCCTGTTGCTGCTACAAGATTCGGTGCTGGCTTCAGGAGATGAATAATTGCGACGAAGTCTTCTTGCTGCCGTTGGCACTGAATCAAAACCTCTTAGTCGACGCCTCCACAGATCACTAGACTGCAGGGTGATGGTCAGGAGATGACAGAAAGTTGCACCTCTATAATCTGGAATACCAATCAATCCTGAGATCCCCCCCACTTCTGTAGTTTCACGAGCAGAACATTCACATGCATCAATCCTGTGTTGTCTTATGGTCTTACTTTTCTGTAATGTTATGTGTGGTTTATGCATTTGTCTGTTGCTGTGTTTTGATGACATTAACATTATTAATTTGGTACAGAATGACATCATTTTCATGCTTCACATATTGTGTACGGTGCTAATGTCTGTCATGCATATTACCGGTACTTATACGTTTGTTAGATTGTGACAATGCTGTTTCTGTCTTCAGGTGCCAAATGTGAAGCGAACACATTTGACGGCGAGCGATGTCTTTATGGGGCCCTGACTGATGAGATCCGGACTATCCTCAAGAAGTTCAGAGTCATCTCCTCCCGAACCATACGGCGTGACATGTACGAGGAATGTCTACGAAAGTAAGTATCCAACTATACAACTCAACAGTCGTTCAGGATCAATCCAAAACATTATCAGTTGTTGTTGACATCTTCCCGAGGCAAGTGTGGTAACCTACTACAGAAGTCAAGTGTCAACCCTTGCAAGAACTAGGCTGCACTTATGGAGTTATATATTGGCTGGGCTAACGAGTCTATGCATAGTCCAATCAAATCACATAACGAAATCGACATACGGTTCGTCAACAACATGGTGAATGCCATGCAATTTTCAGTCTATTGCAAAGCCAGTGTACAATCAAGTGATCTGATGCGCTTCGCAAGGTAAGACCCGTTTTATTATGATATAGATCTTGATCATCGATCAGAGAGTTTTGACTGGGCGCCACAATTTTGTTTGAAGCAAATGAAAGTGGTATGATAGGTGGAAAATGATTGGTCAGTAGAAGGGACATAGAACACACAAAACTCATAATAGCCGCTGGTGGCTCCACAATCGAGCCACAAAATACCAACCTAGTTCGGCGAGGGTGGAAACTTGACTTCTATGTTATATCTGTCAACTCCACTACAAAGTGTATCTATCAGGAAACCAGTACAATATCTCCTAGTGATCAATTCTGTAAGGTGTTCATTGATTTTATACAGATGTCTCACCTTCCAGAACAGAACTTTTATGGCAGTCAGTCCATATCACACAGCATATGATGACTTACAAAATATGTACACAATAATCAATAGATGTAATGGCAATCATAATATCATGGTCATTAGAATACAACCCGCAGTCTACCACTGCTTGTCTGTTGCAGGATTCGAGAGGGGGCTGCCTACCATGACGCAGTGTTTGTGGTGGACGGGGTGAAGTTTCCCGTACATCGATGTATACTCAGTGTTCGATGCAGCTATTTTGCTGAGTTGTTTAAAACTCGATGGCGAGATCGGCAAGAAGTGGAGCTAAAACATGCACTGGTTTGTATTCGAAACAAATCTCGGTTTTGAGCTCATCCAAACTTTATCCACACTGAGACATACAGGATATGAGACAGGAAGTCCTCGTCTTACTTTACCATGTTTACAACAGGTAGTTATCAAAATGCCCATGCTTTGTTTGGCTGCAAGAAATTATTAATTAAACATGTCAAATTATCAATAAATTAATTACTTGATTTTTATTCATCTTAAACTTGATAAATGTGAGATGGGAAGTAGTTTTTATCCTACATTTATTTTTGGTAACAAAAGGCCTCTGTGGACATTAAGTGTCAGCACATGTGATTCACAGGGAAAATGAATGTAATGTATGTGTTCTAGGGCTAGCTCACTGGTGTAGAAATTATAGGGATCACACAACTGCACATAGCTATTCTTCACTGTGGGGAACGTTGGAGATCAAATAAATGCTCCTCATTCCTTTCATCATAATCCAGGAGATGGACATTGTATTTGACAACTGGAGGGGGATTTGTCTTAGGACTATATTTTGCTGAGCACCCCGGCATTTTTATGTAACATTTTTGTCCCCTCGGCATACTATGCAGGGGATATGGTAATCCTCTCGTCTGTCTGTCTGTCCTTCCGTCCATATTTCTTTTCAGGAGCATAACTTGAAAACCTTGAACTATTTTTCATCCAAACTTGGTATATGTATTAACCAGGGACTGCAGTGGTGCCTTTTGCTATTGTGGGGGCCTAGGGGATTTTATCATCTTCTGATGACTCTTGTTTCTTTATGTAATGTTATATTATTGCAGGTTTCACCTTGTGCATTTGGAGCTGTTCTGGATTACATCTATTATGGTGAGATTATGCTTTTGTTTGTACAGAAGTACAGTCAAACACTATTGTGTCCAGGTTAACATGGTTAAAAGGACCTACGTAAATATTTTGTTCAACACAATCGAAAAATGATGAATAAAAAAAGAATATGCAGGGACCAAAATTTTACTTCTAGACAACTGTAAGTTCGACACATCAAGGTTTGACACCGTACTCAACAGTGTTTGACAGTACTTGTTAAGGAAGCACTGCAGACCCAGAAGGATGGGCAGCATTGTAGGTGGTCATTCCCTGTGGACGTTTGGGGTTCCTCTTGACTGGCAGACCTGTGAAGATCCAGGGTGGAATAGGTCTTCAGCAAACCATGCTTGCCATATTAGGCGACTATGCTTGTCGTAAAAGGCGACTAACGGGATCGGGTGGTCAGACTCGCTGACTTGGTTGATGCATGTCATTGACGTATCAAACGTGTTGAAGGCTTCCTCCTGGTGTGAAAAGTCCTCCAAGGAGGAATGATGTCATCATCATTTGCATAATTCTTGCCAGACAGTTCTTTCTTCAAGTCATGTACGTCTTCCCGAGGCAAGAGAGTTAACTGACTATAAAAGTCCAGTTTCCACCCTTGCCGAACTAGGCTGGTATTATGGAGTCATATTTTGGCTGGGCTAACAAGTCTATGCATAGTCCAATCAGAATCGCGCAACAAAATCGCAATCTGGTTTGTAAACTGTTGTGCTGTTTTCAGTCGAGTGCAGGATTTGCAAAGCATGTGCACCTCCAACTCATTGTCAACAGATATTTTCCAAAGCTTTTCATGATTTTAATTAAGTATGGACTACTACATCTTCCCGAGGCAAGTGAGTTAACTGACTATAAAAGTCCAGTTTCCACCCTTGCCGAACTAGGCTGGTATTATGGAGTTACATTTTGTCTGGGCTAATGAGTCTATGCATAGTCCAATCAAAATCGCGCACCGAAATCAAAATCCGGTTCGTAAACTATCGTGCAGATTTCGATCGATTGCAGGATTTGCAAAGCATGTGCATCGCCAATTCGTTGTCAGCAGATATTTTCCAAAACCTTTCATGTTTTTAATCAAGGTGCTCACGTGATTTGATGCATTTCGCGATGTAAGACCCGTTTTATCACAATATAGATCTTCATTATCGATCCGATCGTCCTGACTGGGCGCCACCTTTTTGTGTGAAGCAAATGCAAGTGATACGAGAGGTGGAATCTGATTGGTCCATAGGAGAGGCTTAGAAAGGACATAATTGGTAATAGCCACTGGGGGCGCAATGGCCGAGCCCAGTAATTCAAGCCTAGTTCGGCAAGGGTGGAAACTGGACTTTTAAAGTCAGTTAACTCTCTTGCCCCGGGAATATGGGACTGCTATTGCAATAGTCACACTAATCATACTAGTTAAAATAGCCCCAGCAGTCCCCCAATCTCTTAAGGGTGCTCCAGGTATCCTCCATAGTTTGGTTCAGAACCTTGCAGCCACCATTCGTACGGTTCATGCTACATGTTGCTGTGTCTGCAGGTCGACTACAGGTTCATGTGGACCTGATACATGATTGTGTGATGATAGCCAAACAGTGTCAGATGCACTGCCTCATTGACCAGATTGAAGACAGAATGGAAAAAGATGCATCATTTTGTAAGTATGCTTCAACACATCTTCTTTGTTGTTAAATCTGAATACTGCACATACTGACTGCTTTCCATTATGTATGGTTAAACATTAACACTGTTACCATGGTTACAATACACCTACCTCACGTATTGATACACATCATACTATTTGAGGGTCGGTCGGGTAGCCTAGTTGTTAAAGCGTTTGCTCTTCGCGCCGAAGACCCGGGTTTGATTCCCGACATGGGTACAATGTGTGAAACCCATTTCTGGTGTCTGCCCCCGTGATATTGCTGGAATATTGTTAAAAGCGGTGTAAAACCATACTCACTCACTCACTCACTCACTCACTCACTCACTCACTCACTCACTCACTCACTCACTCACTCACTCACTCACTCACTCACTCACTAACTCACTCACTCACTCACTCACTCACTGTAATGTAAAATAAATAGATTTTGGATGAAACAACTTGTCTGTCCAGATTTAATTGTCTCGGCAATGTCTATACCTGATACATATCGCAATTCACTACCCCCACCATCATCTTAACTCACTGTTATCATCTGGAACAGCAACATCGTCCTTGACTTCACCATGCACACAGTCACAGTCATCACCACCACATCATCAGAGGACCGATAATCGAGTATGTCCATTGTGTGACCATATGCTTGTACTTGTAGTGTCGATGAAGCCGGGCCTGAAGGTGACGTCGGTGGTGATCGAGCCCCCCCTGGACTCCCTGGGGCTGCAGATGGACCTCGGTCTTCTGGGAGACAGAGCTTTACCGGTGGAACTGAACAAACTGGTACATATCATCTTGTCTTCGTAAACCTGTACCCTGGTCGTAAGAGGTGACTTGATGGATCGGGATTAGTGTAATCATACACCTGTCTACAAATCAGATGCACTTGGATTATATGATTAAGTTCACTCAAACATTGTATTCATATGCCATTAATAAAGTTACTTCATTGACTGAAAATTAATTTTTAACAAGAATTATTCAAAGAATAACAGTATGTGATGAAAAGATTACTACCCTCATGTGTTTCCATATCATAAACGTAATATATTATTAGTATGTACTATTTTCGCCAAAGGCTGAGTGACCCAGTCATCTCAGGCACTGCGAATAGCTGTGCAGAGTTGTGTCCCTTGGGTGTCCCCAGCATTAGTGAACTTGAGGCTGTCCTTCCGCATCAAGATGATATGACATGTAAACCCCCGCCCACATCTTTAAACCCAATTCACTTGAGTAATAGGGAATTTATTGTAACCATACATATATAATTTCAACTTTTAATACAAGCAATTTCAAAACCAGTATGCAGTGGACTTGTCAACATGCTCTGGTGTTTTGGGCATGGTATTTCCATACCCCTTGTAATGGATCATACAATTCTATACATTTTGTACAATATTTACTGAAAGTTCATCAAAGTATGTCAGCACTATCCCAGTGCTCAGGCATTTCACCGAATCGGTAAACATCTAAGACCTGCATCACTTCTGGCTTTCCTCCCACATCAGGCTGACACTATGATATAACTGGAATAATGTTTAAAGCCGCATTAAACCCAACTCGCTCACTGACTCATCAAAGTTTCATTTTGCCTACAGGTTGTAGGAGAGCTGCCATTCGACCCTGACCTGTCCCAGATATACCCTGACGTCTGCTTCTCAGTGGAGGGTCTGTCATTCATGTGTCACAAGGTGGGCAGCACCCTCTGCTTGGAGGAGGAACTTCACACATTCACACAACATCCTTCTCATTCTCACACTTCTCACACGGGGTATTCTGGAGTAGAATAGGTCCCAGAGCCATAACATCCTTCTCAATCTCACACTTCTGTACAAAGTAAGGAGATACAAAGAATATCATGTACAACATAAGGAGATACAAAGAGAATCAAGTATAACATACAGAGATACAAAGAGTATCATGTATAATGTAAGGAGATACAAAGAATATCATGTATAACATGAGGAGATACAAAGAGTATCATGTATAATGTAAGGAGATACAAAGAGTATCATGTATAACGTAAGGAGATACAAAGAGAATCATGTATAACATAAGGAGATACAAAGAGTATCATGTATAATGTAAGGAGATACAAAGAGTATCATGTATAATGTAAGGAGATACAAAGAATATCATGTATAACATGAGGAGATACAAAGAGTATCATGTATAATGTAAGGAGATACAAAGAGTATCATGTATAACGTAAGGAGATACAAAGAGAATCAAGTATAACATAAGGAGATACAAAGAGTACCATGTATAATGTAAGGAGATACAAAGAGAATCATGTTTAACATAAGAAGATACAAAGAGTACCATGTATCACGTAAGGAGATACAAAGAGTACCATGTATAATGTAAGGAGATACAAAGAGTATCATGTATAATGTAAGGAGATACAAAGAGTATCATGTATAATGTAAGGAGATACAAAGAGAATCAAGTATAACATAAGGAGATACAAAGAGTACCATGTATAACGTAAGGAGATACAAAGAGAATCATGTATAACATAAGAAGATACAAAGAGTATTATGTATAACGTAAGGAGATACATATAGTATGATGTATAATGTAAGGAGATACAAAGAGTATCATGTATAATGTACGGAGATACAAAGAGAATCATGTATAACGTAAGGAGATACATATAGTATGATGTATAACGTAAGGAGATACAAAGAGTATCATGTATAACGTAAGGAGATACAAAGAGAATCATGTATAACATAAGAAGATACAAAGAGTATTATGTATAACGTAAGGAGATACATATAGTATGATGTATAACGTAAGGAGATACAAAGAGTATCATGTATAATGTAAGGAGATACAAAGAGTATCATGTATGATGTAAGGAGATACAAAGAGAATCAAGTATAACATAAGGAGATACAAAGAGTATCATGTATAACGTAAGGAGATACAAAGAGAATCATGTATAACATAAGAAGATACAAAGAGTATTATGTATAACGTAAGGAGATACATATAGTATGATGTATAACGTAAGGAGATACAAAGAGTATCATGTATAATGTACGGAGATACAAAGAGAATCATGTATAACGTAAGGAGATACAAAGAGAATCATGTATAACGTAAGGAGATACAAAGAGTACCATGTATAACATAAGGCGATACAAAGAGTATCATGTATAACATAAGGAGATACAAAGAGTATCATGTATAACATAAGGAGATACAAAGAGTATCATGTATATCTAAAGGAGATACAAACAGTCTCAAGACTATCATGTGATGTATATGTTGCAGGTGTTTCTAAGTGGACGCAGCGACTACTTCAAGGCCCTCATTGAGGATCACTTTGGGGAGACAACTCTGCATGGAAACACTGACATACCAGTAGTGACACTGCACAACATTACGCCGCAGGTGTTCGGCCGTGTGGTGCAGTACGTGTACCAGGACCTCTGTGAGGTAACCACACTGACATACCAGTAGTCACATGAACATACCAGTGGTTACACTAACATACCAGTTGTCTGACATCCTGTGTGCAGCTGGCCTCTACATGCCCCACTTCCTGTTTCAGCTGTCTGCATAGACTGTGTATGACATTCTGTGTGCAGCTGACCTCTACATGCCCCACTTCCTGTTTCAGCTGTCTGCAGAGAACGTGTATGACATTCTGTGTGTAGCTGACCTCTACATGCCCCACTTCCTGTTTCAGCTGTCTGCATAGAACGTGTATGACATTCTGTGTGCAGCTGACCTCTACATGCCCCACTTCCTGTTTCAGCTGTCTGCAGAGAACGTGTATGACATTCTGTGTGTAGCTGACCTCTACATGCCCCACTTCCTTTTTCAGCTGTCTGCAGAGAACGTGTACGACATCCTGTGTGTAGCTGACCTCTACATGCCCCACTTCCTTTTTCAGCTGTCTGCATAGAACGTGTATGACATTCTGTGTGCAGCTGACCTCTACATGCCCCACTTCCTGTTTCAGCTGTCTGCAGAGAACGTGTATGACATTCTGTGTGTAGCTGACCTATACATTCTGCCAGGGCTGAAGAGACTCTGCGCCAACTGCATGGGTGAATACATCGACATCAACAACATCATCACCATTCTTAGAACCTCAAGGCTCTTCAGTTTACGGAAGTTAGAAAATGAATGTGCAGAGTTTATTGCAGAAAATTTAGAAGAGGTGAGTTCTGTCTGCTTGTGACTGATGGGTGTTTACAAAAGGTTCATATTTGGCCAAACTCTTGCTAATTGCATGTATCTGACTTAGGCAAATCTGAACTCAAGCAGAATTTCTGCAAAGTTTAGAAACTTTTGGAAAGTTATAGTGAATACAATCAAGTTTATGCAGCATCCGTGGAGGGAACGGCTGCACTTTCAGAGGGCAGAGCTTGATGTGATCTATAAGGCCAATATGATGTCTTCATAACACATAAATGTCATTGGTTTTTGTGTAATCGGGTGTAACACAATGACATGACATGTAAACCCTTGCCCACATTGGCTGTTCAAGAACAAGGATGTAAGTTGCAAGAAATGTGGGATTCCAGCACTTTTTAAAAACGTTGGCGTCTTTGGCTTTCAATCTTCCTGTCATTTCTTCGGTGATGGTGCCCAACTACATAAAAAGTTACGGTTGAATGGTAAATTGGAAGTGATTAATTAGCATTTGATCGTCTAACCAAACAATTTCTGGAACAACTGAAACAAAATGGGCATCCCCTCTAACAGACTACCGGTACTGTTTCCTGAATGGCTGATCACTGAATGGGCAAGGCTTTTATTGCTTCATTGTGCTGAGTGATGTTAGTGATTTTGTATTGTTGTTTCCCCTTGTTTCTCCCAGGTGATTGCTCAGGAAGACTTCATCAAACTAGTGAAGGAGGATGCAGCCAATCTCCAGGAGCGCCACGAGACGGACACCATCGACATCATCGACGAGGTGCGCTTCTACATCACCAACTTCATACAGACGTACAGTGAGATGCAGGAGGCCAACGAGAGGCTGAAGCTGATTGACGATCTGCTGGAGGAGCTGTATCTAGAGGGATAAACATGCTGTGGTTACACCGGCTAGTCACACATGCAAACACACATGCACACACATGCACACACACATGCACACACACAACTGGAGAAGCTGTATCTGGAGGGATAGACATGTCGTAGTTACACCGGCTAAACACGCATGCAAACACACATGCACCCATCATTATAGACATACATGCAGACACACATGCAGATACTCATGCACACACGCATGCAAACACACATGCACACACGCATGCAAACACACATGCACCCATCATTATAGACATTCATGTATGCAGAAACACATGCCCAAAACCACCACATATAAAGACATCCAATGCACAAAAACACCATGTATATACACATCCAATACACAATACTGATTACACCAAACATCCCATACACAAATGAATCAATACATAGTTTGCATGGTTCGGGATTACAACACACATGATTGTTACTGTCCACAAGAAATGTCCACACATCAACTGGCAGCATTTCATCCACCATCGCCTAGGTGACGGTGATGGTGAGATAGGCAGTGTTAGCATTGCACCGTGTTGGATGGACGAATATACAGTGTTATATGGAGACAGATATATGCAACCAGCACTTTTAATCCTCTATTTATGTCATTATCCAAGGTGCATGTTTGTGTAGTATCAACTTATGTATTAGGACTGGGACGGGTAGCTCGGGTACCCGGGTCGGAAGGATCCTGAGTAGGACCAGGTACCCACTGGACTACCCTGACACGTTGTTAGTCACGCGAGTATTCTAATTGGCTGTAACGATAAAAAACATCAGTTGTATTTTCTTGGGAAAATGTGCTTTATACACACACAAAAATACAGTATTTATTTATGATCTGAATGTAAATAATGTAGTCGATGAATGTGAAGGCCGGTGTACAGCAGGTACCCGGGTCAGATATTGGGGGTCGGGTACCCAGGTAGTGAATTTCGACTCGTCCCAGCCCTATTGCGTATGCTTGGGACCTGCTGACTTTGTCTATAGCACGTTGTAGCATGAACAGTTTACGCAGTAGGTGTATTACCAGGGTTGTGATATTGGCAAGGGCTTGCATCCATAGGAGACTTAGAAGGGACATAACTGGTAATAGCCACTGGTGGCGCTATGATCGAGCCCAGTAATTCCAGCCTAGTTCAGCAACGGTGGAAACTGGACTTTTACAGTCAGTTAACTCTCGTGCCTCAGGAAGATGCACCTACTGGGACACAGCAGTGGTTTATTGAGTAAAGTTCCATGAAATTGTTGTCAGTCTTCACTGTGAAAAAAGATCTCCCAAAATATTCATGATCCCTGACTTGTTTTGTCCAGTATATGATGTAGATGGTACATAAGGTTACACTGAAGTCATCCTGTGATGACGTAGCCTGGTACAATGTTGGTATACTGTATTTTGTCATTGTCACATCATGTTCATGTATTTTAATGTTGATGTAACAGGGGAACACAAGTCTTTTGTTTGTTTCCAAACTCGTGTTTGATTTCAAGTGATCAAGTTATGTTGACAAAATAATACCTGAACAGACAGGACTTGATGTGATAAAGTTGCAACAGTACCGGTTGGTAGTGTGTTTAATGTGCATATAATTAGAAAAGTTTGTGCAACGATACAGATGGCTTTGAATGGTCGAGTTCCCTGTTAGTGAACAAGTCTCGGTCAATACTGAGAGAGATGTCATGCTGGGTACATTGTACAGTGAATGTATATTTGACATTTACTTTGTAACAGATTCGGTTGTGTAGCTCATTAGAAGAAATAAGATATTTATAGATGATGAAATTTAGACCCTGCATACAGTGAAACCCTGTTAATCTGGACAGCCTGTCTGGGAACATCCCCTACAGTTAAGGCACCTGACTGCATGCTGGTGGGTCCAGAGTAGGGAAGGGGGCACCTGTCACCCTATTCATACAGCTGATGTGTCAGTCCCATATGTGTTGGTGCACTCTATGACTTGGTAGTGTGCACCATCCATTTTCTTCACACTCCTGGATCCACCCCTGCTGCCATAGCAAGAGGATTTCCCTGGGAATAGCTTTATCTGGTAAACAGGGTTTTTGTTGTATAAAGACCACAGGATGAAATGGGTTTGTTTTTTAAACTGAACATGTACATAGTGCTCAAGTATGGGTGAGTTGGTGTACACAACGTAGTTCCTCATTGGTATATCATGATAATCATGATATATGTTTGTTTTTTTACTGATGGTGTTTTATAGTGGGAACTAAACCTTGTTATACAAGAATTATTTATAACCGTTTTGAAACATGTTATTTTATACCTGAATATAAACAAATTGTACATGTTGCACCGTTCGTCAAGCGCAGTGTTTGGAAATGTCCTTGTCAGACAGTTTGACCTTGATATCATCATGCAGAATTAATAACCTTGTCTGGATCTTGTTTGAAGCAATACTATGCACAAGCATAGGTGATGCTGTATTATCATAATGTGATGCATTTGAAGGCATTATCATGATGATCACCTCCCCTGAAGCAGTGTTTCGGGGCTGATCATGTGGTTCCTGTGTTGAGTTTTAGTCAGTCGATATCATGGTTCCTTAGTCTGCGAGTAGCCAGGGACCCATCATTTAATATTCTTTGGGGCCTGGGAATTTATGTTGAAGAAAGGCTATTTTTAGATCACTACTTTATTCTCTGGAAGTATGAACCAAACAAATATTTTTAAAATTTTGAGGGGGCAAAACACATTTTTAAGGACATCGAGTAAAGTTGTCTTTCCAGTATTTTCTGCAACAAATTATTTTTGGAACCAGACCAGTATTAAAAATTTAGAACAATAAATCATAAATCAAATAAGAGGCGACCTACGGGATCGGGTGGTCAGGTTCGCCGACTTGGTTGATGCATGTCATTGTATCCCAATTGCGTAGATCGATGCTCGTGATGTCAATCATTGGATTGTCTGGTCCAGATTCGATTATTTACAGACCACTGTCATATAGCTGCAATATTGCTGAGTGCAGCATTTAACAACAACAAAAACATATTTTCGTCACTATCTAACATGCAGGGATATTCTGTTATGACATCTCACAAGATTACAATGCAATGATGTCACAGATTACCAGGACTCCAATTTCAGCTTTGCTGTGGTGAATTTATTCCCTTTTTGTTTGAAATATAATGCTGTATCTTTGGCAATTTGATTTATTGTCTATTATTCCCTGGGTCTCTGGTTCATATTGGCAATAGATTGGACTGCGTTATGTTGTTGAAACACTCAGGCAGGTCTGTTCTGTTTGTGCAGTGATCATAAGTCATACCAGCAGATATCCCCAAGACTAGTCCCAGCTCTACAAGGGAAGTTGTGTACAACTAAGCCCTTTTTCACTGGTGATTCCGCCAACCCTTAAAAAAAGAAAAGTAAAAAAAAATAATGTTTCTGTTTTTATCTCACTGGATGCAGATTTGTGTGTTAATCACAATTGTGCATCTCACATACTACTCAACATTTCCTACCGACATTTTGGTATATATAAAGAAGTAACACTGATATCAATGATACAAGATTAACAATATGCAACATATCGTCTGATAACCTTTTAGAGAACAAAAAATCAGAATTTTTTTATTTTTTTTTTATTTTTTATTTCTCTTTTTTCAATAATCAGCAAGATTTTTAATAATTATATTTATAAACCAATGTATAATTAAAGTCTTATTTGAATAACAGTATGAATATTTGCTTAGTTATAGTACTTGAAGTCTAATTGCTTAAAGAGTGACTTGGATCAGGCCCATTTGAAGGCCTAAGTTTTAAAAAGACAATCAAAACCAAGCCAGCTAATTCTGGTTGCATGATCTACTCTAACTAGCATCAATGGAGTCAGCTAATTGCAGTTGGATGATCTAATTCATTCTAGTATGGATGGTTACAAATAATCTCTCAGATTCATTGAGAAAATGTCTTTCAACCTCAGCAGGAAATGGTCCCCAGAATGAGGAACCTTATTGCTCTTTACACACTAATTTTTAAATTAATGTTAAACGTATGTATTCTGTGATGTCTCATGAACTTACCCTTTGTGGTCCTCATGATGACAAATGACCATATTCCAGCATCAAACCACAAAATGTCATCTGTCATTGTATACTACTCAAAAATGTTAAGCATCACCCATTTCTTTCACATTAGTGTAGTTATTCTGCCTTGCCATGCCAGATTAACTATAGTAATGTGAAATAATCACGTGATCCTTAACTTTATTTTAGTAGTATAAGAAACATGGGGTATAACTATACACACGGAAACCGAAAGGTGATCAAATGAGTCAGCTCACATTACTCTGATTTGGTATACAGCCAAATCTTGTTTGGGAGTAAATAGATAAATCAAAAATATAACTAGATGCTTTTAGTTGGGTCCTGACTGCATCCTTTTTTCACCATAATTTGGAACTAGAACACATATTACCCTGGTCCCCAACGTCACTTAGTATTGAGAAGGAATGAGTGAGTGCTTGAGTATGGTTTTACGCCGCTTTTAGCAATATTCAAGCAATATCACGGCGGGGGACACCAGAAATGGGCTTCACACATTGTACCCATTTCGGGAATCGAACCCGGGTCTTCGGCGTGACGAGCGAATGCTTTAACCACTAGGCTACCCGACCGCCCCGTATTGAGAAGGAAGTTTTTATGCAAACACTCCGTTGGTAGATGTAAGTTCATAGTTACCGATGAATGTGTGAAAGATAGAGACAACTTTGTTGGATAAGTGGCAAACAGGATAAGTCAATACTTTAAGCTCAGTCCCTCGATTTTCGACTTTATATCAAGTCAACTTTACATCTATCAAAAACAAACAATTTCTATCATATACCTGATTCCTATGACAAAGTAGCTGTGACAACAGTATAAGGATCCATACCGAAAAGTCGCCTTTACAGTATTAAAGAAGTTGTCATCCATATATCGTATCTACCTTGTCATCCATCAACTTCTAAGTAATGCCTATCAAACAATTCAACTGTTTACTATGGTAACATAACATAAAGCAGCAATAACTGTTATCCCAAGGTTCATGTCCAGAAGCCTTCACAAATACATCACATTTTATTCATGTTTGAAAATGTTCCACGTTTTAAGCCTAAGTACGGAATGTTGGTTGCTGTTTTCAAGCCCTTGTTTACAGAATTTCAAAGTTGTCTGGGTAGTAGTATGGTGATGTTTCTGGAGTTGTCTCCTGTCAGTACCTGTTGGAGAGAGATGTTGACATGTTTTAGTGCTTGCATCGCATGGTGATATTGTTATCTTTTTGTTCTTCAGCTTGTCAACCACGTGCTGCTTGCTATATTATATTTGCCATAAAGGTGGTCTTGTCGTTGTATGTCATTTTCTTACAAGACTTTTATATGTATATATGGTTCTGTTATTAAATGTCTAAATACCAGTTAATATTGCCTTTTGTTCTTTGTTTTTTGGTTGGGTTTTATGCTACTTTCAAAAGTATTCTGGCAAGATCACAGACGGGAATACCAGAAATGGGCTTCATTATACCCAAGTTGGGCCTTTATGATTAGAGGATGCTTTATTAAGCTCTAGGCTACCCCACCACGAGGTCCGACATAAAAGCCCAGTTTCCACCTTTGTCTTAACTAAGCTGGAATTTCTATGCATAGTCAAATCAAAATCGCCTTACGAAATCGACATCCTTTTCGTAAACTACATGGTAACTAGCATGCATATTTGATTGCAGGATTTGCACATAAAAGCGACAAAACCCTTTCTATATTCCATCTTCCCGAGGCAAGGGAGTTTACTGACTCTAAATGTCCAGTTTCCACCCTTACCAACTCGGCTGGAATTCTGTGTCTCTATCATAGTGCCACCAGTTTTGAGTTAAGTCCCTTCTATGTTCCACCTCCTGGCCATGCCCTATTTGTAATGGGTTTGAGAAAATTACCTGGGGCCATGGTGATGAGTAATTGTTTAAAAGACGGAAGGTGAGGTTACATCACTGACTTTGTGTGCTGGCGATTAGGTGCCTCACTCTGAAAATGTGGGTTCGATCAACCCCAAAAAGTATTTGAATTTGTGCTTTACTAAGAAAATATCCCAAACATAACATGTGTAACTGGTTGAACATGACTTTGAATACAAACTTGTGTCTGCTTCACGCCACAGTCAGCAACACTCTAGCTGTATCATGGTGATTAAATCCTGTCTGTACAAACCAGTGATCAATAGCATGAACACACTCGATGCCATCAGAGTATGATTTCACATCAGCAGCCAAGTCACGGAGCCTCACCATGTGATCCCCAATTAAGTTGGCTCTTACAAGCATCAGGTTCTGAGGACCCATTCTGACAAAGGATCACCACACGGTTTTGTTTGTTTGCTGTTTAACGCCGCACTCAGCAATATTCCAGCTATATGACAGCGGTCTGTAAATAATCGAGTCTGGACCATACAATCCAGTGATAGATATGATGAGCATCAAGCAATGCAATTGGGATACAATGACATGTATCAACCAGTCAGCATGCCTGACCTCCCGATCCCGTTAGTGAGCATTATGAGTTGCAACTCATGACATGCATGGGTTGCTGAAGACCCATTCTAACATCTAACATCTTCATGGGTCAAACCACAGGGTAAGACAGAGATGTTTGAGCATGACAAAGGACTTTAAGCTACCAGGCTAGAACTGCCAAGTGATCCGAGCCTGGTTTCCCTTCAAAGGAATGATATGGTTATACACCACATTTAGCAATATTCCAGCAATATCATGATCTATCACGGCAGGGGACTCCAGCAATGTGATTTACACATTGTACCAATGTGGAGAATCAAACATGGTCATTTAAGGGGACACAGGTGGCCCCGTCATCTAAGGCACCGCAATTAGCTGTGCAGAGTTGCGTCCCTTGCACACCTGGTACTGTGGATTCGAATCCCGGTTCACTGTCAGCACCATACCCGTGCTCCTCAGGTTTCACGAAAGTGGTAAATGTCTAAGACCTGCATCACTTCGGGCTTTCCTCCCAAATCAAGCTGATAGCCTGATATATAACTGGATACTCTTCATAGTGGTGTATCACTCTCTTCGTTTCTCACAGTTCTCATGTATGGTATCCGCGTGGAAACGCTGTCACCTAGCTATAAAGCAGACACTGCAATGTTTTATTCCCTTTATTGGCCAGGTAAACTAGAAGTGTATAACCATTGCTGACTACTATATACATACTGAGACATCAGTGTCACCTACATAACACAGATCAGTAGCAGGGAGTCATGTACAAAACAGGGGCTGATGATGTACAACTGATGACAATGGTAATTACAGTGATGGTCATGCATATATATACATGTAACAACAAAACATATATCAGGTATACATCGTACATTTTGATTCAAAATTAAATTAACACAGATCGATAAAAATAATAATTTTACTGAGGTGGAGTTTCAATTAAAGATCTTATTGTTATCTATTATCACACAAAAATCAACAAATGAGAAAATAGCAAGATTTTTGTAAAAATAAAATCTTTTTTAACAGTTATATTATCTGAAGTACATAAACTAACTACAGATACTATGGCAATAGTGAAAAAAAAGCATATATTTCTGATGGAACAAAACATAATATACTACTGGTATGACATACTATTTCCCTAAAACAAATTTACACCCTTGGTATGCAACAGGGAAATACTGTACATTATTACCTAAAAGCCTCCATCATCTGTGACCACGTCCTTGCATGTAGAACAAGCTGGTATATTAAAAGACCTAATCAAATAAGCTTTTCAACCAATTATTAAAAATTAACAACTTGTACAGATGACATGTTGAATTGTTCATCCATTTGTTAAATTGTGATGGCAAACTATGCAACACGGATTTTAGAAGGTTCACCAACACCTTGAGTGAAATATGGGCACCACAATAAAAGATACAGATCAGTTCACTTGACTTCCAGGGGAGAAGGACGTGATAAACCCCTTGTCGAACATACACCCTGTACAGTGCCATGAATTAGGACATAGTTTAATTGTGACGTTAAATACTTTGTAATGGTGTCAATCATAGCTGGTGATAACATTAAGTATTTGCCACAAGGCTAGAATGATTGTTATAACTTTCAAATATTTGTACTTGTGCACATAAGGCTTAAAAAAATAAAAGAATTGGTTCTCAGGCATTGGTTTTTGAAAATATATTGCAGGTGGGTAGTGTCTTTTGTGTTCAAAGCAGCATGTAACAAAATATACAGTTGTGTACAATCATCCCGGGAAACGGCCTCCCTACATTAATGTATTCCTTGAAGAGTAAAATACTGGAATACAGTATTGGACTACCATTGGCTTTGGAATATTTAAGGATATTTTTGTGGGGATTTTTTAAAATTGAAATAAAAACGAAATGAGCAGTGAACTTTATGATGATGTGGGTGATGCCTGAGAACAAGACTATTATTTTGTTTAGCCTTACAGCTATTCCTCTGATTGGTCAGTGCCATTCCTAAAATATTCACCACAATTTTGGCTTTTAAGCCAATTGAATCTGTTAGATCATGAGAGTGATTATTCTCTGGCATTTGCGTTGGCATTGGCGTTGACGTTTACATTTCTACCATTCAATCACTCAGAACTAAAATCCCTATTTCCTGGTAACTCATTGCGTATTCACTATGGAACAACTCGTCCAGAAGGTGACTGTGACAATGTAACTTGAGATCCAATACAACCTGCATATATCCAGATTTGGCACAGAAAGATGCTGGTCCACATAACTTGACACCACAGTGAACTTACTAAGATATAACAAGACTTTGTAAAAACTTCTCATAGTGATTGAATAGTATTCACAAAAATAGTAAAAGTTAGTGTTGTCGCATTTCAATATAAAATGCATCTAATGATCTATTTACAATGTGTTTCAAGTGATGAAGCTAATGGAAGTGGCAATGGACAATCTTTTTCTAAAGCTTTAATGTACCGTCAAATAGCCATTGATAAAATTGAAGATTAGCACCAAATTTGTGGAACATTTTCAACTGTGCGCCAAAACCATTACGTGCTTTATGACATCATTTACATGTTTGCCAAAGGAGGTTTTATGATTTCATTGTCCACAAAGCGATCCACATAAGGATCTTAGTGCTATGACTATTGTAAGTCAATGCTTTAGAGCTATCAGTCATAGTGCTAGGATCCTCTTGTGGACAAGGCCCTGTCGAACTTCATCGTGAGAGGAACAAGTAGGCCTACCGACGACAGTCAAAACTATCGTATGTACATGCACATCTACAGCAATTTAAGCTTGTTCAAATGTTGATTCAAAGAAATTGTTAGAAACACAAAAATACAAATATAGCACTTGTTATAGCAATACAAGGGTGAAAGAAGTAAAACATCTCTAGATACATGTATCAGCAAAGACGTCCCTCCTTCTGACCAAGCTGAGATGGATGTTTCACAGATCCCTCATCAAGGGGAGGGTCGTAGAAAATATGATAAACAGTAAGCATGCAAAAAAATAAAACCTGTAAGTATAAAAAAATAAGATTAATATTCAAGTGTGAAAAATTAAAAAACAGTAATCATGAAAGAGTAAAAAGTGCAAATGCTCAAACTGAATTTTGGAAAGCAAGCAATGATTTTTCCACTTAAGAAAATGTACATATTTGAGGTCTAAAAATCTAAACAATAACATGAATCTAATAAAGATGGCTGCAGCAAGCACATCAATTTCAGCTGTGTATATATCTTCAAACAGCAGTCAACTTTGGTTATATCAAAGGCAGCAATGTGATCAAATAAAATAAAGGTGATAGTACAGATACATACATGTTCTGATACATAACTTGTAAAGGCAGTTAAAGTTTCCTATTGTCAGAACAATTTACTTAATTACAAACTTAAATTTTAAATAATTTCATGAAAAGTCTATTTGGGGTGAGATTGTAATATAGAAGACAAAACTTAAACAAAAATGAAAAGTCTATTTGGGGTGAGATTGAAATATAGAAGACAAAACTTAATAAAAAATGAAAAGTCTATTTGGGGTGAGATTGTAATATAGAAGACAAAACTTAAACAATTGCACTGGCGTGAATCTCACATATCACAATATTACATGCAGGAGAGCAAGGTAAAACGGTACAGGGGTTTACGATACTTCATGGGAAAAGCATATATTGCTCATGTTAAGATCTGAATTTTGGTTTCATGAAAAGATCATGTCAATGTTTTTACAGTATTCTCCCTCAGTTTCACATAAAAAACCAAGGGGTAAATTAAGTACATCAATAAATTATATTGCTTTTCAGCAAAAAACATTTGACCATACATCTACATCCACTGTACAAGTTTACATGTTAAAACTAGAAAAGAGAAGCTTCATACTGACTGTTATTATATTGAATCCGACATGATATTATGTGGAATTTCTCTTAAAATATGTAAATTATGTTACAACTTCAGTTAGATCTTCTTGTCTGCTATATATACTGAACTACAAAAATAGGATTGCTGAATATTTCTAAGTGTGCTCAGTCTTGAACACTACACCTTTGGACATGCCAGAAACCTATGATTGTGGGTTCAAATCCCGGTTCGTCCTGATTACATTTCTAGGTTTGTCAGCACCAAACCCGTGCACATGGGTTACAGCGAAGTGGTAACCATCGAAGACGTGCATTCCATTTTCCTCCCACATCAAGCTGACATGCTGTGATATAACTGGAATACTGTTAACATGGTTAAAAGCGGCGTTAAACCCAACTAACTCACTTGAACACTACCCAAAAAAATATCACCAAAAAGATCCCTAACTTACTTTGTTCAGTATATGATTTAGGAAATGGGTTAAAAAGCATCGCATTGGCAGATATAGCTGATAAGCATGGATGTTTGAATTTTTTAAGCATGACATGTGGCAGTTTTTCAATTTCAATTTCTTAACCCGTAATTGTTTTACATCTGAAATAATGTGTGACTGATGAAGTGGAAGATTAAGCCCTGATAAATTGGAAGATCAACTTTACAATGGACTGACGGGCATGATCATGAATGGTGAAAATGTCAAAATTATTATAACCCAGAATACAAAGCACTGAAACTGAGTCATAGCATGTGACGTCAAAAACATTATCTTTGTTATTTCAATGTACAGTGCAATGATGTACTAATACTTAATTAACAACATCAGTTCAGTATATATGACATAAGCAATTTTACAGATCTAACATAAAAATACATACATCTTGAAATGACTGAAAGTCAACTCGTCAAGAGAATGCATTGATATCATCGCAAACGGCCATTTTATTAATCATGAAGACTGGAGACTGGCCTTAGTTTACTTGATCATTTTGAGGAACACTAATTAAATATTTACACTTTATAAATTAACCATTTATTGTAAATGACACTATATACAGTCTTGAACGCACTTGCACAAAGCTTTCATAGAAAAGCAAATGACATCCTCTCTGATAATTGTGAAAACAATTAAGATACCTATTCGACGTAATAAGTGCCCATGGCAACATTTCTCGTATATTGGCTAGTGAACAATCCCAGTTAGCACCCCTTCCGATTGATCAATGTACACAAGACTTATTTATTTGTGTATAATACGCACTCGTGTGTTATATGCACCCTTAACTATGGGCAATTAAATTCTGAAAAAATATATCTGTCGTATATAAACATTTTAGGCTGTCAGCATAAACCACGAAATTTACGATCTTTCAACTTTTTCAATTTTTTTCACCAAAAAAATATTCTAATAAGAGCCCCCTATTTCTAATTTTGTGAGCACCCTGCACGCTTATTATGTCGAATACAGTAACAAATACTTCCTTCCATGAAAGTACCTACAACTGATCCTACAATTTGTAATAATGTTCAATTTACAGCAATGGTGTCATATCTAGTTCGTACGTACATGAATTTAACATATCAACAACCTAGAAAGTCAACACTAAACCACATGGAAAACTAAAAAAATACAAAATAACATTATATACTGGTCATAGCCACATCAAGGGAAATTTCCACAAAATTTCCATCTCTAAATCATCAAATCTGCACCAGACAATCCAGTGATTGATACTTGGTAATTATAAACCCAACTACACTGCAGTTTGTTGTACACAATCTGTAATACACACACAAGAAAATATGGACTGTCATATAAAGTTTGGACCCAAGCAGCAGTGCTTATACATATGTTATAAAGATTTCTTTTACAGACAGGTCTAGATGCAGGCTGGTCAGGCAGTGCTTCTTATAGCAGGGTGCTATACAGCAAATCATGTATGTCTTAATGACGATAATGACATGCAAATGAGGATATAGTGATATTATCAGAGCTCCAGATAAGCTGCGTATCTGCGTAAAATACGCATCAAAAATGCAGAAATATGCAGTAAAATAAAATCCAAGCGTATCAAATACGCAATGAACATTACAGATTCGCTACAAAAATAAAACTTGTGCGTATCATCAAAATATTGTGAAGTAACCCTGCGTATTCGATAAGCAAATCAGCAACTTATTTTGAAATTATAAACGGACATTCCGTCAACCTTGCCAAACTCCATGATGACAGTTACATCATGATCATTTGCCATCACACTTTCTTGGGGAAGTATCGTGGTATTTTTGAGTCCTATAAAGCTCTCGAACCCACACGACACCAGTTTGCAGGGACTAGATGAATAGTGTTTTTAAATATTTAACTTAGATACCCACATGTGTAAAAACTAGTGGGTAACAGAAATTTGAATACCCAGATAGAATTACTGATACCCAATGATTTCAAAATGCATGGGTTAAATACCCACAACACCAAAAGCTTATCTGGAGCTCTGTATTATCCTGTGGTAAAAGGTTATCTACTGATGAAATATACTTTAAAATATACACTTATTATAAAGTTGAATAATGTAACCTTAGAAAAGTGATATCCCCTACATGCCTATGTAGTACAACACGGATAATGCCTGGCACATGGTGCACAGCCTCAGATACCACAGCTTATCCAACCTACTCTCAGTCCATTCAACCATGTGTCTTTCTGTATGAAATGTTAAGGTTGCCATGGTTACTCACTGGGTCAAGGTATGTAATACAAAATTGAGTGTGTTTGATTTAACACTGCTTTGAACAGTGTTTCAGTTGTATTTTCAGTATGTCGGCATGGAGAAAGCCCATATGATACAGATTTAGATGTTTTAGTGAAAGTTAGTAAAAGTTAAGAGAAACCCGAAATTTCTTGTATGGTGCTGACACACCATGGATCCCAAATATCATTTGATTCTGGCACACTCAAGGATGCAATTTGCAAATTGTTGTGCCATAGGGAACCAAACCACCTATACAAATATATTAGTGGGACCTGGTAAAGTTTGGCTGAGTAATTTGTTTACATTTAATCAAATTTGACTCAAGTGATGATGTGGTGTCCTCATGTCCCAAGGGAATTATCAGCCAAGGAATCTAAAGATGGATGTAATGATGGCCGTATCAACCAGCAAGTGACCCAAAATCATTATCCCTGATCACACTATACTCTCAGTCTTACTGGACTTGGGTGCACTTGTTTCCGATTTTGCTATGTCGTTAAGCACCTCCCATGATGCCTGCCTGGGTAAGGATTTGTCTGGAGGTGGGACGAAGGTGATCTGCCCCCCAGAGTCGGAGCTGTGGAGGGAGGAGCCTGCAGAGTGGGGGTACTGGCCACTCCCAACCACACTGCCATAGTCAGACACTGCCCCTGGAGGCTGCATGTAAGATTGGGGCATATAGGCAATGTTCCCAGGAGGGGCATAGCCTTGCTGGACATACGGAACTACTCCTGGTGGGTACTGAACTCCGGAATATGGATTTGGTTGTTGTGGCTGCTGCTGGCTGAACACAGAGCCTGTGACTGACCCTGTCTCTGTGTTGTCGGAATTCTTCTCATGGTCAGTTATAGCACACAAAATGTCCCAGCTCGACTTGCTGGACTTCCCCGGTTGACCGGGCGGAGCTTGTGGAGGTTGTTGAGGAGGAGCTGCTGTGGGCATCCTAGGAACTGGTGCATACATCACTGGTGGGACTGGCTGACCCCCAGGCATCATGGCCCCGGGGTAGGGCTGCATCATGGGCATCCCTCCTGGTGGGATATAATGAGGCTGCCCTGGGTAAGGCATTGGACCCCCGGGAACCATGTGGCCAGGGTAAGGCATGCCACTTGCTGCTGTAAATGCTGGGGTCTCGGGATGGTGAGATGCAGGTTGAGTGGCAGCTTCAAGGTCAGGTTGAGGTTTAGCACTAGCAGCTTTCCTTGGAGCAGGTTTAGGCTTAGGCTGAGGTTTAGGTTTATCAGCTGATGATTTCGTTCTTGTTTTAGGAGTGGTAGGTTCAGATTGCTCATCTTTCTCTTCTTCATCCTTTGAAACAGACTTCTTAGCTCTGGGTTTCTTGGAGGCTGTAGAGGATGTACTTTGTTTCCTGGCCGCAGCCTTCCTTGCAGTACCTTTCTTAGGAGCAACAAGCTTTCCCTTCCCTGTCTGAGAACCTGTCTCACGTAATGTCTGTGTAGAAATCTCACGGGATTCATATTCAAGGTCCCCAAGGGACCTGAAGCCCTTTCTCATGGACTCCCTTCTTGACACTCGACGGTTATCAAAGTCATCATCTGAGTAGGCATCTATGTCATCCCGAGTGTATGACATGACAGACTCGCCGATGGAACTACTCCTCTCTCGTCGCCCACGCCGACCATACAGCGATGACCTCGAGGCGTACAGTGACTGTCGAGAACCTGATCGCTTCAGTGCTGAAACAAAAAGACAACAATCATGATGAAAGAAGGAGGGAGGAAAAGAGGAAACGCCGTGCTACTTAAATTGTAATGTGACAAGGAAAATGAGTGTATTGGGTTTAATGCTTGAACAGCATTACAATCTCAAGGTGACATGTCCGCTGGATGTGCCAGGAAAGTCTTTAGAGTGGAAGAGTGAATATGATTTTATGCCGCTTTTAGAAATATTCCAACAATATCACAGCAGTGAACACCAGAAATGGACATCACATAGTGTACCCATGTGAGGAATTTAGCCAAGTCCTTTGGCGTGACGAGTGAGTCCTCTAACCACTAAGCCACTTGGACATTTACCGCTTTGGTAAAACCCACCAGCACCAGATAAAATATCTCACTACCTATAGGCCCTATTGTAATGAGACGATGCCATGTCAATTTCTCTTTTCACTTTCTTGGTCACAACGAGAAGCAGGAAGTAAAATATACCAAAACTGTTTTCAAAGTTTATTAAAGGTAAATTTGTGAACAAAATCCTTGAAACATAGTCTTTCAACAATACCAACAAAGGTTGGTTAATCCATGAAACAAACAAAAAAATGCTCTACCTGTTTCAAATATGTTCTAAAATATTTCAGTTTCCTTCTCATGCAAAATAAACAATGTCAGATACTTAATTAAATCACTCACGATGATAGTTGGAATCAAGGTCATCATCCCTGAAGCGAGAGATCTGACTGGTCGGCGTTTCTGGACGCCCAATTGATTCATTGTCATCGAGGATAGACCCCGTTGAAGGTCTTGATGCTCGTCCTATCCTGGGAGATTTTCTAGAGGATTTTCTAAGGCCAGTATTTTTCTGAAAACCTCCTGCAGGTCTTCTCCCTCTCTCTGACTCCGGAGCCAGGCTCTCCTGATCATAAGTATCATGTTTTGGATGTCTTCCCCCAGTTTCAGACTGTTTCCTCTTCTCTTTCGGACTCTTGCCCCTGTTGGGCCGTAACGTATGCTGAGTGTCATGCTTAGGTTTTGTCTGATGTGGGTCAGACACCTTGATAGCAACGACCTCACTGGGAGAGGGAGGTTGTTCTTGATTTCTGACAACCCTGATACCACGGTCATCATGATCACCACGTTCGATCTGCTGGATCTCCTCCGAAGAAGATGATGGCCTTGGAGCTCGTCGGATGCTGGCAAATTCTGAACGCTTCGGTTCTGGTGACTTTGGCACAACGGGAAGAGGAGGTGGAGGTGGGATACCCTTCTTCTGGGTGTTGTTTTTATTGTTTTTGGTTCTGGTGTTCTTGACAACAGGTTCATCAACAGAGGATGTTTCATTTACAGAGTCTTGCCCAGAACTGTAGGAGGAGATCCTCTTTGCTCTCTCATCAGCCTCTGCTTCAGTTGCAGCAAAGGTGGCCCTGAATTTTGCATTACTGTGTAGTGCACTGAGAATAGGAGATTTGGGTCCATCAGAATCAACCTCGTGCTCCTTAGGCTTGTTCCTTTTGGGCACATCCTCATAATCAAATGACATGGATTTCTTAGGACTCATTGCATAGCTTTCAATGAGGGGAGCTTTTCGTTCTCCAGAGCTATTAGTACTGTCAACTTCATTGTCAACTTTATAGTTGTCTTTATAACCACGCTTATTGACATATTCATCATTTTCACTGAGCAAGAGCTTCTTATTGGAGCCTGGTGTATCATTATATGTGGGTCCACCATTACGGGCGTCATTGTCATAGCCGTATGTTGTGTTGGAATGCTCATCCAGATTCTGCTTGTACTCTTGTTCTCTTTCGATTTTACGCTTGTGGCGGTAACAGCACACGCCGAGGATGGACAGGAAGACTAAGAAAGCAACGATTCCACCAACTATTCCAACGACCATGCCCACTGCCATTGGACTGGAATCATTGTTGGTGTAGCCTTGTTCAGCTGGAAGAGACATCAGAACATCAAAATACTGCCTTAGAAAGATGAATGAACAATGTTCAACTATTCTTTTGATCTTAATAACATGATTTAAGTCTTTGATAGGCACTTAGAGTGTGAGTGAGTTTAATTTTATGCCGCTTTTAGCAATATTTCAGCAATACCATTGGCAGGGCACACGAGAAATGGGCTTCACAAATAGTACCCATGTTGGGAATTGAACCCGGGTCTTCGGCATGATGAGCGAACGCTTTAACCACTAAGCTACCCCATCGCCCCGATAGATATTTAGAACATGAATACATGACACTATTTTGAAGATAACAACTTCTGTATTCTTTGTTTCAGGGCTACTTGCTGACCTGTCAATCATCTCATGAAGGGTCAAGAAGTACCGGTAGCCCTGAAACATTGTTACAAATAACAAAGAACTTGTTATCCATAAAACAAAGCGTCATGTAAACATAAGACTTACACAAAAACTTGAGAAACATATACCATAATGCTAAAACTTATCTAGTGTAGATGCCGCCTTCCTGAACATGATGAAAGTGAGAAAGTATGCACATCCTACTAAATTAGCTTCAGAAAATAAATGTTCATTACAGTTATAACTCGCATCATGATGAAGATGTGGATTTTGAAAGTTGACAGATTTGTTTCCATTAATTCCATTCTTGTTTTTCAATATTTGGAATCATTACATCAAATGGGTGAGTGAGTGAGATTGGTTTTATGCCGCTTTTAGCAATATTCCAGCAATATCGGTGTGATGAACGAACGCTTTAACCACTAGGCTACCCAACCACCCCTTACATCAAATGGGTTAACATGATCAGGCTAGACTCTATTTTGTCTTGGTTTACAGAACTTAGGATGAAAAAAGAGATATTTTGGATTAATCTCTAGTAATTTATTATCTTGAAGTTAAACCTATTGCACCTACAATTCTTTTGTAATGAATACACAACCTTGAAATCAACAGAATATAAAAGGTGGTGCTTTATATATTTTATCTTCTTTGCACTCATCTTTTTTGGGTGGAAAGTAATATCTGTAAACCAAGTTCAAAACAAAAGTCTTCCTTATCAATACCCATAGTCAAAGATCAGTGAACATAAAGTTAAGGTAGACACAAGTTTATGGATAACCACTTCTTTAATACTGTAAAAAGCGAAGTTTCCATGTAGATCCTTATACCGTTGTCAAGCAAGCAGTCTTGCTTGACAAAGGTATAAGGATCTATAAGGATCTACACCGAAACGTCACTTTTTACAGTATTAACGAAGTTGTTATCCATAAAATTGTGTCTACCTTGTCATCCATCAACTTCTAAGTAATGCCTATCAAACAAAACATATATTTACTCTAAGACAATGCTATTACGAGATATACCACCAGACTACCCAACACTCCAAAAACACGGATTTACGTGGTGGAGAAGATAAAGGATGGAAGGAAATCAACTGGGGGGAAAATAGTCCAAATCAATGAATAAAGGAGAGTTTTGTCCCTGCAAAACATAGCCAGAAAAGCGTTAAAAAAAATATTCAAAGCACGAAGATGTAGCTAGACAGCTAGACAACCCTTCAATGTCACAAAACATAAAATAATATTGATATATTTTAATGTTGCAAGTAATTCCTACAAAACAGGGATGTACTGTAATGTTACCAGTATGCAGACCTGAAACTAAACAAATATATCATGAAATATTCATATAGTTATTAGGATATTATCATTTATAAACATCATTTGTAGCATGTTTCAGTTTTCAATCCTCAAATAACAACTAATTCGGTTTTGAAGAAATCCATATGTGTAGTCAATATGCTAGATATAATATGCTAATGTCAGCTAATCGAAGAAGTCTTGCTTGCTAGCAATACCCTGAGTTTTACAAACAAATGAATGTCATCGCTGACTTTTACAAACAAATGAATACTTATGAGAATGTTTTTGGAAACACTATGACATCACTGACTTTGACTTGTTTGAGTTCATGGATCCTACAAATACAACATAGCATTAGGCAGACTTGTGCTGTGATAAGAACACTTCCAGTTCAGTGACCTACATTAAGCATTGAGTTTTATCAACAAGAAAACACTGGGACTCTCACAAAAACATTAAACGCCACTGCCACAGATTTATCTAGACCTGCTCAGGCCGATATTCGGCCCCAAGTCTGCAGCAAATGACAGTAAAAATCCCAATTTGAATTTAATCAGACATGTCCGAATTTACAAAACTAAGAACACTGAATTATAACAAATGTTATATTTGGGATAACACTTTCTAGGTAAAGTACAAATTCCAATACTTTTTACATATTTTAAAAAATCTAATTTTGAGCACGAACATCATTTATTTGGAAATAAGCAGGTGACCTCTTGGTCTATCCAATAGGTCTATGAATCAAAACAGAATCATTAACATATCTGTGTGACATCTGTAACAAGATTAACTTAAAAATATCATCATCATTATGCTGAGACGAGTTCAATCACTTACGTTTATAAGCTCGTAGGTTCAGTGTGAAGCCATAGTTGTTGCTGTTGATGTTTTTACGTTCAAGACGTATTGTTGCTCTTCCTTTTGAGGAGATCATCGAACCTGGCCGTGCTGTCCCACAAGTGTAACTTGAGCTCTGTTCACGAAGGAAACAAATTTGTCAGCATGGTCAGACAAAGATAAATATTCTTTTCCTTTTATGTAATCTCTCAACATTCTGAATGATTTTCATGATCTTACTCTGAAAACCATACTGTCATATTAGCCATGTAACAATTATTATGGCCACACACTGTCCACCATTTTTGGCCACAATAACAGTAATAACAGCAAACTATTGCTGCAACAAAGTTGCAGTATATTGGGGCGACATAGTAACATATTGTGGCAATATACAGGCAGTATATTGTGGTAACATATATGAAGTATATTGTGGCAATTATAGCATATTGAAAGGTACATTGTGTCAACATAGTTGCAGTACATTGTGTCAACATAGTTGCAGTACATTGTGTCAACAGAGTTGCAGTATATGTGGCACCATTGTAGTCTACTGTGGCAATATATATGTAATTTATTGTGGCAACATAGTAGTAGATTGTGGCAACAAAGATTCAGTATATTGTGGCAAGAGTAGTATATTGTGGCAACATAACAGCCTACTGTGGCAACATAGTAGTCTTTTGTGACCATATTTCTGCCCTCCGTTACCTGGCTAGATGACTCACCCCAGTTGATGTGCCCTCCAAGCTGACGAACAGAACCACGTTGCAGTCATCCATCTGGAAGTTGCCGATACTCAGGTCAAAGTAGTCACGGTCATCTGATGCCCGGAACTGTAGCTGGCACGCCAAAACGGATGATGATATGCCATTAGTTCGGCCAATAATCTGCACAGTTGTGTCAGTTGCTACATCCAGAAAGCCAGCAAAGTTACAGTCGCCAGACTGGTCCATGGTGTCTGCAATACGACAAACAGACATGGTAACAAAGGTAAATGAATATAAACATGTCAAAGTTAAACCAAAAGGAACAGTTTATGGCTTCTACAAATTGGAATACAGTACAATAACCAGTCAGGGATGCTCATGGCACACCGTCCATTACACTTAGTAAGGTACACCGTCTTATTAGGTAAAATTGAAGATTGACGTGTAGTCAAAAATTGTACTGCATGCCGTACAAATCTTCTGGGAGTGTTTATTGAATGTTCATTGAATTGGTAATGATGCCATGACACCAAGTGTAATCTGATATTTTTGGTTTTGGTTTTGTTTATTGTTTAACGCCGTCCTCAGCAATATTCTAGCTATATGATGTCAGTATGTAAATAATCGAGTCTGTACCAGACAATCCGTTGATTGACATCATGAGCATTGATCCACACAATTGGGATAGACAATCTCATTAAAATCAGATCCAAATTCTTCGCTGCCCCTAAACAAAGATCTGAGGACATCCCATTAAGGGTCACGTCAAAATGACCTTTCGCGAACTTTGACTGACCATTGAAATCACTCACAAGAAGTTGACATCAGCCAATTAGAAAGCAGCTTTCTTGAGCCTGACGGCACGCGTTTCAACCTGGCGACTAACATTTCAGACTATGCTTGAAAAATATGTTAACACAGTTCTCGATTACAATTTTGAAAACTGAACAAACGAACATTCCAGAATGTCTAATATATGGTTGAGATTGTATGGCACTGTTTCCCACGTACTGTGCAATGCCTCCTCCGTTCAAATGTATATCCTATAGAAGCAAGAGACGGGTGGTAATTTTGACTGCATCAGTCGTAAAACCCCATGTTAATATTTTCGAGGTTGCATGATTAGAAAACACATACCGACTGTCACTTTCGTGATCTGGTAAGCGATGCTATGATTGGTCGGATGTAAGGTCGTTCTGATGTTACCTGTAATGGGATATCCTCAGATCTTTGTTTAGCGGTAGCGAGAAGGAAGATCTATTTTAATGAGATTGTTTGGATACAATGATACGCATCAAACCAAGTCAGGGAGCCTGACCACCCGATCCTTTTAGTCGCCTCTTACGACAAGCGTAGTCGCTTTTTACAGCAACCATGGGTTGCTGAAGACCTATTCTAATCCGGATCTTCATGGATCTGTACTCACATGAACTCCTTGCTGAACTGGCCTGGGCAGCCTCCAGAAACATCAGCAGCAGTAACAGTGTTGCAGTCATTTTGTATCTAGACTCATCTACGTTCATCAGGGACAAATACTACCACTCAATGGCATGCTAGTTTCCTGATTATCTCAAGTATTTGGCGCCTGAAATTCAAAAGGATTTTTTTATGAACATGTCATTTGTAGTACACATCATTTGTCTGGATAGTATGAAATAATTCTTAGACAGTTCACATCATATACTACTCATAAGAAGTTAAGAACCACCCGATTCTTTCATATCATTATAGTTAATCTGTCATGCCTTGCCAGATAATAGCAATATGAAAGAATTAGTGGTCCTTAACTTCTTATGAGTAGTATGTATCTGGTGGTGTCCATTATTTGTCTGGGTAGTATCAATGATTTATCATCCAAAACTGGCTCCCACAGGAGATATGGCTTGGGTGAGATCACAATGCTTTGCAGACCATAGTGATGTCATTGGTTACCATGACATCACAATTAAATGACAACACTAATGGCTCTGCTACAGGAGCTGTTACCAGTACCTTTTACACTTCAGACACTGCTTATTACTGTCTACAAACTCAAAAAATTGGAAGAATGATGTTGGATGATAGACAAAAGACACTCAGGTGAGATTCTCAATTTATCTGGGTAATATCCTTAATTTGTATGAGTGGTATCCATTATTTGTCTGGGTAGTATCCAATGTTTGTCTGGTTGGTATCCATATTTTATCTGGGTAGTATCCATCATTTGTCTGGTTGGTATCCATCATTTGTATGGGTGGTATCCAATGTTTGTATCGGTGGTATCCACTGTTTGTCTGGGTGGTATCCATCATTTGTCTGGTTGGTATCCATCATTTGTATGGGTGGTATCCATCATTTGTGTGGGTGGTATCCATCATTTGTCTGGGTGGTATCCATCATTTGTCTGGGTAGTATCCAAAGTTCATCTGGGTGGTATCCATCATTTGTCTGGGTGGTATCCATCATTTGTCTGGTTGGTATCCATCATTTGTATGGGTGGTATCCAATGTTTGTCTGGGAAGTATGAAATGTTTGTCTGGGTACTATCCACTGTTTGTCTGGTTGGTATCCATCATTTGTATGGGTGGTATCCATCATTTGTCTGGGTGGTATCCATCATTTGTCTGGGTGGTATCCATCATTTGTATGGGTGGTATCCATCATTTGTCTGGGTGGTATCCATCATTTGTCTGGTTGGTATCCATCATTTGTATGGGTGGTATCCATCATTTGTCTGGGTGGTATCCATCATTTGTCTGGTTGGTATCCATCATTTGTATGGGTGGTATCCAATGTTTGTCTGGGAAGTATGAAATGTTTGTCTGGATACTATCAACTGTTTGTCTGGGTGGTATCCATCATTTGTCTGGTTGGTATCCATCATTTGTATGGGTGGTATCCAATGTTTGTCTGGGAAGTATGAAATGTTTGTCTGGGTGGTATCCATCATTTGTCTGTGTAGCACCACCATTTGTCAGGGAAGTACTAGTACAATGAAGTATGCACTAACTGTCTGGGTGATATCCATCCAGTATTTAGAGGAATTGCTCTAAAATGGTCTTTTGGGAGAAAATATAATCACATTGTAATCAATGTTTTTAAAAAAATCCATCCACAATGATCCATAAACATGATAAAAAGGTTTTGATTTTATCACAAGCAGAATTCAATTCTTATTCTGAGGAAAATATTCCTATGTCAGTGTAGCGTGTTACATCTCATCATTAAAATATTAATCTAGACAATGGCATAACCAAGACAACGCCTGAAACAAAAATATTAAGATATTTAATTAGGATGTTATTTAAAGAGCTTATAAAATCACTCTATTTATAGCTTAAATGCAAATAACACTTCCACAAGAGAGCCTATTAATAGCTCACTGCTATTGTCTTGAACAAAAACAACTTGAACGCAGCTCGAAGCCCAAAGGAACCGTCCTTGTTTTCCATTACCATTAACTTCTCCTCCGGGAGCTGGGACATGGCTCTTCACATTCCAAACATGTGTGGCGATTACTCATTCCTTGCACAGCCACGCAAACCAACTTTCACGTGTACACGACCAAACAATGCATTAATGAATGTATTGATAAGAAAAACTGACACAGGCGCTTGATATCTGTAGTTGTAATTATCTAACATTTTAATAACTAACATTCATATGTTTGAGGAAGTGGTGTCACTGTTATGTTATGAAGAGTTACGACATAACTCGCTTATTTATTTTTGTCCAGGTAAATAAGGCCACGCCCTGAACAGGTGTGTCGACAATAAAGTGCTGATAGAGTCTGTCCCCAACCCATGGCGCGACTGCCCCACCCAACAACCTATCTACGAAAAACTCACCTTGCATTAAGTCGCGTCCATTGTAGTGGCCTATTTCCATAAGGACGCCATTTTGTTGTGCGATATCTGTCTACCTGTATAGGTAATACTAACTGACAAATACAGGTGTACCCAAAATTGGTCTGAAAACATTAAAGTAACATAGATCAGTCGAATTTTCTTTCAGCCCTTTTCATAGCTTAGATGCATTGTGCTATTTCCTTTCTTAATATTCAATACGTTCTATATTTTTTACTAAAAATAAATAAATAACCGTTATGTTGCATTGGTACAGCCTTGCACACCTGGACGTGAATAATGTACGTGTGGAATTAGTCATTGTGACACATTGTCACAAACTTTGAACGATTCGGTGGAAGGGAGATAATTGCTGCGCGCATTGTTGAAGTTTCACCTTTCAGGGGAGTCCCCATTCCACTCCTATGCGGTCGTGGGAACAGGACATGCTTCGATGAGCACTTTCGGTGATACCAAAGCGGAAGAAAAGACGCACATTAAAGATACAAACATATAAACAAGAATGTGCATACCACGTACAGCGAAACGAAGGGCATTTCTGGTTTCTACAGAGGATTTTTAAACGCTTAAATTTAACTTTCTTGAAATTGCAGCTTAGAAATTGTAATTGGAAATGTATTTTTTCGTGCTGTTTAAATTGTTTGGGGTCCATTGTTGATTTCTTGCTTGATTTTTCTGTTTTGGGGAGTTGTCTATTTTTCTGTTTTGAGTTATTTTTTGTTTATTTTTTCGGTATTTATTTGCGATTTCTGTCAAGTTATTCCTTTCCCATGTACACTACAAAAACATTGTTTTTTCTTTGTTTTTTTCCTTGATGACCAATCTGTTTACAATGTATGACCTGGCTGACTGTGTGTCATCGCACCCTGATGGTTGCTCATACATTCAATCAATCAGTCGACTATTCATTATTAGGTCTTAATTGGGCCCATGTACAAAAGTGTTGTGATCCGGGTTAGAATAGGTCATCAGCAACCCATGCTTGTCGTAAGAGGCGACTAACGGGATCGGGTGGTCAGGCTCGGTGACTTGGTTTATACATGTCAACGTATCCCAATTGTGTGGATCGCTGCTCATGATGTCAATCACTGGATTTTCTGGTCCAGATTCGTATTATTTACAGACCGCCGTCACATAGCTGGAATATTGCCGAGTTCGGCGTTAAACAAGACACACAAAAACAAACACCCTTGATAAAGTTGATGTAATTAGCAAGAATACTTGAATCACCAGCTTTCAAAATATGTATGAAATCGTTCCCGTTAACGTGGAGGGGTATACACTTTATATACGTATCACTTAAATCTGCATACGCAGGAAAAACATCAAAAAAATATTATTAACTTCAACAGCATTGTGGTTACAGATGTTACATAGTCTTTGTGGACGGGACCCTTGAAGACCCGGGGTTGAATAGGTCTTAAGCAATACAGCAATTTCAAGCAAAGTAATTCTACTTTCATCTTGTTTGGATTTAATATTAACTAAGTAAAGTTCCATTACATACAGATATTGTGTCCATGTCAGCCACTATATTGTGCCTGTCCCAGATCTGAATATTTACATGTAGACATCGTGATGTTGCTGTGACATTGCTGATTGCAGCATAAAAGAACAGTCACTCGCTCCTTCGTGGATGAGGGTTTTCAATATACTCTAGATCGTTGTTAAATATGTTAGCAGAAGGAATATTATGTGAGCGTAATCCTTGAAATGCAAAAAATCATAAGTGTGAGTTTAAAGACAAACGCATGCACATGACCTTATTATTTACGTTTTCCGAATCTTTTGTGACACTTAGCCTCGTACGTCCAGCTATGGCAGCTACATGGACTTACGTGTTGTTTACAATTCGTTGAATCTTTTTCTGTTTTGTATTCTTTGAAACAGTTTATTCCACAAGTTACGTTTACAGTTTCTTGATACACTGCAAACACTAGGTGTGAGTCTGACTGATATAGACTAAGAAAAGTTTCTATAAAAGACAAATGGAAATTATTTTTATATTTACGTGTCAATTTATTTGTTACAATAAGCTTTTTTTCATCGAGGGCGTGAATAACTTAATCAGGACATGCAGGTCTTAAAGTGTGGTTGTCCTGATGGCAGCCTGACATTTAAAAAAAAAAATTGAAACACTGGTACCAAGATATGATTTTAATGAAATTGGCTGTTTGCAGAAATATAAGGCACTTATCCACATCAATTTATACACAAAGAAAAAAGTTAAGCACACCCCTATTTCTGAACCATGACAAATGGCAAAAATCATGGCATGGGATGACTGACCACAGGAGCTGGGCGATACCAATGTCATCGAATAGAACAAACATTTGATTTGAACGACGACTGGCCTCAAAACCTCCCGGATGTACTTAGCCCCTGTTAAGTTGCCCCTTATGGTGACCAAATCCAACCTGCAATCGTGAGAGATACACCACCAAACCATTACCGAGCCCCCGCCGTATGCAACAGTCGGTTTAATGTTCCTGGGGTGGTAGGCCGTGTTCCGGTGCCTCCAAACTCTAGTTCTTCCATCAGTGACGTGGACTTTCGTCTGACCAATGGATCCGTCTCCAAGTTCTCAGATTCCAGCTCTGTCGCGCAATACACCATGCTAAACGAGCAGCTTTGTGGTGATCTCTCAACAAGGGACGTTTTATGACTAGTCTAGCCCTCGGTCCTGCTGCTTTCAGCAGGTTCCTGACGGGTCTGGTGCTGAAACGACGATCGGGCAACCACAGCTGTTTCAGACGAGTACTTGTTAAAAAGGGTTCTCGGTGTATGAGACGAAGAAGGTCCCTGTCTTCGCGATGTGTCGTCACAGGAGGTCTTCCGGATATGGGACGGTCCTGTACACCACCGGTCTGAGCATGTTTCTCGACTAAACGGCTTACGATAGTGTGATGATACCCCAAATTCCGACCAATGACATTACAAGACATTTCTGTGTTGTGCATGCCGATTATTGGCCATCTTGAGGCGTTTGATAATCGCCTTCGTGCCATGGTCACACAATGTCACGGAATACCTGTTTAAAACCGAGCTTAAGAAAGCAATTTTAACGTTTGGATATACTGCTTTTATACAGACTCGAGGGTAGCATGCTGCACGGGCATACCATGCATGGCACGTGAGCTTTCGTCACGCATGGCAGATTACATCATCTCGAGAAAACATAATTCTTCCCGTAATTATATCTTTCATGACTGTTACAAATATTGGGACCAAACAGTATTGAAATACTAGTATATTGGGGTGTGCTTAACTTTTTACTTTGTGTATACATTTATTCTTTGTATGGCAACGGCTAAAAGGCGGCTATCTGAACATACTATGATATACGCTGTTCATGTTCCATAACGTAGTAGCGGAACAGGTGAAGTTTTACGCAAGTTACATTGTCATATGATTGGTGTTAAGAAGCCCACTCGATTTGAAATCCTTTGAATGTTGATGTTACCTTCGTAAATGTGCATCAACTGCTTTTGTAAAGTATAGCACGCATTTGCATGTTTTATAGATGCCGTATGTCCCCAATTAGGTGATCTTGGACCCGTAAAGACCCAGGATAGAATAGGTCTTCAGCAACCCATGCTAAAGGCGACTATGCATGTCGTAAGGAGTGACTAACGGGATCAGGTGGTCAGGCTCGCTGACTTGGTTGATGCATGTCATCGTATCCCATTTGCGTGGATCGATTCTCAAGATGTCAATCACTGGATAGTCTGGTCCAGATTCGTATTATTCATGACCGCTGTCATATAGCTGGGATATTGCTGAGTGCGGCCTTAAACAAACAAACGAATCACCTTGATGTGGGACGAAATGCCCAAGGTGACGCACGTCTTCGAAGACCCACGAGCACGGGTATGGTGTTGACAAATATAAACGGTGGAATTCGAACCCACGATCATGGTTTTCTAGCAAAACAATGGACGTAACTCTCACACTCACTCTTATTAATGGATATTACAATGATACGAAGAAGCGCAAATCAGTATGTGTGTTTATTGTTTTACGCCTAACAGTATTCTAGCTGTGTGACAAAGACATAAATAATCGAGTCTGGACCAGACAATCCAGTGATGACAGCAACAATCCACGCCGTCGGGGTACGATGACACGCTATCAACCATGTCACTGAGCCGTCTTACGATCAGCATTGGTACCGGGGAGCCAATACCTTACCTGGAATCCCCCCAGATCAGCCTGGGTGCACGGGTGGCCCAGTCGTCTAAGGCGCCGCGATTCGCTGTGCAGAGTTGCGTCCCTTGGGCACGCCAGAAACCTATGATTGTGGGTTCGAATCCCGGTTCGCCCCGATTATGTTTCTAGGTTTGTCAGCACCATACCCGTGCTCGTGGGTTTCACCGAAGTGGTAAACGTCTGAGACCTGCATCACTTCGGGCTTTCCTCCCACATTCAGCTGACACGCCTCGATATAACTGGAATAGTGTTAAAAGCGGCGTTAAGCCCAACTCACTCACTCACTCACTCACCCCAGATCAGCCACTATAGATTTAGCTAAGTGACAGCTGACAGGGTGCTGAACTGCCTGTCACATGAGAAACCGTCAGAAACAATGAAAAAGAGAATAGTCAATTAGTTTTACCTTCACGACTTTCAGCTGGCGTGTGTGGAGAGGATGTAGATACTCAGAAATAGTGTTAGTGTTGTCCTTGTAAGAAGATAGGCACACCTATGTACAGCAGCGGCAACAGCATGACGCCATTAAATAAAACAAGACCTGAAACATGTCGCGTGACTTTTTCGCCATGAATTCCGGATATTATAAATCTTCCTGTCAAACAAAGATTACAACACGGGTAACTATCAATTGAAAACACCCTGCAGTAAATAACTGATCTCAGAGTGAGTGACTCAACGGGGTGTACGTCACAACCGCGTGACTTCGGGGGATTGGTTTTAACGTCGGCCAGGAATCATTCTGCGAGTGAGTGACGTTTTACGCCGCTTTTAGTAATATTCCAAGGATGTTATTCCAAGCAAGCACCTTTTCAAGGATTTAAGGTACTCGTGCTTGCCAGTTGTCATGGACTGTGTCATTGTGTTCTCTAATTGGCGTGGACTGTTACATATTGTTATCTAATTGTCATGGACTGTTCATAGTGTTTTCTAATTAGCATGGACTGTTTCATAGTGTTCTCTTAATTATAATGGAATGGTCCATAGTGTTTACTAATTGTCATGGAAGGTTCCATAGTGTTCACTGATTGCCATCGATTGTTCACAGTGTTCACAAGTTCATCTACCGTAATTCCTTGAATAAGATCCAAGAGTCATATATATATGAGTCTTTATGTGAGCCAAGCGACTGTTTATTGTTTTCAGAGACGCAATTGCATACAAGCATCAGTGAGTTTATGATACCTTCTAGCCTCCCGCATCAGGTCTGTAGGTCTTTTAGGAAATGTCTCCTCTCGGAGGCCACAAGTTTTAAAGGAACAAATCAAAAGACCTGTTCCATTTTTTTCTTCACATTTTTCCTTTCAAACATCGCGCCTTTACAGATTCTGCACAGAAAACGCCAAGAGCTGGCATGATGCATCAACATCAGACTATAACATCTCGTGTCATTAGTTGCATGTCAAAAGTCACGTCGCTTAGGCGACCATATTGGATTATACTATCTGAGTGCATTGCATCCAAAGACCATAAAACAACATATCTCAGAAGTTGTTGGCCCAATAGCTTCAAAATTTGGCATATGTGACACCGGAATAAGATGCCCATAAATGTCGAAGGTTGTTCTGTTGAAGAGTTCTTTCGTTAGGTTGCCATGGAAACCTAACTTGACTTTGGAGTTGGTTTTAACAACATGGACAGATGCTATCGATGAGATGCAACGTTTTAGCATTGTACATCAAACGGTTTAGGAGAAAATGACCAGTTCTAGCTGCCCAGACCGGTTGAATGGCTATAAACAGAAGCTTCGTGTGCGTCAAATTCCCCTGGCCGTAGCAAAGAGTCTAAAAAGACTACAATTAGCTACAGAGATCAGCTTAAAAGTTTTAAATGCATCAAGACTTTTTTTCAAAACCGGAAGTGACATTATTGAAACTCAAAGAACTAATAACTTTGTGCAAACCGACCTCCATACACCAAAGAATTCTGTTTTAAAGTTCCAATGTAGTCAGCATGTTTTCTTAAAAAGGAAGTGATCGACATAATCCGAACCAGGAGTACTCACTCTCAACCAACTTTAAGGTTTAAATGCAGAAAGTCTGTGTCTTCTGAGACCGGAAGATACACATCCAAATCGGAAGTACCAACAACTTTTTAACAAACAGATCTAGGACAATGGCGTTTTCCCGATGCAGGGGAGTTAACTGACTGTAAACGTCCAGGTTGAAACTGTACTTTTACAGTCAGTTAACTCCATGCCTCGGGAAGATGGAACAATAACAATTTATGCCTCAAGGACCATGTGTTTTACAAACTGCGTTATTCATTTCGTAATTTGATAGGCGTTACTTAGATGTTGACGGCTGACAAGTTACGTGGAGACAATTTATGGATAACAACTTCTTATAGATCATTAGGACCATTACAGTAAATAAGAAGTTGGTACCCATAAATTGTGTCTACTTTGTGATGCATGTTATCGTATCGACGCGTGGATCGATGCTCATGAGATCAATCACTGGATTGTCTGGTCCAGACTGGATTATTTACAGACCGCCGTATATAATTTTATGCAGGTCTGTTTACATGTAAAACCAAGAGTTATGCCCCTTTCAAGATGGCCGCGTCCATATGAAAACATGCTCGAGTAATCAGTGGATGTTACTGTAACATTAAAAAGCAATTTGTAAGGTATGCTATGATCAATGATAACGTTTGGTATATTGGTTGTGCACAGAAGATATGTACACGCACATAGAGACATAACAATATTGATATTTAAGCACGAAAATCGAAAAGGACTCACGTGGCCGTTGGTGGTAGTCCATGGCTTTAGTTTTCGTTCACCTGATCACACTTCGGCATGCTAACAGTGTGACTCTTGACAACTGTAGAGTAGTTTGCGCCTGTAGTTGATTTGTGTTTCCACAAGGTACCTGTAGTTTTATACAGTCAACATATTATGAGAGAGTTTCTTATACTTATATTTCAATCCAAAAAGACTGGTGGTAAGCAATGGTCAAGGTATTTAGTTCTGTACTGCCAGTGCCACTGGAAATGAAACAAAAGTACATGTAAGTGTAGAAAATTGAAAAACTTCCGCCCGTATCTCCCCTCCAACAGTTGTATAAGTATGCAATGCCACTCAATCCTTTTAATCACATATATTTTAAAGGGGGATACAGGCGGAAGTCTTAACCCTTTGTAATGTAAGGGTTAGGACGGGTGACTTGGGTCGGATTGGTCCTGAGTAGGCCCCGGGTACCCACAGAACTATCTGGACCCGTGCCAGTGGTTAGTTACATGATATATTGTTTAAATACAATAACAATAAGAGTCGCTTATGTTTACATTTCTTTCTGACTATGCATGCATTGTTTCTGACTTTCATCATGTTCATATTTTCTTTGAGTGAAGATAAAACTTCAGTTGACTTCGGTGTATGCATGATCTAATAATTATACGTGTATCTAATTAGCATTTGCCAGTGCTCCTGTAAAATTATTCACAATGGGACATTACATACCCAACTCTTGAGACGAACTTCGGATACCAGGGTCGTGTTGGATAATCATGATAATAGGGGGATATACCCGGGTGGTAAATTTTTTACTCGTCCCAGCCCTATTGGGAAGGTTACCCCAATATCTCTCCTTGATCCCTCTTCTGATCAAACACTCCTTTCCAATAATTAAAGTTAACAACACTCCAACCCTCAGTCGTCTAGTTGGTGCCGTTTTAACTAGCCTGCATAATCACAAGATGCCAAATAGCGTCAGTGACCCATGAGCAATTAGAGGACCTCATTGACAGCTCGGGGGAATCCCCCCTTGAATTATCCCTTGAATTACTACTACCTTTCACCTTTCAAATGTTTGTGTGTGTGTGAATGTGTATGTAAAAGTAATTAGTAGATAGCAAATGTGTATGTATTATTTTGGCAACAATGAAGTTCAGTTCATATACTCAAAACAGCAACTACCCATATTTTTCGGGCAAATTGCATGTAATACTACAATTACTACTCTCTTCTTGTCATCCATGTTTCACGGTATAACCCTATACCTGTGTCATCATGACTGGTATAAGTAGTGGTAGAGCCACTCAGATTACCTTACAAGGACTATGCAAAGTAATTCTATAACGTTCACCCATGCCTCTGAGGGTGTTAAGGATAAACAGCGATCAGTGGTTTGCATTTGGCATTTCTCGTGTCTGGGGTAATTATTCAATCTGAAACTGGGTTATGAATCCAAGTGTGATGTGGTGAATGTGTTACATATTATGTAATATGCACGTGGCAGTGCCACAAGAGAGGAATGGTCAGTTTAGTTATAAGAAACATTAATCAAAGGATTAACCGACAATATGTTGCTTGATTAATCACTGTTATCATGCACAGTAGATTTGTCAAAAGTAAGTTATAAATGTAGGTTTACTAAAACAGATGGAATACATCATACCTGGGCGTGAATTGCTGATGTGAAAACAACATACATAGACTCAGAGTCAGTATACTGTAACACCACGCCGCGTCACGGCACACCACACCATGCACACATACATGCATGCTCTTGGTTATATAAGTGCATGGCGTTACAATTGATAGAGATAAACAGTTGTCAATACCAGGACATACTTTGACATGTACACTGTGAACATATGCTCATTGTAAAGAATTTTAATTTATGATTTCCACTGGCAGGTATCATAATGTTTTGATTGATTTCAGGCCATAAAACAGAAGTATATATATATGCTATTGGTCATGTGAAGTTGTTGTAACCCTATAGTATTATTCATATTCTGTGTACTATGTGTACTGGCAGTATTTCTAAACTATGTTTCGGGGCGGTCGGGTAACCTAGTGGTTAAAGCGTTCGCTCGTCACGCCGAAGACCCGGGTTCGATTCCCGACATGGGTACAATGTGTGAAGCCCATTTCTGGTGTCCCCCGCCGTGATATTGCTGGAATATTGCTAAAAGCGGCGTAAAACCAAACTCACTCACTCACTCACTCTAAACTATGTTTCAGAATAAACAAGACAAATATATATATCAGCAATAAGAATGACATCATCATGTTGTTTGAAGACAATTTCTAATGGTTTTGTTTCTCTATGTTTTTACAGCATGGCATCAGGTAAGCGGAAACATGCTGAAGATGGTCATTTGTCGGGACACGACAAGGCCAAAAAAATAAAGCTGGGAAAAGCATCTCCCGGGAAACAACAATTTGCAAATACAACCTCAGAACCAAAAGAAACAAGTGTTAGTGACAGAAAAACAAACAAGCAGAAAAAGAAAGAGAAAAAGAAAGAGAAAATCCCCAAAGACTCACTTCCCAAGGTCAAGGACAGTGCAGATGGGAACAAGGAAACTGAGTCACAACAGAATGGGAAAAAAACATCGAAACATTTGAACAAGTGGCAGCGATATAAGAAAAAACAGAAACCCCAGTCTGGAACTCCTAAACAGGTTCCTAAAAAAGTTCCTAAACCGGCTTCCAGAGGAGAAACAGGAAAGAAAGATGCTATATCAACTAATACCACTCCAAGAACGTCTGGTGTTGCCATTGTTACTGGGAAGCCCCATTTCCCAATTCCAGCTAAGATCCCGTCAAGCAACTGGAAGAAGCTCCAAGTGGTAATAATGTTATCTTTCATTAAGTTCACCCTTTACTGATGTTAGATTATAATGTAGACAACAAGAGCATGTATTTGTGTACATACTCACAACCAGTAACTGTTATGGGTGAAACGATACAGCAAGGTCATGCTACGATTTGTATCATGATGCATTGGTTGCGATACGATACATATTGCAATACGATACATATCGCGATATGCATATTTACGTCAAATCTCGAGAAAACTTCATGCTATAAATATTTCAGAGCAGGTTCAAAAGGAAAAAAGCTAGCTGTAGACCCATGTTTCGTAGTAGCTGTTTTAAGTTGTAACCTTGAAACACTAATTACAACACATCTGTGATATTTGGCCAATCAAAATGCAGATGTCATTAAAAGAGTAGTGAGTAATTTATTTTAGCAAGTATATAGCTTGTATCGATACAGAAAAAAACCATATCATGTATCGTATCATTGCATGTAAACTCACAATGCTACGGTGCACCAGTGTATTGTTTCACACTTAGTAACTGTCCATCTCCCCAAGGCAAGGGAGTTAACTGACTATGAAGTCCAGTTTCCACCCTTGCTGAACTGGAATTTCTGAGGTATGTTTTTGCTGGACTAAGAGGTCTACCCCCTAGAATATAAGAGCCTTGCTAGGCTGCATTGGGATGATAAATGTGTTTATTTGCTTTTATTTACAGACTGAAGGAATGGTTGAATAGTTTGAATAAATATTTGATATTATTATCAATAACATATTTCTCCACAATACATTATGGACACACAAGCAATCACTGCACCAGGGCAGAGTAGCCAATAGGTAATCAATTAGGATCCCCCAGTAATTATACCAACTATTATATTTGTTTAAGGACATTCAGAAGACAGCACCAAAGAAAACAAATCCTAAGAAACACCTGAAAAAACGGAAGAGTACTGAACCTGCACCACAGGAGGAAAGGTTGGTTGTTATTGACATTTCCCATGATGTAGACATATTGAGAGAATAACCATCGAGGATTTACAAATGACCTGTCCCTTGTGAATGTATCATGTAAGCCCTGAGCCTTCATCCATGAAGGATAGGTCATTGTTTACTACGAGATACGTGTAAATTGTCCTATACTGAACAAAATCTTAGGAATAATGAATATTTCCAGGGTTATTTTTTGTGTGTGCTCAGTTTTCACTACAAAGAAGATCCCCAAAATATTCCTGACCCTTACCTTTTTTGTTCTTTATATTTATTACATATTGTAAATACTGTATTCGACGTAATAAGCGCCCCGCTCTAATAAGCGCCCACAGGGATATTTGCTAATATATTGGCTAGTGAACAATCCCAATTAGCACCCCTTCCGATTGATCAATGCACACAAGACCTATTTATTTGAGTATAATACGCACTCATGTGTAATATGCACCCTTAATTATGGGAAATTAAATCCTGGAAAAATATATCTGTCATATATTTCAGGCTGTCAGCTGTCAGCATAAACCATGAAATTTATCTTTCAACTCAGTTTTTTTTATCCAAAATAATATTCTAATAAGAGCCCCCTTTTTCTAATTTTGAGAGCTCCCTGGGCGATTATTACGTCAAATACGGTAAAACGATGATGAAAAACATTTGAGACATCACCTTTGAAAGGAACGTTTTTTAGAGTCTACCTACAGGATATAATGTTCGAGATGATATTTCCAAGTATTTTTTACCATTTTTTCTATCTTAGTACACTTTAGTTTCAAAACTTGTCATTAATTACTCTGCCATTTGGAGTGAGTGAGTGAGTGAGTGAGTATGGTTTTACGCCGCTTTTAGCAATATTCCAGCAATATCACGGCGGGGGACACCAGGAATGGGCTTCACACCTGCCATTTGGATAAACTTCAGTTGCATCATGAATCAGTCAGTACACATATGTCCTTGTCAGAAATGTTTGCAAGACATTGAAGACAAGCACTTGGTCAGTGTACAAAGTATACAGGACCTGACTATATGTTCTTCATCATCTTGTAGAATCCAGATATTCCCGACTACAGTGTAAAATAATAGCTCAGTGCAGCATTTTTAAAATGCCAGCTGATATTTCAGCGAGAAACCCGACATCTGGTTTGACGATGTGGATGAGGAGCTGATTCATCCGACAGAAGAAAAGCCGAAGAATAATGTCAAGACGGCTTCGAGACTATCACGACCATCCCAGTCAGCAGGGGGCCTGGTGAAGGAAAACTCATTCAAAGGGTAGGAGAGCCGTCAGTCACTAACCTCAACATGAAACCCAACAGAGATAAGGCTCTGGTACGATATTCCCCAATGCACTGAAACCTGTTAATCCAGAGAGTACCTGTCCTCTTGATATTGTCATGAGTAACAAATTTCTATACTGCTAATCATGTGTGGAGTAACCTTGCTGTAATATATAATCCATGAAAGGTTCCCAGAAGGCTTCCTGGGGTGAGTGCTTAATTTCAGTCTCTGTTAACTAGCATTTGAATGAGATCTTCTTCAGAAAGAAGTTAAGGATTGCCAATGCAGAAGCCATGTTGTTTTCTAGCTGACGAAGTCAAGATCGATCACGTGACAGATCAGTAGTGATCATTTGCCGTGCTTTAGTTGTTTTTGGTTTGAAAAAGCTACATGGAATGACTAATAGTTGGAAAGATATAAACAAAACTTTAAAATAACCTTTATCTTTGTCTCACATAGCTATAATGATATGCATGCATACAAAATACTTTAAAAATTATGAAGATATCTTTTTTAAACATTCCTAACTAAATTATTTCACAAAACATTTTTGTAATCCTGTGCCATCCTAGACTGTCAGACTACACAAGTAAACATATTAGGCTTAAAAAAATATAAGATTTGGTTTCTCAGGCAATGACTTTTGAAAACATAATTCCAGCTTGTTAATCACGTGGGAAGTTCATGATGACGGGATCCCATCCGGCTGCTGGGAATGCAGAGACACCACATGCACAGAAGAGACTCGCTGTGGGTCATGCTCATCTACCTAAGACAGCCCTCAACAAGCTATTTGAATCCTTCAAGAAGGCAAGGAGTCAGTAGGCAGCCAAGAAGATGGCAGACGTTATTCTTCACCCACTACTGCTAAGCTTTTACATTAACCGGATCGGGAACACCTAAGAACAGATCTTCAAGAGCAGAGGTTTTTAACACAGAAGACGGCGATGGAATCAGTGTTTGATTCTCTCCTGGTGGCCTTATCCATCAAGGTGGAATGGTTGAAACAACACCAACTGGAAACAAGTTCCCCGCTAAGAGGCCACACGGGTGACAGCCGCTAGACAAACCGTCTACCCGTGCGTCTGTCCGAAAGAACTCCTAGCTTGTCCCATACTGACCTTTGAGGTAGAAGCAAGTCAGCTTTACCTTCCCAAGAACCACAGCTGGCACAGTCTGCACGATAGCCAGGGCCGTCACAGGGGAAGTTAACCATCCAGCCAACCCTCCACTTCAAACATGGAATAGATACCGAGCTGTCTAGGCACACAGATGGTCTTCATGGTCACCATACTGTACCTGCACAGACCCAGCAGGAGCCAGTCCGCTAGCAGGCCATCACGGACACTGCACAGTAGCCAGGACCAGCGATCCGATCAACCACGCACCGATCAGACGAGCACCAAGCCATCTAATCACAGCTTCATGGTCACCATACTGTACCTGCACGGACCCAGCAGGAGCCAGTCCACTAGCAGGCCATCACGGACACCGAACAGTAGCCAGGACCAGCCATCTGATCAAGCACGCACGGATTAGACGAGCACCAAGTCATCTAATCACAGCTTCATGGTCACCGCCGGCACGGACCTGGCAAGAGCCGAGCCACCATCTCTTACCAGATCACCATGGTGACTGAACCACGGATCCATTAGTGTCTCAAAAGCTTGCTAGAGAAGCCACCGTCACCAGTCTCATACTCCATGGACCTTAATCATTCATGAGTCTAGGTCAGGCTCTGTTGTGATGATAACATGGACCCTATGATTGATACTACCACGTGCCAGGCTTTGTCACACCCAAGGGTCACTTGACCCAACGGACACAGAAGCAGAAAGGGTTGGACAAACTTTTGATGAATCTGGCTACTCTCCTTTACGAGATTTGACTGTCTTTTTCCTACCCCGGATCAGATAGAACAGTTGTCTCGTTTGTTTGACTATCCCCATTGTAGCAGACGTTTGAACTCCAACATGGTATGATATAGATCAGCCTTTCCTTCGGTACTACATCTTCATGGGTTGTCTATAAGTGGTCATCCCACTATTATAGATTATTGAGGTGTTTTGTTATGCAAGACTCTCCCAGAAATGGAATCTTTTCAGTGGTTCTTTCAGCTCGGTTAACAGATCCATTTGAACCCCAAGCCAAAGCCCCCTTCTTACAGATATCAAGGAAAACAGCCTTTTTACTTGCAATGGCCCTGATCCACATTCTAGATCTTTCAACTCCGAGGCACACCGAAGACTGAAGCACGACTACAGTCAGATCGCTACCGGACTTTGTCGCCAAGAATCAATCCACATATCTTAGACCACTTGGTCATAGACATTATACAATTCCTGAATTAGCACCATCAGTGGACTACTCAGATGTGTCCAGTCCAAGCCTTAAAGTTTTACCTGAAAGCTACAGTAGCTCGGTCTCCAAATCAACAATACCTGATACAGGGAGGTTGGGGGACGGTCGAGGTACGGAATCAGCCATCTCAAAAGGAAGTGCCCCTTTTAATCTTCCTAACAACTCAGTACAGGCTACGTAGAAGCAGATAAACCGGAAATCATGTCACAGAAGATTAAGACCAGAAATGACGTAGAGTCAGACCAGATGTTAGAATCAGAAGTAACATCATGGCCTGTAAGTGACGTCAGAACTGGTAGGGCATTTACTTGTGAAGCTACACAGACTTTTGGCAGGCAAATTGTTTCTAATCTTGTGCTAGTTTTTAGATACAGTTCGAGACATGGTCGTTGTGTTTGTATTATATATACTGTACTACCAGGTTGCACAAAGTGACCGCTTAACTTCTATATATGCCACTCACAATTTGTTAAGGATAAAAACTTTGGGTGGCCAAGATGCAGTTGGAAGTTGATGAGCAGTTTATGCCCTCGTCTACGGTTTACCCATGAAATTATATTAAATGATTGATGTCATTACTAGCATCTTTGTTTTTGTTTGACACACTACTGTCTGAAAGTCGTCTTTAGTCAAAGCTGTGGTCCTTAGCAATTGTTGAGTAGTACATAAACTCAATCATTATACTACTTGTCTTACAGATATGTCTGCCACTTTTGAGCCATTTAAAAGAAATATCGTATATTACCATCTATGATATAACCCTGCCTATAAGGCGACCCAGTAGAAATCTTCAAAATCAGTGCGAAAATATATACTCCGTCTATACTGTGATCTGGAGAGAAGAACATCTGCAGAAATTAAGTAAATCTGTAGTAGGGCATAATTATGCCTAACCTCAAAGTGGAGTTAAATATTCATGCATTGTAATGTATTTTTCAGAGTGACAAAGGCTGTAGCCTTAGATTGTGAGATGGTGGGAGTGGGTGACAGTGGCAAGGAGAGTGTCTTGGCCAGAGTGTCTGTTGTCAACCAGTTCGGGGAGTGCCTGTATGACACTTTTGTCCGCAGTCGAGAGGAGGTGGTGGACTACCGCACACAGTGGAGTGGAGTGACCCCCGACAAGCTTGTACATGGTCAGTTGGACACACATGCACACAGCGTGGAGCCAAACTTTAAAACCTTGAGTAGTTAAAGTATAGTGCAGTTAATATATCCCCATGTCACGTTTTCGAGCCTCACCTGTTTTCGAGCCCCTAAACAATATGTAACCATGCGCATGATGATGTAATCAAGGTAGATGCTTCAAAATCCACAGAAGATATCAGAGATTTTGCCACTTGTTGCTGAAGTTATGTTACAAAATAAGCTACACAAGGTAAGATATTCAATAAGTAATGAAAACATATTTCAAAACTTACTTTTTCACTATTGCAAATATTAATCAAACTTGATCTGATGATAATTTTGAACAATCATAAACTTCCTGTTTGTAATGTCAATGCGACTGATCATTGTGTGCACCATTTTAAACTTGACTGTCAGGGAGGGGCTCAAAATAAGGCGACTCTAACAAGATGGCTCCTGATTGACTTGTCTTTCTTGGCCAGGCATTATCACAAATAAATTGATAAGATGTGGTCATTTGAATATCCAATTGTAAACAGAAATAAATGTTCTCAAAGGTAAGACATAATTTTAGTGAATTGCCCTTGTTATTGAGAAATGTAATGAGAAATACTTCTTAGGGGCTCGAAAACACAGTACGCGAGGAGATACAAAATAGGAGGGACCAATGTGGCCTGAGGGGGCCCTTATATATTACCATTCAGGTATAAATGTAATACAAAAACTTAAAAGAGTGTAGAGAAAGAATAAGGAATCAGTTGCACTGGTGACATCTTCCCGAGGCAAGGGACTCTGTAAACGTCCACTTTCCACTCTTGCCGAACAATGCTGGAAATTCTGGGCTCAAAGTAGCGCCACCAGTGGCTATTACAAGTTATGTCCCTTCTATGTCCCTCCTATGGACCAATCAGATTCATATCACTTGCATTTGCTTCAAACAAAATGGCGGCTCCCAGTCAAGACAATCTGATGGATAATCAAAATCTATATTGTGAAAAAACTGGTCTAACTTCGTGAAGTACATCACATCACGTGAGCACCTTAATTATAAACTTGACAAAATTTGGAAAATATCAGTTGAGTACACATTTTGCAAACCTGATGTCGATTTCGTTACGCAATTTTGATTGGACTATGCATAGACTCGTAAGTCCAGCCAAAGTATAACTTCATAGGACCAGCCAAATTCAGCAAAGGTGGAAACTGGTCTTTTATAGTCAGTTAACTCCCTTGTCTTGGGAAGATGACAGGTTAAAGCTACTGAGAAAGATGAAAAGGAGAATTTGACGGAGGAAAAGTAGATACTTTTCTATACTTGAGGTTGTGGTAGACGCCACCCAACGAAGTATTGTGTTGTTGATAAATGTTTTATGTTCATTTGAGTTTGACGAATTGAAACATAAGGCTTAAAAATATATAAGAATTGGTTCTCAGGCAATGAAAATATAGTGCAGGTGGGCAGTGGTTTTTTTTGGCTTGTTGTTGCTTTGCTTATGTAACTAAATAAACAGTTGCATACCATCAACCTGCAAAAGGGCCTCCCAACATAAACAAGCATTCAAACTCCTATTGCCAGGGTATGAAACTCCCAAAAATTTCAGCCAGACCACAGGACTGGCTAGCTGAAATACTTGCCAGCCCTGACCAAAACCTGCCTGCCCACTATAATCATATGTTTCTCAGGATAAGCTAACAGGATTTCTTTTTGGTTTCATACCATTCATCTTTACATGTGAATTAATGATTATCATCGGGAAATATTTAGAATATTGTCACATATGAAATATAACCCGACCGTCGGGCAGGGGGATTTGAAAATCTGGCAGCCCGAGTTGAAATCAACCCATCTCGGACGGTCGGGCAGGCAGGTATTTCGAACACTGCTATTGCCGCCATGACCATAACATAAGATGCACAATAAAGCAGTGACCATGTAAAGGGAAGTAACTGTGTGCTGTATTGGACCACATTGTTTTATTAGGATTTTTAGATTTTCTTTTTGAAAATGGAAATAAAAACGAAACGTGCAGGAGACTTTACGATGATGCGGGCGGTGCCTGAGAACCAAGACTATTATTATTTTTTGCCTAAAGAAAGAAATGTGCTTGTGGCACAGGTCTATGATAGTTCCTGTAATAAAACTCTTCATCTTGGGAGAAGCACTCCTTGCATAGTAGCAAGAGGTGAATTAGGTCTTTGTTCATTGCAAGTTAATCAGTATATCAGAATTAATAAATATTGGTTGAGGATATCATGAAGATAATATTTTTCTCAAAAAGGTCTATCATTATGAATGTGATTTAGCTGATTGTGGACGTTGATGCTGGGCATCGCAAGTAAAAACTCTATTCTTAAGATATTGTGTTGGATATGTGTGGGTGAATCAAGATGTTGACAGTGTTAAATCTTTTTATTATATGTATAAGGGGAGGTGCATGGCAATTGACAGTCAGGTGTGGTGTGACCAAATCTTACCTTTTTCTAAATTTGAAACATATAGATTGTGAAAACTAGTTTATAAGTATGAAGATTAGTTATCTATTGTCAAAATATCTGTCCATTGAATTGCACTGACAAATGATAGATATAATCACAATGTGATGAATTAAAGAGGTGGAAAATTAGGAATTGAATGAAACATGCCTTCTCAATTATATTTTGTTACGTTTCCATAGAAGTAACTTACTAATGTAGGGGCGGTTGGGTAGCCTAGTGGTTAAAGCGTTCGCTCGTCACGTCGAAGACCCGGGTTCGATTCCCGACATGGGTACAATGTGTGAAGCCCATTTCTGGTGTCCCCCGCCGTGATATTGCTGGAATATTGCTAAAAAGCGGCGTAAAACCAAACTCACTCACTCACTCACTTACTAATGTATCAAACAAAAGGACGGGGAGACAACTAGGGGTGAAACGATACAACGGTGCATCATGAGTTTTGATGTGATGATAGGATACCGATACGTTGTTTTTTTTACGTTTTTTCACTTGCTAAAATACATTACATACTACTTGTTTAATGACTCTCCTGCGTTTTTGTTAGTCAATTATCACAAAATGTGTTGTAACCATGGTAATTAGCATTTCAAGTTCACCACTATAATAGCCGCTACAAACATGTGTCTACAGCTAGCTTTTCTTTTTTAACCTGCTCTAACATATTAAAAGTCAAGAAGTTTCCATGCAATTTGATGTAAATATGCACATTGCGATATTTATTGTATTGTGATACGCATTGTATCGTGATACGTATTGTGTTGTGACCTGTGTATTGTGATACGTCTTGTATCGTGATACGTATTGTATTGTGACCTGTGTATTGTGATACGTATTGTATTGTGATACGTATTGTATTGTGACCAGTGTATTGTGATACGTATTGTATCGTGATACGTATTGTATCGTGATATGTATTGTGTCGTGACCATGCTGTATTGTTTTACACCTGGAGACAACTGGTTTCATGAAAAAAATCACATTCTAGTTTGTTTGTTGTAGCGGCTGACTTCATGGATGTTCAGAAGAAAGTGAGTGACCTCATCAGTGGACGTATTCTTGTAGGTCATGCCATTCAGAATGATCTTAAGGTAGGTTTCTCAGTGTTAAACATTATTTTCAGAAAAATCTGTATTCACTGATTATCATATTAAACTCAGCATTAAACATTCTCTGAAGGTATGTTAAATGATTATCCTATGAAATTCAGTGTTCGGCATAATTTTCTGGAGAATGTTATCCTTAATTATGCAGGGCATCGTATCTCCATTCTATTAGGGAATATACCCAGGACCCCTTTCCCTACCATAAGGGAAGTGACATCACCATCTGTAGTTATTATACGAAACCTTAAATTTATATTCGTGTTATACGAAATACGAAACTATTATTTCACTCTTACTCTGTCTGTAATGTCTTGTATTGCTAATATTACTGTTACAATATTCCCTCAATACAGAACTTCTCTTGATCATGTGCCATGGATCACTAATCTATGTAATAAGGTGATTACAATGTGTGAAGCCCATTTCTGGTGTCCCCCGCCGAGATGTTGCTGGAATATTGCTAAAAGCAGCATAAAACCAGCGGTAAAAACCAACAGTTTTTGTTCACTAGTCCTTATAATGATAACATATAGCAAAACCCTTGAAAGGGCCAATTTCTACTAGTCCTTATGATACCTTAACTATTGGGCAGTTTGGCAAGGACTATAGGACTAGTGCCAATTTCTAACGCTGAAAACCATACTCACTCACTCACTATAAGGTGATTACATGTAATTTTGGGGGGGTTCACAGGTCCACCTACATGAACAATTACAAAATGAAAATAAAATGAAAGTGACTTTTCTGATATATTTTTATTACTGCCGACTCTAATGGTATAAATATAGAAATAAACAAATAAGTTAACATGAAATAAGACACAGACTAGTTTGTGTTCAACAGAGGATTCATTGAGAAATGAGAAATACATAGCGAAGTTTTGTAGACAGAGTTTGATATGACAAATTCTTTGATGTGTAGGTGGTAAAATGGCTACATTGATGTGCCCCTTGAGTGCAGGACTGTGTTGGACCATTCACTTGCTCACTTATTTCGTAAGTTCCACTCAACCTGTGTGATTGTGCCGCTCATTCTGTGTGCGTGTGTCCAGGTGCTGTTTTTGGATCACCCCGCCAAGGACATCCGCGACACGTCCCGTTACAAGCCGTACCGCCAACTGTTCAGGGGCAGGACCCCATCGCTGAAAAACCTTACCTCCAGACTCCTGAGTGTGAAGATCCAAACAGGGGAACATAACTCTGTATGTCACATATATGCATGGTTTTGTATGATTGTCCATTATCTGTATGTCCAATTAACTTCTTCTCCAATCCAGGATGCAAGGGTGCCAGTCATCAGAGATGCTACAATTTGCAGAGTTGTCTCTCTTAGTCATGCATAAAACATTTGATCATGGGTTCAAACCTGATTTGCCCTGATTGTGTTTATAGGCACCATACCCGTGCTTGTGGGTTTCGTCAAAGTGGTAAACGTTTAAGACTTGCATCACTTCAGGCTTTCCTTACGCATCAAGCTAACACGCTGTGATATAACTGAAAATACTGTTCAAAGCGGTGTTTAATCCAACTCACTCAGATAAATCCCTCCTCCTTCGCAATCGTTATTGTTAGTTATTACACCTCTGTTAATTAATTAATCCAAACTAATCCAAGGGGAAACCCAGCATTTTAAACCCACCAGTTTCTAGCTTCACAGAAAAAGAGTTACGTCGTAGATGATCACAAATTCTACTAAATTCATTAACTACACTGTTGTGTCAAAGTTTAATGTGTCCAGCGTACGGTTGTCTCACAGTATAAAATCCTGCGTATTCCTTCTTTGTTCATCATTTTCGTTTGTGTCGAATGTCAGGTAACTTGGAAGTATTTACGTAGATCCCTTAAACTTCGTCACAACAATGTTTGACTACCGTATTCGACGTAATAAGCGCCCAAGGCGATATTTGCTAATATATTGGCTAGTGAACAATCCCAATAAGCACCCCTTCCGACTGGTCAATGTACAAAAGACTTATTTATTCGTGGATAATACGCACTCATGTGTTATATGCACCCTTAATTATGGGCATTTAAATTCTGGAAATATATATATGTCGTATATAAACATTTCAGGCTGTCAGCATAAACCACAAAATTTATCTTTCAACTCAACTAATTTTGAGAGCGCCCTGGGCGCTTATTACGTCAAATACGGTATTTCCATTTCCTAACTCTGACTAACAGTTGGCCCCCTGTAACCTATGCTTGTCATTAGAGGATCTGCTATGGATCAGGTAATCCACTGTGATGACTCAGATGACTGCTTGTTAAGGGTGTGAGGTATAACCGGTATATCAGCAAATTGAGGTTCATTCTTTCCACAATACGTATCACAATATCATTTTTTCATGTTCGATATGTCAGGTGATTTCAAATTGGGATTTTTATCATGTGTTTCATGTTATATACTTGCCACATGCCTTCGCTGCCCAAGAACGAGCATCTGGGGCACCAAAATGACTGCATTTCTTTTAATGTTGTACCAGAATCTTGTTTTCTTCCATTTATGAACTTCAATTCATACCTTAATGTATGAGAATGCTTCTGAATTAAAAATTTAGAATTATACAATATATCGTGATACGTATCGCAATACGGCCTTGTGCATTGCAAAATAGTGTGATACACTTTAAACCTCAAATACCCATACCTACTTCTTCTTCTTGTGCCCTGAGGGCATGTATTGTTGCTCATGCTTTCAGCCATTGGTTTGCTTGGTCCAGATTGGAATATTTACAGGTTGATGGTGATATAACCTGAATATTGCTGCCATCAGCGTTATACAACATCAACTCACTTACACATTCACCTAGGGGCATGACACTCATCCAAATCGGCGCCATTTTCTCTCCAGAGGCGTGTCCCTTAGGCATGCCAGAAACTATGATCATGGGTTTGAATCCCGGTCCTCCCCGATGTTGTTTCTAGGTTTGTCAGCACCATACCCATGCTTGTAGGTTTCACCAAAGTGGTAAACCTCTCACATCAAGCTTACACCCTGTTGTGACTGAAATACAGTTTAGAGCAGCATTAAACCCAACTCTCTCACTCTTTTGCTAAAACAAATGCTGTGGGTTACCAATTCATCCAGGATGCTGCCCTTCTCTGTGAAAGGTTCTTATCAGTCTTTTTGTTGTGATTTAACTTAATACTGTTCAATCACTACTCACTCATTGTACATTCAACACGTGACACACTTTCTCCCGTCTGTGCAGGTGACGGACGCCCAGGCCACCATGAGGCTGTACACGCTCAGCAGACAGGCGTGGGAGAAGGATCTCATGAACAGGAGGAAACACAGGAGACCATTAAAAAAGAAAAAGAAAATAAATGACAAATGATGAATTCTCATTCCATGTTACATTGTCTTTTTTATCAGAAAAGTGAAAAATGAGATTGGTTGACACCCAAGTCATGAAATTATCCAAAACACTTCGAGGGACTGAGAGCCCTCGTGGTCCAGTGGATAGAGCATCTGCCCAGAAGGCTGAAGATCGGGGTTCAATCCCCTTTAAAAGGTGATGCTTGTTGTGGCTCGGAGCATTATGTGCCTTTGTGAACTAGCACTATACAACCGGCCTAAGTTTGGACTAGTACAAGCAGTCACACACATGTGTAAACAAATGTGTAAGTGCAATAATCTTGAAGCGATAATAAACCCCATTTCAACTCACCTCATTTGGAGGGCTGACGCAGGTGTCTTAGAAAATTGATGGGAGGTGAGAAAGTAGAAAATTGAGTTTTCAGTGTATGTGAGAATAGCTGGACCAACAACTTCAAGCCCATTTTATGATTCAAGTGACAAAAAGGCCAAATGTGACAATTTGGATATGTTTTTTTTTTTATATTTCGGTATGTGTCTATATCTTGATTTCAGTTTAAAACTACTGACAGATACTGTTTGAAGATTTTTTGAAGCCAGTTTAGAAGTGCATGTGTAGTGGGATTGTTTACAGAAACATGGACGGTCCCAATATGAATGTTGGTATAGTCTACTGAATGGAGATCTGGACTGTGAGCTGAGGGCAGCCATTTTGTGAGGTTATTCTCAGTAACAATCATCCATTCCAGTCAGCCACCGGCGGTTCTTTTCAGCAGCCATCAGTTCTAGTCGACAACCATCAGTTTTAGTCAACAAACCAGTTCTAGTCAACAACCATCAGTTCTAGTCAACAACCAACAGTTCTAGTCAACAACCAACAGTTCTAGTTGACAACCATCAGTTCTAGTCGACAACCAACAGTTCTAGTCAACAAACCAGTTCTAGTCAACCATTATCAGTTCTAGTCCACAACCATCAGTTCTAGTCAACAACCATCAGTTCTAGTCAACAACCATCAGTTCTAGTCAACAACCATCAGTTCTAGTCAACCATTATCAGTTCTAGTCCACAACCATCAGTTCTAGTCAACAACCATCAGTTCTAGTCAACAACCATCAGTTCTAGTCAACCATTATCAGTTCTAGTCCACAACCATCAGTTCTAGTCAACAACCATCAGTTCTAGTCAACAACCAACAGTTTTAGTCAACAAACCAGTTCTAGTCAACCATCAGTTCAAGTCGACAACCATCAATTCTTGTCAACAACTAACAGTCCTAGTCAACAACCATCAGTTCTAGTCAGCCACAATCAGTTCTAGTCAACTGGTAAATCCCCCCACCAATTATTCATGACCCCTAACCTTTTTGTTCAGTGTAAGTGCAGTAATCCTGAACAAGAACGGGAAACCCCATTTCACCTCATCCCCTGCTTAGCTGACAGACCCAGATATGTTGAAAATACTGGACAAACTCTCACAAGGGTGTAACATCCAACTCCTACGTCTCATGAGCGCCAATCCTAGTCAACTTTATGAGACACCATTCTTGTCATCTCGAGCGTGAGGTATTGAAGTTTGTTTGTTTGTTGTTTAACGCCGCACTCAGCAATATTCCACCTATATAACGGCGGTCTCAGGGTCTGTAAATAATCGAGTCTGGGCCAGACAATCCAGTTATTAGTATCATGATCATCGATCCTCGCAATTGGGATACAATGACATGCATCAACCATGTCAGCGAGCCTGACCACCCGATCCCGTTAGTAGCTTCTGACGACAAGCATTGTCGCCTTTTATGGCAAGTATGGGTTGCTGAAGACCTATTCTAACCCGGATCTTCAAGGGTATATTAAATACTGGTATTTTGATATAACCATCTATCAAAACATGACCCCAAAAAATGTTGAACTTTGAAATAGGTTACTCTTGGCTAGTGAAGTAAGAAGACAGCGTTAGCTTGTTATCCTGATAAGGCAATACATAGAGTGTGGACGATTTGTGGTGTTATCTGCACTACATGTCAAGTATGTCTCTGTGATCGGTTTTGGGGTCGGGGCGATATGGTCCAGTGTAATTGGGTCAGATTTGAAAGTTTTTTTGTAACATATAGTTTTCACCTGATGATATATATCAACACATTATTTTATAAGATCACGTTGACCAATCAGATCTCATCATTCTGACATGGAGGTATGGTAAATTGGTTTATCGAAGTGTTTTTGTTTGTTTGTTTGTTTGTTGTTTAACGCATCATTCAGCACTATTCCAGCTATATGACGGCGTCGAACAGTGTACACATATTTGCATACACGAGGCCGATTGCTTGTGTGATTTCCTCGACGTTTGTGTGACAAACGAGATTTCGTTTCGAAAGGGTTGACTAGGTGATTCATTTAAAACTGATAATACTCTATTACCCTTCCTGAATTATTATTGTGAATTATCATTTGAAAAGATGCAATGATTTTACGTTGCTTCACACGATAAACGTATCGCCTCGATGGTGTACGTTGTGGATAGAGCCTCTACCTGGAGAGCGGAAGATCGGTGGTTCGATCGCCTGGTCATGTTAAACTAAAAGAAGTTATTTATAAAAATGTACTTGTTGCCCTGACTGGCGCTCGACATTATGGGGATGAAACATCTGGCTCCGAGCATAATGCCTCTGTATGTGTGGGAGTGTGTGTGTTGGGGACTATATGTATGGCACTATAGAACCGGCCAACGTCCGGACAAGTACAAGCAGCCACACGCACAAACGTGCATGCCCGTCGCTATATGAGTAAAATAAACTTGAACGCGACGTTAAACCTATTTTCACCTCACCCTCACAATAGACCATGCGTCTCCGGAACTATATATTATATTTTATTATTTGCTATTTAACGCCACAATCCACAATATTCCAGCTACGTGACGGTGGCCTGTAATTGGGCCAGACCATCCGGTGATTGATATCATGAGCAGCGTCTCATCAAGGTGAGATGACAGCAATCATCCAAATCATCGAGTCTGACCACCCGATCCAGTTAACTGACTCACACGAACGGCATATGTTGCTATGGACCTACACGAATACCTTTATCATTGAACCCGTGAAGATCCGGGGTAGAATAGATCTTCAGCAACCCATGCTTGTCGTAAAAGGCGACAATGCTTGTCGTTAAAGGCGACCAACGCGATCGGGTGGTCAGGCTCGGTGATTGGTTGATGCATGTCATCGTTTCCCCATTGCGCGGATCGATGCTCATGATGTCGATCACTGGATTGTCTAGTCCAGACTCGATTATTTACAGACCGCCGTCATATAGCTGGAATATTGCTGAGTGCGGCGTAAAACAACAACCAAACCCTCATCGTTGTTAGTGCCGTGTTATAAGGCTGCGCATGTTGTAGAGACAGACGTGCAGCAATAATTAGTATAGTGGCGGGCAAAAAAAGTTATTTTCCCTACTCTGAACACTTCCTACACGATTAATGTGAATGTGAGGTCGTGGCATCCCACAGCGTGGAGCAACACCTCTACGTGAGAACACACTAGTTAGACCAGACTATGCAGTGTTAAACTCCACTGAGAATAGAATATCACACCATAAGCACATAACGCTCATCAAACTTAAAGGTAAGTATTTGAGGGACAGCTGGATTTTAAATGCTAAAATGTATACACGTGCATTCTTAACATTCACACATTATCATCGTCCAAATATTCACAATATAATGTGAACGTTTAGAAAATCAGCCTAATGAATGATAATCTGCAGAGCATCAAATATGAGTTCTAGTGCTGATTGTAACAATATTTTAAGTCTTGTCACGGTGTGTCAACTCAACGTCGGAGCTATAGAAAAGAAAGACGATTATATATGAAGGATTATAATCGGGGCAAATCTGGAATACACATAGCGATTCCTGGCACAGTGAAGGGGCACCACTCTGCACAGTATATTGGTAACATATAACTCGCACGTGTTCTTGATATAGATCAGTTTTTAAAGATTATTTGTGGGATGTGTGAAACTGATTGTTTCTGTGTTATTTTGTGAAGGTCCATCATTAACGGACAAAGTGAATGAGTGAAGTGACTTGAACCAAACTTGAGCTGCCAATTGGCGGAGCCTTGTCAGCTTTTAATGGCGATGATCGATATCAATTAACAAAATCGTCCTTGTCCTTTTACGAATTCAACATCAACCTCAAGTCGGCTATCGACTAGACTTAAAGCGACAAGGCTATTTTTTCCATTGGCCTACATATTTCGCATTTTCTGACAGTGAAACATTCGTTAAATATGCCGTATTTTTATTACTTTCAAACTACGGAAAAAGTTTACGCAAATGCACTTTATCCCCATTCTTGCAATCGTCCCATAAGGTTGCATCACATGCATGGAGTTTTGCGCTATCACCGACTTCCGCATTGTTTCGAACAAATTGTATTACGAATGTGTCACCTGTAGGGATTCCGGGTCAGAATATGTCCCTAGGCCTTATAAAGTTGCACTAGTTTAATGGTTAAGTTATTCATGGACTATACGTCCCCAGCTACTTATGGTAGTCGTAAGAGGGGACGAAATGGACCGGGTGGTCAGGCTCGGTGACTTGGTTCATCGCATGTCATCGCGTACCCGGACGGCGTGGGACGTCGCCCATGCAGGTAATATACAGCTTTCATTGGATGGTTTGTCTGGTCCAGGCTCGACTATGTACAGCCGTCGTCCTACAGCCTAGCGGGAATATTGCTAAGTATTGCATTAAACAATAAACAAGTGATGTGTAATTAATTCGACTATAAATGTTTTTACTTTGTCTTAATGGATCATAAAAAACTCCTTTTTGCCACCATATTCATAATTTAAAGCCTTTTAAAGTCAATGATAATACTTTTCAAGGTTATGATCACACTTTTCAAGGTTATGGTGTATTTTTTAAGGATTAAAGTAAGCCCCGGGCCTGCTTTTAAACACACCAGCGTTTCAGTATTAATTATCGATCGAATTACAGGATATATTTTGATATATATATCTTCGTGCGCAGTTATATATCATCTAGTTATATTGTACAGCACAGTTGTGGTTGCTGAATCAAAATAAGATTTTAAGTTCTTTTAAGGGAGATAAAAATTCGGTTGTTTTTTTAAAGCCAGTGCGACCTTGCTCGGGTCATGTTTGTTTGTTTGTTGTTCGATTATTTACAGACCGCCGCCATATAGCTGGAATATTGCTGAGTGCGGCGTTATATATAGCTGGAATGTTGCTGAGTGCGGCGTTATATATATAACGCCGCACTCAGCAATATTCCAGCTATATGGCGGCGGTCTGTAAATAATCGAGTCTGGACCAGACAATCCAGTGATTGACACCATGAGCATCGATCCACGCAATTGGGATAAGGTGATATGCATGAACCAAGTCAGCGAGCCTGACCACCCGATCCCGTTAGTCGCCTCTTGCGACATGCATAGTCACCCCTTACGACAAGCACAGTCGCGTTGTTCGAGTCACATTCATGGTGCATAGAGACGGGTTGCCTTCGAGACCCATACGGGTTAATATATATTTTAGAGGGTACGTGTCACACCCCGTTTTGGCCCGGCGGATGTCGAGCCCTGTGAAATGGCATTCCGGAAAGTGCAGTTCGCTGGATGCCATGAAATGTTTATCTGATCCAATATTTCAATGTCTAAATATATTTTTTGTCTTTTATCTTGCACAGAGTTTCAAACCAATAAAATAGCTAGTCCTATTTTAAGCTTATGAGCACGCATGGCCATGCACACTACATGTGAAAATCCCAGTGTAATACTGTCCCAGTTGTATACACTGAAATTACTCAAGAGTTCTTAAATTGGACGCCAAGCCAAGTGGTAAGCCGGATGCATCTTGAGGGAGGGGTTTGGCACCATCATTTAAGCCGACAATTAACTCTTTACTAGTCTCGCAAGTAAATGTTGGGCACTCGGCCGCCTTTTTGAATTAAGAATTTGTATATAAGCTGTTATAAACATTTCCATTGTAAATTAACCAGGTGTATTAAGATAGGATAAATAATAGTTAATTGTGTCCGAAGTGTTATATGAAATAGAATTATAACACTGTAAGTAATAACACTGTCACTTCCTTGTAAAAAAAACTCTCCACGTTTCAATATATTTCTTTGTCAGATATTGCATTTTCAAACATTTCTTCACAAGGAAATCCTTTAGATCTATTAATATGACATTATGACAGAAATAATGTATATTTTTTCAGACAAGGAAAATGTCATAAAATGTCATATTTTGAGTTTTCATATGACAGCAGATATTCTCAGCGGATTTTTGGTTGTAGGTCTTCGGGTCTTATTAACGTTTGCGTGTGTAATTGAAATGTTAGAATATTTTTGGAAACAGGCCCCGCCCACCTGTAATGACGTCACCGATATCGTGAAGTCGGTCAAGGTGGTGTTTTCATCTTCCTGCAAGGGTCGATCGTCCTGTCGTATTACTATGTTGGGTCAATCAATCACATTAATGCACAAAGTGCTCTTACCGGTGCGTGAGGACGATGAGAGACGTGTGCAAACTAGCTTAGATGCGTGTGCAAAATGTGTAATCTTCAGAAACAAGAGAAGGAAACCGTGTGCAAAACATATAAACGACGCGCGAAAATAAGCGTGGTGAGGGGAGGTCTAGGTGTTTGTGGGTGAGTTTTTCGTCGTTGTCACATGTAGTAACATTACTGAAATACGAAATATGCTTCAGTGCATCCGATATCATAATTGTTTTGTCGTAATAAAGTTTCTGTGAAGCGTCATCACCTCGTGTTGATCGTGTTTGTATCGTAAAAATTCTCGTGGCCATTTTTCATGTTTTTCACGATGTGGTTCAACCTTGCGTGCCATATACACTTCAAGGAACGTGCCTAACATCGGTACATTAGATCAAACAGTGGGATGTTATATAGTAAACTGGGATATGAGTATTAACTTAACTGATAATTGGTGACAATTGTCAAATAAGCGTGTAAAGTGTTGACGAGTGGTGAACACGTTTGAGGAAGTCGGTCAGGGAGTGGGTTGTTCCCCCTTTTCTACATCTTAATAATCACTACACGTTTGTTTGAACATCACGAAACAAAGTGTTTTAATTTATTACGGTAAATCTCATGATTTATTTCGATCAGTTTTTTTGGTCGGGATCCGGGTCCGGGACGCGTATCAATATTTCGCTGCTACACGTGACAAAAGTTGTAACACATGCCCCACGTGAGCATGGCGCGGGGCCCTCTTTAGACGATTTGTAATTTTTGTCTCAATGAGGTCAGCAATCTGTGTCACCCTGTGTGACATATGATGAAATTGATTGAGCATGTGTAATGTCAGGTCTTTTTGGTGTGCAAGATTTACTCATAATGACATGTAGACATCATCTTATGTTTTAACAACCCTTAGAAGACCCCCACAATATGCCCGAGACTTGTAAAATGCCAAGAAACTGAAATTAGTTGCGAAGGTGTGCCCCGAAAGTGCAAAACTCGTAAATGCCTATCCTCTCTAAATTGTTAAAGCAAGCAGCCAATTACTCCATGAACAGTGTCTTGATATTTTTAAGTTACACGTTGTACAACTTTACATAGCTGACAACGCAACTGGAAATGTGAATTAATAAAAGCACTCGTGTTGAAACCATACGATAATACAATACAAAAATTCTACATCAATTGGAAATGAATGGATGATTATGCAAATTGAAAATAGGATCACATTAATCCATTGAGTTTTGAGATGTATTGAGTTTAGTAAACGGTTGAGAAGACGTTTTTCAAAATATCTTCTTAGCATTTCTAACTCTTACAGTATTAATAAGTGAGGTGTGCACAACACACTGCAGTAGAATTCATATTCATGGGGTTATGGTGACCCGTGAAGATCCGGGGTAGAATAGGTCTTCAGCAACCCATGCTTGCCGTAAAAGGCGACTATGATTGTCGTAAGAGGCGACCAACGGTATAAGTGGTCAGGCTCGGTGGCTCGGTTGATGCATGTCATCGTATCCCAATTACGTGGATCGATGCTCATGTCAATCACTGGATTGTCTGGTACAGACTCGATTATTTACAAACCGCTGTCATAGCTGGAATATTGCTGAGTGCGCCATTAAACAAAACCAAAAATACAAATCATGGGTCTATAGTGATTTAGCTTGGATATTTTATGCAAATATGCAGCCTACCTGGAGCTTTGACCGAGTAGATTTGTGTCAGTGTGTGCTCATGCTGTCCTCCATGGGTTTGCCCAGCTCCATGTTTCATTATCTACCCTCTGTGATGGCTGTTATACTGCAAACCATGCTGCCAGCAACATTAACAATTCCATCTCCGGGTCAACCTCGCAGGTCCAAAATGTGTCTTCTTCAAACTAAACATATGGAATAATTGATGGCATTTAGAATTGTCAAATGTTTTTTTACCTTAAAGTTTTCCAGTTTGAAGTTGTATCCAACACAGGTAATGACTCAGTATGTTTAAGGCATTTGCTACATTGTGGTCGTGGATAAGACATGGTATTTTTTTGGCATTTATTACACTCTGTAAGACATGGTATGTTTAAGTTATTACACTGCACATAATACACAGATGGTTTAAGGCATTTATTACACCCCAGGATACTGTTGCAGAGGTGTTGAGGAGGATGAGCTCAGACAAATGTTACAAGTGCGGAATACGGGGACACTTCGCCCGAGAATGTAAAAGTGATGGGGGAAGCGGTGGCGGTGGCGGCGGCGGCGGCCGTGGCGGAGGCGGAGGAGGTGGTCCCCGCGGACGAGGAAGAGGCCGTGGTGGAGGTAAGCTTCAGTTTGTGGCTTTGAAGAAAGAAACATTGTTATTGAACCCTAAGGAATTTTCATACACATCATTTGATAAGTTTCTGCTTTCCCCTGAAACTCCCTTTCATTCATTCACTCTGCACTTCAATCCTATGAAAATGCAAGTCCTTCCATTTGTTGGATTTGTTAAACTTCCGAAAGCTACTTGTGATAAAGCAAATCTGCTTAAGAACATAAGTAAGCTGATTTTACATATAGATAATGATATTTGTAAAAATGGTTCCTTAGACCTTAGATGAGAAAGTCAATACGAACATGTGCGTCCTTCCATTTGTTGGGATTTGTTAGCTTTTGAAAGTTACTTGTGATCGCTGCTCTAAAGCAAATCTGTTTTAGAAAAAAAAATAAGGAAAGTGCAGTTTTCGTATGGATATTTTAAAAAGATGGTTCCTTAGACATGAGAAAATCAAAACTTGTGTTTACAGTTATATGTATTCCTTATCAAAAGCAGTCTATTTGTTTGGACTTCCAAATCCAAGTGTGCTCATCACAACAGAAGGTATGCATTGGTCACTCACTGTATCACTGTATTGAATGTAATGTTGACTATCCACTTCAGTTGGTTGTCAGGAACTTAATTCTCTTGATACGAGAAAATGTCCATAATATTTGTTGGACAAGTATGTGAAGGAAGTTCAGCCTAAGGATATTGTCTGTGATCAGTACAGCTACGATTGAGTATGAAAGTTCATTGATACAAGTATGATATTCCTGGAGTTACTATCAAACCAAGCAGGAAAGTAATGTTTTAGCATATTATGACCGATTGAGACAATGTTTTATTCTTAGACTTTCAGATGGCTTTGATAAGAGACATATATCCAACATTCTTCAGTAATATTGTGTCCGAGTATAAAGCACACCCAAAAAAGAAAGACATTGAATTTACCAAATTTTTACATATTTTTATTGTAACAAAAAAGGGAAAATTCAGTGAGGTGGTCAGTTTTACATTTTCTGCTTTTGGCTGGTTAATTTTGAATAAGCACTTGTTTTTGTTAAATCCTGGGTTTAGAGAGCCTCTGTGCTTTATTTCAGATAAATGCTTCAAGTGCTCTGGTTACGGTCACTTTGCCCGCGATTGTAAGAACAACTCGGAGCGCTGCTATAAATGTAATTTACTAGGCCACCTTGCGAAGGATTGCGAGAGCAATCTTGATTCAGGTAATCAGGCTTTACATTGTCCAGTTTGGTGAATGTAGCAGTAGAATATGGCGAAGTTTAAAAAGTGCACCAGTGCAAATACTGCCGTCGCTAGACAAGTTGCTAACACGGTATCGTTATGGGTCAGTTAAGATTATATTCTATTGGGTAGACTACTTGATAAAGCTCATCATGCTAAAATTCAGGGTTTTGTCCCCATAGGAACCACTCTGTCTGTGGTAATGCATAAACTTTTTCTGGCAAATAATTTCTTGCTCAGTTATTAGTCTTGGTTCAGACTTTTCTTTTCTGAAACCTTAGATCCAAGACCGAGGTGGCGTTGTCCAAGGCGATCTTTGCGCTAAGGGGGATCGTAACTCCCGTACATTATAGACTTGCGACACTCCAGGGATTTATGTAGACCTGCTCACAGACCGATATTCAGCCCCATGTCTGCAGCAAATGACCGTAAAAAAATCCCATTTGACATAAAATTTCTTATTTTTTTAATTTAAGAAAATAGGAATTGTTAAAATCCAATTTTGAACAAAATCATGCTATGTTTTCCCAATTTGCCTGCCAAGGACGCTTAGTTTAGAACCCTAGATAAATCCCTCCAGTCGTAACGCCAAGGTTGTTTTGTACACATCACCTCAGGCTTGTGTCAAATAACTTGCCTGTGGACACTTTTGGTCTGAAAGGTTTGACCAACATACAAGTTATATGATACAATTATGTAGATTTTTCACAGATGACTTGAGTCCTGCTTTGGACTAGCGACTATAGTTCCTGCACTGGTGCACTTTGTGGAATTTAATGGAGGGCAAACAGCACTAGATGTATAAATTTTTGTTGTGACAAGTTGTGGGTTTTGTTGGTAGTAAATTAAGTTTCTTTTGTGTCTATTTTGGTTGCATTTTGTTATCAGTGTTAGTTGGATAGTTCTTCTCATATCTCAGCTTTGCCTTTGCTTGTGTAGTCTCTTGTACAGCCATTGAAATTTTTATGCACTCAAATTTGTTGGACAAGTCGAGTATCCAGTGATGAAATGCATTCCCATTTCTTTCTGATGCGCACATGCTTAGTTGTCTACCTTCTGAAGTTTCAACACTATGATCAGTATTGTGGGACACATTTATTCCCCTTTCCTACCACTGCTTTTCGAAGTGAAATGACCCAGCCTCCCTTCCCATTTCCACGGTTACTCACTACTACTACTACGTCTTTACTCTTCCTGTATGTTTCTGTGTACTGTGACCCCAGAGCAGCCAAGCTGCAGGATTACAGCATTTTTTAATAATTGTTTTATGATTTCAAACCAACAGGACTCTTCTCAAAGAAGTTCAAACTTGTGAAACTTCACAAGCGACTTTGCTGAATTGAAATCATTATTGTTTCCAAACTGAACATGCCAAATAACATAAGTTGAATCTTGCATTTTCAGCATAAGTCAAATAAATACCTGTGATTTCTTGTTTCTTGTTTGTGTAAATGTCTAATAACGCATGTTTGGGGATACAACTATGCTTCTAGAGATCTACATATTATCATGACAATACCTACAGACTGTTGTAATACAAGCCACGATGTTGCAGTGTGGATATGAGGGCAGAGAAGGTCCTCGCTAACTCATGCATGCGGTTTTAGTCCACTAGTCCTTACAATAACATGTGGCAAAACCCTTAAAAAGGGCGTATTTCCAGTAGTCCTTATGACACCTTAACTACTGGCCAGATTGGCAAGGACTATATGAGTGCCAATTTCTAATGTTGCATATTGTAACGGCCAACTTCATAAGACATGTACTACACAATATTTTTCTAGGCTGTGAACAAGCAGGCAAACAAATATGAGCCATTATCCTTGGATTGTACATGTAAGAGCTTTTCAATGTTAGAACAGTCTCCATCTTGAGCCACATGTCAGAAGCTAGAGCCTAGTAAAATTCAGATTAGCAGTGTTCCCGTTTAGTGGTAATTACCAATTCTTTACCGTAAAATTAGACTTGGACTGGTAATTCATAGGTAGTATTTCGAGTTGCCAGTCCATGGGGACTGGCAGTTTTAAGAGCCTGCAAACACTGATGAGTGTCGTAAACTTAGCTAATAGCAGACCATATGACAACACTAAAATGAAAAATGGTAAGAGTAAATTTCGGGCGAGTAGACTCAAAAGTGTTTGGCTATGTTATCCTGGTGCACTGTGATGTAGCTGACATATTGTTCCAAATGGCTCTCACCCTACATGGACTGATCGTTGTTATGTTCCTACAAGGACTGATCGTGGTGCCATGTCCCCTTATGGACTGATCGTGGTGCCTTCTCCCCTCGTGGACTGATCGTGGTGCCATGTCCCCTTATGGACTGATCGTGGTGCCATGTCCCCTTATGGACTGATCGTGGTGCCTTCTCCCCTCATGGACTGATCGTGGTGCCATGTCCCCTTATGGACTGATCGTGGTGCCATGTCCCCTTATGGACTGATTGTGGTGCCTTCTCCCCTCATGGACTGATCGTGGTGCCTTCTCCCCTCATGGACTGATCGTGGTGCCTTGTCCCCACATGGACTGATCGCGGTGCCTTGTCCCCACATGGACTGATCGTGGTGCCTTGTCCCCACATGGACTGATCGCGGTGCCTTGTCCCCACATGGACTGATCGCGGTGCCTTGTCCCCACATGGACTGATCGTGGTGCCTTCTCCCCTCATGGACTGATCGTGGTGCCTTGTCCCCACATGGACTGATCGTGGTGCCTTGTCCCCACATGGACTGATCGTGGTGCCTTGTCCCCACATGGACTGATCGTGGTGCCTTGTCCCCACATGGACTGATCGTGGTGCCTTGTTCCCCACATGGACTGATCGTGGTGCCATGTCCCCACATGGACTGATTGTTGTGCCATGTGCCCACATGGACTGATCGTTATGTTCCTACAAGGACTGATCGTGGTGCCTTGTCCCCTTTTGACTGATCGTGGTGCCTTCTCCCCACATGGACTGATCGTGGTGCCATGTCCCCACATGGACTGATCGTTGTGCCATGTGCCCACATGGACTGATCGTGGTGCCTTGTTCCCACATGGACTGATTGTGGTGCCATGTCCCCACATAGACTGATCGTTGTGCCATGTGCCCTTATGGACTGATCGTGGTGCCATGTCCCCTTATGGACTGATCGTGGTGCCATGTCCCCACATGGACTGATCGTTGTGCCATGTCCCAACATGGACTGATCGTGGTGCCATGTCCCCTTATGGACTGATCGTGGTGCCATGTCCCAACATGGACTGATCGTGGTGCCTTGTCCCCACATGGACTGATTGCGGTGCCATGTCCCCACATGTACTGATTGCGGTGCCATGTCCCCACATGTACTGATCGTGGTGCCTGTCTGCTTCTAACTTATTACAACACACACAATAAACAAAGTCAACTATTTCAATTTTCTCTGAATGGCTGCACATGTGCGAGGTGTTGTTCACTTGCTCCTTGTTATTCCAACTCGTCACGCTAACACATTCAGCCGTGGGAAGCTTTATCACTAACGGACAGAATGCATCAGAAGTCTCATATTGTCATAATGAGCTCGCACTTTTCATGAGAAATTTCATTCCTCAATATTTCACAATATTTATGCTATGAACATTAAAAACTCTCTGCTTCTTTAACACTGGTTGCCAGGGTTACTGTACCACATACTGTCTGCTGGTGTTGTGAAATATCAAGTTCTCAGGTTAAATTTGGTTGCAAATATTTGTTGTTGCATCTCGCCAATTATGGGCAAACTCCTGTATTGACAACTTTTTTAATGTGAAAATGTTGGATGTTTTTGTACCATATTCCATGTATTCAATGTTCGAAATTAAGCATTACGGGTTATTACGTCCCGGGTTATGTGATAACCTTAATGTTAAAGATTTAGGGACTCCTTTGTTTAATGTACTAAGGCAAAAAACTTCAGTGAGCGCAGAACCCCATTTAATTTCGAATATTGAATCCCCACAGAAATAGATAATGAAACCTTTCAATATGATCATAAGGTGAGTGTAAGCACTGTTGAACTATCCTGCTAGTGTCTGCTTCAGGGTCCTGCTATAACTGTGGCAAGACTGGCCACATCCAGCGCGACTGCACAGAGCCTGTGACCAAGAGTTGCTACAACTGTGGCAGCCCAGGACACATCGCTCGGGACTGCACCAGCCAAGTGGGTGGGGATTCTCCCAGCAGACGGGACAAGAAGTGCTACAACTGTGGCGAGTCTGACCATCTGGCCAGAGACTGTCCCCAGTCAGAGAAAACTGGAAATTGCTACAGGTTGGTTGAAGACAATTTAATATTTATCAGGGGGCATGGGTGGCCCAGTTGCTGAAAGCGCTGCAATTTGCTGTGCAGAGTTGCATCCCTTGGGCACACCAAAACTCTACATGTGGTTTTGAATCCTGGTTCGCCCTGATTGTTTCTAGGTTCGAGGCACCATACCCATGCAGGAGTAGTAGTCGCAAAAGTAGTCTGGAAATCACTTTTGCGATAACTTTTGATATTTAAAGCAACTATTGCGATAAATATCGATAGTTTAAGCAACTGTTGCGATAAATATCAATAGTTTCAGTGTATCATTTTAGATGGATCTAGAATTGAATTAAACCTTGGAACCGAAGTTTCCTTTGAATGTGATAAGGACAACAACAAATGAAAAGTAAATATGAGATATGACTGTCTTGTTTTTTTCTTTACCCTAATAATTTAAGAAAAAGAAACTTCCACATTACCATGTGTAAATTACTACCACTCGTGATCAAAAGAAAAACAAATTGAACAGCATTGCATGTATTTTATTGATATTGTAAATACAATCGAAACTATCGATATTTCTTACTGAAATCGATACTATTGATCGGAGACTGATTTAACAATCGATTAATTGACTTACCAATAGCAATATATCGATACTTCGATTTATCGTAGTGATCATCTGACGCCTGCATTACTTCAGGCTTTCTTCCCACATTGAGCTGACACGCCATGATATAACTTGAATACTGTCCAAAGCTGTGTTTAACCCAACTAACACACTCACCCACATATAGTTTTCAATCACTGGATGGTCTAGTCCAGCCCAGCCTTGATTATTTACAGACCGCCGTCTTAACTGGAATATTGCTGAGTGCGGCATTAAACAACAAACACAATGTAAAGTTTTCTTGTAATGTGATTTGGATTTCCATTGAAATGGTTCAATATTTTTAGGATGGCAGAATTTTTCTTTTGTTTTATTTTTATTTATATTTATTTAAACCTGTTTCAAGCATCTATGTACATAACTGTGGATTGAGGTGATTCACATGCAGCATGAATATTTCGTAGGAGTATGGCTTAGCCGCTATGGTCTAACCCGTCACATAACCAAATAAGGAAACAGTTATTGTCTTCGTCTCAGTAAAATGCTCAATTTATCTTTCAATTTATGTTCGATATTGAGTAGGGTCGGGATAAAATCGATCAATTTCTTTTAACCCTAAAGTTTGAATTTCATCTTAGTTTTGGATGAGAATAATGTCATGGATTTTCTTAACCAATATTCAGGAGGTAATTTAGAATAAAACTGTTTGGTATTTAATTTCTTATAAAAGCTCTTGAAATATAAACTAGAGACCAAAATGTTAAAGACAAAATTTATTAACATGATTAATTCAGACTTTAGACAAGCTCATCGTTAAAACAAGGTAAACAGTTGACCTGATTGTATGAACTTCAATATGGGCATTTTATTTCCCTATTACGCACAATTGTTTTGATTGTCTTGCTAATACATCCCCCATTACTTCGTCCGCAGATGTGGTCAGGCTGGCCACTTTGCTCGTGAGTGCCCCGAAGAAGAGGAGTCTGAAGTCACTTGCTACCAGTGTCAGAACAAGGGCCATGTAGCTCGCAACTGCCCTGAGGCCTAAACTGGGGCTGTGTGCTGGGGCGGAGAGAGACGGGAACAGCACCACCCATCCGGGGTTCACCCACATGGTCCATTATCAGCGTTGTTTGTTTTGAAAATTTGGTTAGGTTTGTTAATTGCTGTACCTTAATTCAGGGTTTGGGGAGTTTGATGTCATGTCCTGAGTATTCATTATGTTCAATTGAAACTGTCCATGATTTTTGATATGTGTGGGTTACATTGAATTGTGATTGGACTCCGAATTTCTTGACCATGTGGGTAACACGGAATGAGCACAATGTCCCTGTCGAAGTGTACCGTCTGGTTGAGGGTGACGGGGGAGGTGTATTGACCCCTGTCTGTGCCAGGTTCCACCCCAGTAGGTTGCTGGTGTTGTAGTGTGCATATTTTCTGAATATTGAAAGGTCTGCATGTAAAATGCACATCAATTTTCGTGTTGTTGCCAGATGCATACATCGTCATCTTGTCTTGTGCTTCACGGGTCGTCGCGTATGAGACCCAGACTAGAGAGCTCGCGTGTTTACCCAGGTTTAAGGTCCTTTCCTTTGTGTTTCAATTATGATCCAATTGTATGTAGAGCTGCAGACAAATTGAACAATTTTCGTCCCCCAGTTCCGAATTTGTACCCTTTAAAACTTTACTCAAACAAAATCTATTTTCTTCATCCCTGTTTGCTTCGATTGGTGTAAAGTTTCAAGGCAACATAAAATGCCTTTAGTTAAATGGTTATGGAATATTTATTATGACCTTTGAATCCTTTGTCTGCAGCAGATGTGATTGTTATTTCATGATTATCATGCTCATTCTCACCACTGGGAAACGAATGGAATTAACAGAAATGACCAACCATGTGGTTTGGAAATGACATTGTCCCAGTCAGGTTTTGTGCTTTTCTTTAGTTATCAACTCGCTGTTTATTTCTGTATTTTGAACCTTTTGTCTGTCAACTACTCTGTTGATTCCCGTTGGTCAGTTTTCGGAAGTGGCAAGCAGGTGGCGTTTACCTCGTGGCCGTGCATGCATCAGACGCTGAGGTGTAGTGCGCTAGGATAGCACACGATGGAGGAAGGGGCAGAGGGAAGGAGCCGTCATGGCAGGAAGAGTAGATTGCTCAATGTAGTGAAAAAGTATTGCAGTGGAGAGATCAGATGTTTGAATTGGTCAATGCAATTGAGATATTGGCTATATAATCAATATAGTACATTTGGAGGGGTCGTGGGTGTCATTATCAAAGTCATTTATTTGGAGGGAGAAGGATGAACTGTTTTGGTACTTATGTACTTAAGACACCCAGAAAACATTTTTGTTCCTTTGGTCCAAGGGGTCACATGTCCTTCCACCTTCCATTGTTTGCATCCATATTGCTGCGCTTGTATTACCAGGCAGCCAGTGCTGAAGTTGCTTCTTGTTCACTGGACTTCTTACATTGTCGTGTCTGGCTGACGTAGTCGAGAGAGTGTTATTACTATTTCCCAGAGGTTTGAGTGTTTATTACTGTTTATTTGACCCCTTCACTCCGAGTGAAGGAGCAGACCCCATTCCATTCTCACTGTGTTGCGTTAATGATGGGGGCTCAGCCTTAGAAATTCTACCAAATATTGCCCTGATCCATAAAACATATACTTGTTCTTGACAAGTACAATTTGAGTAATTTGAAACAAGTTCTTTCTACTTTGAATTCTGAACAGATTAATTCTCAAAGCTTTATAAATATAAAGATTGTTTACAGTGTTGCTAAGACAATTAAGCTGAATTGATTCAATTATGTTTATTGAAAACAATTAAAATCATTCTTTTTATTGGTTATCTTGGAGTGGAAGAAGCTACACAATGAAGTCTTGTGAAATCAATTTTGCCATGGTTTAAGTGACTTGGTAAACCAAAAAAGAATTTCTCGGGCTGGGTGCTCGGGTATAGTCTCCACACAAGGGAAGAAATTCATGGTTCCGAAGTATGCTTTCAAAGTATGCTTTCAATGGCCAATCTATTGAGATGAACATTGTCAAAATGTTTTCCTTGCACATGTAGGACAAAGAGGCTTTATCCCGAGGCCCCATGACAGGCAATTGAGGATCAAACATCGATCTTGTTGTAAGAGCTTTACCCATCATGCAATGTGGAGGCATCTCTCAGGGTTGACACAGAGACGCATCGTTGTGGAAAAAGAACCATCACTTCACAGATGGCAGCACATGGAATAAAATTAAGATCCTTACCTTTTAAATTTGTAAGGGATAAATGCATGTATTTGTTCTGATTTGGAATTTCTTTGTTTTGGGAAAAATTCTTCATATTTATCGCCATTGCCAAAATGACTTAAGTGTCCTTGGAAAAATGAGAAAATTGTACTGGCTGGATACCTTAAACATTGGCAAGTGGCCGATCCTTTTCCAGCAATGATTTCAGTTTGTTTGTATCGTGTTTGGTCAGATGAACTAATCCTGGTCCACCTGTATCTGCTGCCCAACTTTGTTGTGATGGTTTTTCGAGGGCACCACAAGCTTCTCTTCAACCAAGTACATGGTGAACAATGTTTAAATTTGAAGAATTCGTTGTATGTTACATTTTTCTTGCTTGAGATGAGGTGTTAGTCGGAGGTCTGTGAAATCAAAGGCAGCATAGAAGAAGAATTGAGGTGAAACAGAAACAGTCTGAGACCTCCACCAGCATATTTCCATTATACCAGCTGGTAGGAGAGAAGTCAGGACTGAGTACCAATAGTCAAAACAGCATATTTTTCAGTAAAAATGGTCAAAAGAATTTTAGATGAAGTGTTATGCACAAGACACATTTTTGGAACCTTTTGATACAAGCATTGTTGGTATATTAACCTTCAATCCATCCGTATCTACAAAATGTGTAAATAACATTTCTAGACAAGATTTAATTGAGCTTTATTGATTTTTTCATTGCTGTTCAATTTGAAAGTGGGTTCACACGTCTGAACCCCAAAGGTAACATGTATGTTTGTCATAGAAGCGCTTGTCAAGGTGTAATATCTACTGTAAATTACAGTGTAAATGTCATAAGGTGAAATGTTTGAAAAATATCTTGAGGTTTCATGTGCACTCAAAACTATTTTTTATTTTGGTGAATTACAAGAAGTGCATTGATCTATGCATGAAACTTTGTTTGGAGTTTTCTAGTAGAGCCTTAAAGGTGCTATGTCGCATAGTCATGGAATGGCGGAGTCTCAACACAAATGAACTGTCAACACATGTCCTGTGCATGTTTTGTATAGATAAAACACTTAAAAGTACGGAAGACTGATAATTTGTGGATTTCATCTACATGTATCTTTATTCTGTCAGTCCAACATTTTGATACTGATACAAGTACCTTTAGTGACTAGGAAAAGGACCAATGTGGTCATGTTGACTTTGTGTGTAGACTTGGCCATTCCATCTGGACGATCGACTTGAATAGCTACAGGTTGTTTAGACAGAAGTTTACAATCTCAGGGTATAGTAATATTAATCTGAGAATAATCTCAGCAATTATCAGGCTGGTGAAACAACATTGAGGTGGTACTGCAAGTTTACATTTTACTCGGCTGCTGAATTTCTAGGCGATGAAAACCTAAGTATTGAACATTTTGCAAATCAAATTGAAAACATTATCATTGTTAGATCATTTGTGAACTTTGGATGCCAACATTTTCAGTCCACTGATTTCTTTTAACAAATTATTTTCTCGCTGTCATTTACAGCCAATTTCTAACAAATTGTAAATGGTAAACCTGTGACTGAATACAATTGCAAAATAATTTTATTCATTTCTATTTCCTACTTGAAACCAAAGCCAAAGATGAATGGTACACCATAGACCACAATATTCATCATTCATATCTTGCAGTATTTCATGTTTCTGTAAAGGTCACTAGGTGACCGCATTTAGCTATTTCAAAGCATTCTCTGTGCCATTTGCCGATACGCCAGCCATATTTGAGGTTTAGGAGGTGGTTTGGTGAACTAAGTTGTCTCCCCTTTTGGGGGGAGACAACTCATGGCAGCTGCTATCTGTAATGAAGAGAGAGGGGGAGTTTTGTAAATAAAGTGTTTATAATACACTCTGCGTTCTTGTTTGCTTCTTCAAATCACAGTGCTGATGTACTTGTAGCAAACAGTTTGAAGTCTACCTCCTAGAGTCCATGTGCTGTGGAGCTTGTCCGAATGCCTCTAATTTATTCTGAACAGGATGCTAGCTCACAATGGCTGAAGTGAGTTTGTCATTATCGGGTTGTTCTTGATTTTCAGCGTTGACAACCCAAAGCTTAATGGTTCCTGTCAATACATTACTTGCATTCTAACTGAACAGTGTTGACATTTGTGGAACGTTTTCCTACCTCTATATTTCAGTGATTCTTTAAAGATGTTGGACACAATAAGTGAAACCCACTACAACGCTCTTGAGATGTAACATGAAGAGAGTGTATAGTATACTTGTACCGAATAGAAAAAAACAATACCTTTCCATGCTATATTTTGTTGTAGGTGGCACCCACGTATAGTGGGGTAGGCCTCAAATGACATGATTTACCATCACTATAAAAATAATTGCTTACGCTGACTCCTAACACATTAACCTAATAGTGAAATTAAACTTACTTTGTAGTATTACTATTTAAGTTAAACTACATACAAGTATGGTGAAAAAAGGACCAAAAATAGGAACAATCAAGGGAAAATAGCAACATATTCAATGTGGTTCGGGTATCAAAGGAGCAAGTACTCGTGTAAAAAGTTATTTAGAAGATCAAAACCCACTACAGAGTCACCATTTTCATGCATAATGTACAATATCCACCAAGCAACATAAATTTAGAAAAAAATCTGTAGTTCTCCACGCACAATTGAGTATTTGCATGCCCAAGGAAAGCTGGGAGTGTCAATCCTGATACCTGAAAAGGGAGATAACTCATTATCTAGATTATAATCACATTATTCTCGTCTTTGTGTATTGTTTAGATATAACATCATAGGCAGGTTTGATGTTCTACAATGCTTTGTTTATCCATTAATAAGTCTTAAATAGCTATGCTTCTCAAACCAAAAACAAAGAAAGAATATTTTAGAAATTCAGGGAGGAGAATAAAATGTGCCAAGTTAATAAAATAATGTGTAGGAACTCTACACACTGTTTTCCCACTAAAGCTGAAAATTCAGAGATGCATTGGAACAGTAAGACGGTTTTATGTAATGTGACTGAACTTATGTAAGGCTTTGGCAGCACCCTGCACAAGTCTGGCCTTCTTGAACAGATGTTGACAGTGTCTCAAAAACTTTGCCTTCACCAAAGGAAAAATACATGCTAAAATGTATCTCCTCAACATTGAGGGATGCAAGTTCTTTATTTGGGAAGGACTTCAGTGACAGGGAAGTGAGTGAAAGGCTGATCTCCGTCCCAAAGAGTGAGAACTCCTGTTTGATAATAAAATCGAAATGAAACTAAGCTGGCTAAGTCAAGCATGGATCGTAATTTAAGAGAAAAAAATATTATGTCAATATGATAAACATTGAGATTGGTTGCAACTCATTTACATTTATTTACCTGTGAAGATTCAGGGTTGTTTTGGTCTTCAGCAACCCATGCTTGTCATAAGAGGGGACGAACGGGATCGGGTGGTCAGGCTCCCTGATTTGTTTGATGCATGTCATTGTATCCCTATTGCCTTGGTTGTTGCTCATGTCAATCGCTGGATTGTCTGGTCCAGACTCGATTATATACAGACTGCCGACATATAGCTGGAATATTGCTGAGTGTTGTGTAAAACAACAAACAAAACATTTACATTTTGAGTTCTGCTAGATGCGAAAATGTGTGGCTGTTTGAATCATTAAATTGAGAAAATAGTAGATGACATTCACACATCACCAACATTTCTATTCGGGCAAGAAGTACGTAAGTTCAGGGTGTTCGCGTTCGATTTTATTGAATCTAACATTAAAATCAATGTCTTTATTACTAAGCTTGTGCAATGACCTGACCAATACAGTGTTCCACAACTGGCGATCCTGGCGATCCTAGCATCCCCATGTGCAAGGCGTGGAACCCAAGAATCGAGTGTCCGGACCCAGGTACTGACGTAACAACCATGTGCAGGAACCCTGCAGCGAAGTCGAGCGTAACCATTTAAACTTGATTTCCAACAGATGTTCACTACTGGCACTTGTGTGCAGATTTGGAAAGTGTAAGCTGTTCAGAAGATGCCTTGTCATTAACGTCAGGGAAATGGTGTTCAAAAGATGCCTTGTCATTAACGTGAGGTGAAATGGTGTTCAGAGGATGCCTTGTCATGAACGTGGGGTGAAATGGTGTTCAGAGGATGCCTTGTCATTAACGTGAGGTGAAATGGTGTTCAGAGGATGCCTTGTCATGAACGTTGGGTGAAATGGTGTTCAGAAGATGCCTTGTCATTAACGTGGGGTGAAATGGTGTTCAGAAGATGCCTTGTCATTAATGTGAGGTGAAATGGTGTTCAGAAGATGCCCTGTCATTAACGTGAGGTGAAATGGTGTTCAGAAGATGCCTTGTCATTAACGTGAGGTGAAATGGTGTCCAAAAGATGCCTTGTCATTAACGTGAGGTGAAATGGTGTTCAGAGGATGCCTTGTCATTAACGTGAGGTGAAATGGTGTTCAGAGGATGCCTTGTCATTAACGTGAGGTGAAATCGTGTTCAGAAGATGCCCTGTCATTAACATGAGGTGAAACGGTGTTCAGAGGATGCCTTGTCATTAACGTGAGGTGAAATGGTGTTCAGTGGATGCCTTGTCATTAACGTCAGGTGAAACGGTGTTCAGAGGATGCCTTGTCATTAACGTGAGGTGAAATGGTGTTCAGAGGATGCCTTGACTATTGCTCTTGTATCGCGACATACATACACACGTGTCTAATAGACTAATGCCAGTTTTATAGTGCTAGCCCACCAAAACACCTTTCCACAGTTTAACATGGATGCCCCACTCAGACACATATTCTCTTTCCATACTGACCAGTCCTTGTTTTATCACGTTAATCACGAGTTCCAGGCAGGGTAACAAGAAGTACAATCTTTCAAGGTCTTTCGGACCGACACAACCGGGAACCAAACCTGTTAAGACTCGTAAAGAATTGATTATCTGCAACCCATGCTTGTGAGAGACTGACTGGATCAGGTGGTCAAGACTTGGTGACTTGGTTGATGCATATCCTATATCCAGATGGTGTAGACCAATGCTCATGGTGTCAATCACTATACTGTCTGGCCCAGACTCCATTATTTACAGACCGCTGTCATACAGCTGGAATATTGTCGAGTGGGGCGTTAAACAAACAAACAAACAAACAATGACACACAGAGCCAGCTGGACCTGCCTGCTTTTTCAGGAGTGGGCCACAGGGACCAATGCATATATATTTCCTACTAGTGTCTGCAGAGTTGCCATTCCTCTACCAGTCAGGGCCCTGCTCCTCAAACCGAACTGAGCCCCAGGGTGATCGTAACTCCCATACAGTAACACAGGCTTACAATAATTGTAGTGCCAAGATCACTTTGTGGAATGGGGACTAGATCAAAGTTTGTCTTTCACAGATTTGCTGCAGTTCTCTCGTAATGATTACCGAGTGTACGAAAGTCTGTTCTATTGTGATGGGAGCAACCCATGCTTGCCGTAAAAGGCGACTATGCTTGTCATAAGAGACGACTTACGGGATCGGGTGGTCAGGCTCGCTGACTTGGTTCAGCTTTTCATCATATCCCAACTGCGTGGATCGATGCTCAAGATGTCAATCACTTGATTGTCTGGTCCAGATATTTGCAGTCTGCCGTCATATAGCTGGAATATTGCTGAGTGCTGTGTTGTAAACAACAACCAACCAAACAAAAAAACAAATGATGGGGACCTGGGCCCACTGGCCACCAAAGCCCTTGTTTGGAAAGTGAATTTGTGTAGTAAGCGTGTAATTATTTCTTTGGTAATTTCTGAAATGTCAAATTTGAAACATACTAAAAAAAATGTAGATAAGGGCATAAACAACTCATCATTTTAGCAACCCAAACTTTTAATCCTCAACTTATGTTGAGTTTTAAAACTAGAAGTACAGTGGTCACTTCGTGAAATTAGGCAGTGTTGTATATACAACAAACACAAAAAACATGTCTCAAACTGTATTTGAAAATTAGCACAAGATTAGAAACAATTACAAGTAAATGCCTGTCGAAAAAGCAGATCAGTATGGTTAGAAACACATATTGGAAGACATATCTGAGGTATGCATGTCTCCATTTGCTTCAAGTATCATTCAGTTCAACACAGGCCCTATGAAACAGGCCTGTCAATACTGAGAGAGTGAGAGAGTGAGTGAGTGAGTGAGTGAGTGAGTGAGCAAGTTAGTTGGGTTGAACGCTGCTTTGAACAGTATTCCAGTCAAATTACTGTGTGTCAGCTTAATGTAGGTAGAAGTCCAAAGTGATGCAGGTCTCAGACGTTAACCACTTTGGTGAAACCCATGAGCATAGGTGTGGTGCAGACAAACCTAAAAACAATCAGGGTGAACAGGGATCCGAACCAAGATCTGGTCTGACCAAGGGACAAAACGCTGCACAGCTCATTGCAGTGCCTGAGACAACTGGCCACCCTGTGCCCCGACCTTATCATGGCCACATGCTGTAGGGGACCACGGGTGGCCCAGTCGTCTAAGGCTTCCCTGTTGTTGTGGGTTTAAATCCTGCTTCGCCCCAATGATGTTTCTAGGTTTGTCAGGACCATACCCATGCTTGTGGGTTTAAAAAAAGTGGTAAATGTTGGAGACCTGCATCACATCAAGACGACACGAGTATTACAACTGGAATAATGTTCAAAGCAGCGTTAAACTGAACTTACTGACTCACATGATGGAGAATGGAGACGTTACATAACAATGCTGCTTCAAAACATCACCAACTATAATGTAGAAGCAATTACAGTTGGCATAACATCATCAAGTTCACAAACAGCAGCTATATGCAAACATTTATCACAGAAAAGATAAAGAAGTTATAGGAATTCAAATATTTGCATAAAATCAGAAAAATAACAATTTTTCTTGCTAACATGTTACATTTCACGTCATAACTAAAAGTAAACGAGTTGCGAAGTGTACACATTGTTACAAGAATAACCCACGAGATATGAAGGAAATACATATTAAGTAAGTTCAATGTTATAGTTCTAATTCCTCAAAGGGATCTAATCTATTTCAGTGTCACAAATGAATGCTTTAGTTCTGCAACATCAATCTATGACATCAAAAACATGTTTGGATGGAACAAAAACATATTGGATTTGAAACTGTGTCAAGAAGATACCAGGGGTGTATCTTGGTCGGTTGGTTTGTTGTTTAATGCCGCACTCAGCAATATTCCAGCTATATGACGGTGGTCTGTAAATATATGAGTCTGGACCAGACAATCCAGTGATTGACATCATGAGCATCGATCCACGCAAATGGGATAAGCTGACTTGCATCAACCAAGTCAGCGAGCCTGACCACCTGATCCCGTTAGTCGCCTTTTACGACAAGCAGAGTCGCCTTTTACGACAAGCAGAGTCGCCTTTTACGGCAAGCATGGGGGTGTATCTTGAATTTCAAACTACCGTATTTGACGTAATAAGCGCCCAGGGCGCTCTCAAAATTAGAAATAGGGGGCTCTTATAAGAATATTATTTTGGTGATAAAAACAGAGTTGAAAGATAAATTTCCTGGTTTATGCTGACAGCCTGAAATGTTTATAGACGACAGATATATTTTTCCAGAATTTAATTGCCCATAATTGAGAGTGCATATTACACACGAGTGCGTATTATACATGAATAAATAGGTCTTGTGTACATTGATCAATCGGAAGGGGTGCTAATTGGGATTGTTCGCTTGCTAATATATTAGTAAATATCGCCGTGGGCGCTTATTAGAGCGGGGGGCTTATTACGTCGAATACGGTAAGTGACACTGGCTGTCAAGTCGCAGGTTTAACACTTTGGTGAACAAACACAGTTAGGGTGCGGACACACCAAGAACAATCAACAATCTGATTTTGAACCCACAACAACTGTTTACCCAGTAGTAATTTAATTTCTTCTGTTACAGATTTTCTTCACTAAATTAGCCAAGTGAGTGGCGACAAAATGAGAAATTATATATATAAAGTATGTATATAGATATAGATATATATTGTCATCTCTGGATAACTTCCTTAAAAAAATGAATACTTTGAAAAAAATACAAACCCAACTATGGTTTAAAAAGCTGATTTCATGATTTCATGTTTTCTTTTTTTCATATTTGCTCAAATTAGGGTTTGTTCGTCTGTTAAACAAGAAACAAAATTGGGTCGTGCAATTAATGAAGAAAAATAATCATCTTAAGGCATTTATTTTACACACCCACACATATATATGTAAAGTTCTCATTAGATACATCATCACCAACTGACTGAATAAATCATTGAATTTAACATTAACACTAATCATATGTACATTCATAAATATTATAAATACACCGTCAGTGTATAACTTAAGGGCATCCATAGAACCAAGAGGCAAGTGGTGCTGATTACATGCTCATATTGCTAAAACTATCTGTAAACATCGTATCAAATGCTATCACAAATTACTCCATGAAAAAAACTACCATGGATATATTGTCTACTAGATGTAGTAGCACCTCATGAATTGAAACAACCAACACATAACAGACTGTCAGGGTGTGACTTTGGGGGGTTTCTCCCCTGCACCAAGTGGAGGCTGCAGTTAACAACGGACTGAACAACAGGTGAACTGGCTGCACCCAGACTTTAGGCTTAAGAAAAAAAAGAATTGGTTCTCAGGCAAAGACTTTTGAAAATATACTGCGGGTGGGCAGTATTTTTTAATTTTTGTTGTATGTTCAAATTAGTATGTAACCAAATAAACAGTTGTGTACCATCAACCTGGGAGATGGCCTCCCTACATCAACAAGCATGCATACCAACTTCTATTGCCATCATGACCATAACACCAGATGCGCAGTAAAGCAGTGCGCGTGTAAAGGGAAGTAACTGTGTGCTATATTGTATCGCATTGTTTTTAAGTTTTAGGATTTTTTTATTTTTAAAAAAAATGGAAATAAAAACAAAATGTGCAGCGGACTTTATGAAGATGCGGGTGGCGCCTGAGAACCAAGACTTATTTTTTTTGGCCTTACTGGAAAATTAAACATAATTATATACAATACGATATGTAGTGGAAAGAACCAGGATGTAAACATGAACATCAGTAAACTCAGTACAGTCAGCTTATAAACTAAGGTTGCACTAGCCGATTTTCACCTGCATCAGGGCAGTCTTGTCCAAAAGAAATCTAACCCTGACAGCATAACAACAATAATTATCCGAACTAACAACAGCTGACATGCATAAACAACAGTTATCAGGGTTATATCACAGTGCCCAGAAACATGTCAGAGTCAGTGGTATTTGCTGAGGGGCCAATGAGCCGACTTGCTGTCAGTGTGAAATACTGCATCCCTGATAGCATCTCAAGCACCAATCTCATTAAAATCAGAATCTAAGTTCTCGCTTCCACAAAACAAAGATCTGAGGACATCCCATTACGGGTCACGTCAGAACAACCTTTTGCGAGCTTTGACCGACCACTGAAACAAATAACAAGAAGTCGATATCAGCCAATGGGATAGCAGCTTTCTCGAGCTTTACTGCACTCGTTTCAACCTGGCGACTTCCATTTCACGCTACGCTTGAAAAATATGTTGACACAGTTTTCGATTAAAATTTTCAAAACTGAACAAACGAACATTCCGAAATGTCTAATATATTGTTGCGATTGTATTGCAGAACTCCCCACGTACTGTGCAATGCCTCCGCCGTTCAAATGTTTATCCCGCGGAAGCGAGAGATAGATGGTAATTTTGACTGAATCAGTTCGTAACTGTCATTTGGAATATCCCGTGTTAGAAAACACATTCTGACTGTCACTTTCATGATCTGGTAAGCGACGCTTTGATTGGTCAGATGAAAGATCGTTCTGACGTGACCCGTAAGGGGATGTCTTCAGATATTTGTTTAGCGATAGCGAGAACTAAGATTGGATTTTAATGAGATTGCTCAAGCACTAGGTGCAGGGCACCTGTCACAGCAAGATGGCTCCAAGACAACAACACCGAACCTTTAAATCTAAAATACATGACTTTGCTCATCTCCATAATACATCCTCTGTTTTCATATTTCAAGGTAAAATAATAAACTTTGCAACAATCTCAAAATACATTCTTACTGACAGCATCACTGTTGCCCCTTGACGTGAAGACATCCTGGCACATGTGTGAGTGAGGTAGGGACGGGGTGTGGTTTAACGTGCAAAACATCATACACAAAACCTTGTGTGTCTGTGATACATAACAAACTACACAATGTCATTCTACCACATTATATACCTACAAGATTTACACAATGATTTTGATTCAGTTGCATTCAGTAAGATTTGATTAGCTTTGTTGGACAAGAATTGGTGTCAGATTCAGTCAGTCAATACAAAAAGATAAACATCAAACTCTGGGTACAATTCATTATGTCCGACTATCTCACATGTACACATACCCTTTAATTAGCGGGGGTCGACAGTCGGCTACTGCCGAATGAGCGAGGGATCGAATTGGCCATCACATGCGGATACATAGAAACGTATAGGGTGTTGATTGGTATGGCTTACAGTCTCCAGTTACACTAATCCCCTCAACTGGTTGTAAACATACAAGTTTCTAAGACAGATTACTTATCAACACAAAATGTGAACATTTTAAATACTACCTCACAAATAACAAGATCAGTCTTGCTCTGAACACACAATGCCATGTAGAAAGTGGTCACGTGTAACAAATGTTATATTTGGCATTTACACTTTCTTAGTAAAGTACAGAGTCTAGTACTTTTCGGGTTCAGTCCTGTCCCGGATTCGAACTCACACTGCCAGAGTGAGGCACCTAATCACCAGCACACAAAGTCAGCGATCTAACCCACTCAGCCACTGAGGCTTCCACAAAAATGAAAGTCCGATAACTGGTAGTGTGGGTTCGAATCCCCGAGGGGACCCCAAAAGTACTAAATCTGTTCTTTATCAAGAAAGTGTTATCCCAAACATAACATTTGTTACATTTAACCACTGTCTAAATGGGATTGTGTGGTCATAGCTTTTGGCCATGGGAGCCGTGGGAGCCATGCCAATTTGTCAGATGGGTACACAAAGTATGTGATCTAGACTACCAGTTGTCAGACTTTCATTTTGTGGAAGCCTCAGTGGCTGAATGGGTTAGGTGCCTCACTCTAGCAGTGTGGGTTCAAACCAAAACCCGGACGGGACTCAACCCCAAAAGTACTAGAATCTGTACTGTACTGAGAAAGTGTTCTCCCAAATATAACATTTGTTACAGTCTTGTTCTGTTCCACAATGCTGTGATAACAAGAGTGTGGTCCTGGGACTGCAGACTCACTATGGAGAGATGTGGCAGAAAACATGCAACTAGCCCTGTCCCAAGGGTCCTGACAGGTCTACCAGGGATAGAAATTAACCTAGAATGTCTACTAGCCCCAATAGTGATAACACATAGAGACATCCCCAAAATGTTTGAAATTCTACCAGCCCTTAGGATACCTTAAACATTAGTGAAAATGGCTCAGGCATTGAAGCAAGCTAGTGCTAATTACCAATCCCTTGTTTTTTAGCTGACAACTGTAAAATGACTAAAAAAATGTCCTAATAAAAGTTCAAGGCAAAATGACATTGAAATACAACACAGTGCTTAGCATTAAAGTTAAAGTTTTTTTACCTAAAATAGGTTCATTTCTGGAGGACTAGCCATTTTACACTGCATTAGAACCAAAACTTGCAGATCGTTCAGATGGTCAGTGCAAGCAATTTGGTAAGAAAGATATACCTTAAAAAACACCAAAATCTAAATAAAGATAAATGCTGTGTTGCTAAATGCTAAAAAAGATTTTAAAGCGACATGAGTCAGTTTTACTGTAAAAACTACTGACCAAAGTTCCCTCAACTCAGGACCCTCTACTCTGGCAGAAGTTTCCTCCGTCCACCATGAAGTTAGCACCATGGGTCAGCCTGGTTTGCCTGAACCCGTCACTGACCACAGTTTTGTTGCAGACGTCAACATGGTCATCAGACGTCCATACCCAGTCATCATGTCACCTGTACAAAGAAAAAATAGTCTTTCCTTATCTGTTGAGCGATTGAGAGTTGTCTTACACCACTTTCTGCAACATTCCAGCAACATCAGAGCTGGTTTTGGTGGCAGACAGTTACAGTCAGAGGGACATAGCTCTTGTGAGTGAGTGAGTGAGTGAGTGAGTTGGGCTTAACGCCGCTTTTAACAGTATTCCAGTCATATCACAGCGTGTCAGCTTAATGTGGGAGGAAAGCCAGAAGTGATGCAGGTCTCAGACGTTTACCATTTCGGTGAAACCCACGAGCATGGGTATGGTGCTGACAAACCTAGAAACATAATCGGGGCGAACCGGGATTCGAACCCACAATCATAGGTTTCTGGCGTGCCCAAGGGACGCAACTCTGCACAGCGAATCGCGGCGCCTTAGATGACTGGGCCACCCGTGCCCCCCATAGCTCTTGTGACCTAAGTGACAATGATTATAAACACTAATAGTGTTAGGGAATTCTAATGTTGCTATGTGGCTGGTAAGAACAATCTCGTTAAATTCCGATCTTAGTGTTCGCTACCGTTAAACAAATATCTGAGGACATTCCATTTCTGGTCACCTCGGAACAACCTTTGATCTTACGAGATCAGGAAAGAGAAATCTGAATGTGTTTTCTAATCATGCTTCCTCAGAAAGATTAACACCAGGCATTCTGAACTGATTCCGTCTATCTCTCATTTCAGTCGGATAAACATTAGGGATGAATCAATACATCAGTTCACCGTGAGTTTTCATGTGACGATACGATACACGATACGTTTTTCTCTGTATCGATACATGATATAGACTCACTGAAATAAATTACTTGCTACTCGTTTAATGACCCCTGGTATTTTTATCAGTCCGATATAGGAAAACGTTGTAATTAGCGTTTCAAGTTCACCACTAAAAATAGCCATTACAACATGTGTGTACAGCTAGCTTTTCCTTTTGAATCTGCTCTGAAAGATTTATTGTCAAGAAGTTTCCATGCGATTTGACGTAAATGTGTGTATTGCGATACATATCCTATCATGACCCATGCATCGTGATCCGTATCGATACCTTGCTGTATTGTTTCTCCCTTAAAAAACATTTTAACAGAAGAGTCTTCCCAAAACTCGTGGAAAGTACTGTCATACAATCTCCGCCATCTATTCAACATTCCAGAATTTTCTTTTATTCACCTTTCAAATTGTGAACTTTGTCAAATGATTGTTTTTGGAAGTGTTGTCTGGGATGGAAGTCGCCAATTGAAACAAGTGCCATATAGCTTTAGAAAACAGCTTTCTGATTGGCTAATGTAGACGTCCTGTTATTAATTTCACTCGTCAGTCATAGTTTGTGAAAGGTCGTTCCGGTGCGACCTGTAAAGGGATCTCCTCAGATTAGTGTACTGATACTGCGAGCACTGAGATCTAATTTTAATGAGATTGGGGACGTATTCTCAGTCGGAATACCAATCGGGTTGTACAGATACAACCCAGTGAGGTCACAACCTCATTCTGGAGGATTTGTCACTCTTTAATGATTCTTGTTCACATTGTATAACCATGGCAACAGTTGTCTATCCTCCCACAAATAAAAACAGTGGGGCATGAGTGCCCAAGTTACTTAAGGTGTCACAATGCTGTGCCAAAACGTGCCAGAAACCAATGATTGTGGCTTCAAATCCCTAGATTATGTTTCTAGGTTTGTCAGCACCATACCCGTGCTCGTGGGTCTCACCATAGTGGCGAACACCTGAGACCTGCATCACTTCGGGCTTTCCTCCAACATCAAGTTGACACGCCGCGATATAACTGGAATACTGTTGAAATCGGCGTTAAACCAAACTTTCAAAAAACAAACTTACTGTTAAAGCTGTTAACGAAGGCGAGTGCAGCCAGAGTGACTAGAAACACGAGTCTCCAGGCTGGAGTGAGTTTCAGCCTCCTAATCCACTGCAGCAACTTCGTGCTGACCCTCCTCAAAGACTTCACAAGTTCCAGGCAGGCAAAACCTTGCTCTGAAATGTCAAAGAGGACAAACATAAACAGAGAGGCCAACCCAAAATTTAGGCAGGTAGGAATATCTGGAATAATTGGCATATAAAATGAGTAATTTTAAAAGAGTGTGTGAGTGAGTATGGCTTTAAGCCTCTTTTAGCAATATTCCGGCAATATCCCAGAGCCAGACACCAAAACTTGACTTCACACATTGTACCATGTGGGGAAATCAAACCTATGTTGAACCTGGGTCTTCAGAGTGATGAGCGAACGCTTTAACCACAAGGCTACCTCACTACCCCCTAATTTTAAAGTAGGAATCATTGTCAGCATATCTGACTATAAGTTTGATGAAAACACTGCAAAATCTGCAAACCCTCCCATCACAAGCTAAGCAGGTGATTATTATAGGATCACATCTGCTCACATGTTTATTGTTTGTTGTTTATCGCCACACTTAGCATTATGAAGACATGTGTTCTGATAAAGCAGAAAGTGCTTTTAATGTTTGTTTATTCTTTAACGCCGCACTCAGCAATATTCCGGCTATAAGACGGCACTCTGTACATAATCGAATCTGGACCAGACAATCCAGTGATTGACATTATGAGGAATTGGGATACGATGACATGCTTAAACCAAGTCAGCGAGTCTGACCACCCGATCTTGTTAGTCGCCTCTTACGACAAGCATTGGTTGCTGAATGCCAATAATAAGCCGGATGATTATGACCTGGTTGTACAGGAGACAACGACTGCAGTGAGGTGGATGATTATGACCTGGTTGTACAGGAGACAACGCCTCCAGTGAGGTGGATGATTATGACCTGGTTGTACAGGAGACAACGACTCCAGTGAGGTGGATGATTATGACCTGGTTGTACAGGAGACAACGACTGCAGTGAGGTGGATGATTATGACCTGGTTGTACAGGAGACAATGACTGCAGTGAAGTGGATGATTATGACCTGGTTGTACAGGAGACAACGACTGCAGTGAGGTGGATGATTATGACCTGGTTGTACAGGAGACAATGACTGCAGTGAGGTGGATGATTATGACCTGGTTGTACAGGAGACAACGACTGCAGTGAGGTGGATGATTATGACCTGGTTGTACAGGCGACAACGCCTCCAGTGAGGTGGATGATTATGACCTGGTTGTACAGGAGACAACGCCTCCAGTGAGGTGGATGATTATGACCTGGTTGTACAGGAGACAACGCCTCCAGTGAGGTGGATGATTATGACCTGGTTGTACAGGAGACAACGCCTCCAGTGAGGTGGATGATTATGACCTGGTTGTACAGGAGACAACGCCTCCAGTGAGGTGGATGATTATGACCTGGTTGTACAGGAGACAACGACTCCAGTGAGGTGGATGATTATGACCTGGTTGTACAGGAGACAACGCCTCCAGTGAGGTGGATGATTATGACCTGGTTGTACAGGAGACAATGACTGCAGTGAGGTGGATGATTATGACCTGGTTGTACAGGAGACAACGACTGCAGTGAGGTGGATGATTATGACCTGGTTGTACAGGAGACAACGACTGCAGTGAGGTGGATGATTATGACCTGGTTGTACAGGAGACAACGACTGCAGTGAGGTGGATGATTATGACCTGGTTGTACAGGAGACAACGCCTCCAGTGAGGTGGATGATTATGACCTGGTTGTACAGGAGACAATGACTGCAGTGAGGTGGATGATTATGACCTGGTTGTACAGGAGACAACGACTGCAGTGAGGTGGATGATTATGACCTGGTTGTACAGGAGACAACGACTGCAGTGAGGTGGATGATTATGACCTGGTTGTACAGGAGACAACGACTGCAGTGAGGTGGATGATTATGACCTGGTTGTACAGGAGACAACGACTGCAGTGAGGTGGATGATTATGACCTGGTTGTACAGGAGACAACGACTGCAGTGAGGTGGATGATTATGACCTGGTTGTACAGGAGACAACGACTGCAGTGAGGTGGATGATTAGGACCTGATTGTACAGGAGACAATGACTGCAGTGAGGTTAAGACCTAGAATAAATTACAGGCGATGTTTTTGGACAAAATTCTTACAATAATTATATTGTCAAATTTGTATCATAATGGTGGGCAATTCTGGTAATGACGTACACGTATATACTAAACAGATGTTAAGGACCACCAGATTCGTTCATGTTGCTAAAGTTGCTAAACCTTCATGGCATGACAGTCGATAATACCAACATGAAAATTATATAGATAAACATGGATTTATCTAGACTTGCTCAGAGGCTAATATTTGACCCCAAGTCTGCAGCAATTTACAAAATCAAACCGTAGCGAGATTGAAGTGCAGAGTGATCATGGAAAGTAGTGTCCCACCATTAGCGCTCTCCACAAAGAGACCATTGCAAAGTCCAAATTTATCTATTACCCATGGAGGCAGTTTGGTTAACTCTCCCAAATCTTCCACGATGCATTTCTTTTCACGATTGAAATGTTTCCTTACCATGTCTAGTTTTCATGTATTGAAATGTGACATTACTACTGAGACACGAATCATATTGTATACCTAATTGACATTAGCTAAAGTAGGACACTGCAGAGAGATACACACACACTATTATTACTTGCCCGTGAAGAGATCACCCGTTTAATAAACATACAGCTGTATTACACATTGTGTAATCCCAAAATGCGTGCTTATGTACTCTCGGAACACGTTTCACGAACAAATTTTGAAAACTCTCAACATCCCTTGGCTTATTCAACGACATTGCATGTGGAGATGATAGATCACTGAGAGGAGCTTATGCACACTCGATGACCCCAGCAACCTTGTTGCTAGGCTGACGTCACATGGCATTGTTTCGCCGAAGGATCTTGCAACAAAATTCCACAATTTACGTCATCGGGTAATGTGATGTGATTGTAAACTTTGAGATGCAAGGCCCCGTTCCACAAGGCGATCGTACGGTAGCGCAACGACACTCGTTGGTCTAAGTTAAAGTATGTGAGTTGCGATAACCTTAACGCTACGATCATTTTGTGGAACGGACGCCTGAGTTCTAAAGGTGGACTGTTGTCTGGTATTAAATTCATACGTTTCAACTTTTGACGTGTTTGAAGTATTACTGTGTTAAACTCAATTGGATTATGCCGTGGATCGTGTAGGTGTCAGCCTATTAAAACTCAACAGTTTAATTCTAAAAACGTTATAAATGGCCAGTAATAAATAAAATACTAAACTCCCTCCCGTGTAAAACCAAATTTATGAAACTTGTGAATAGTTGTGGTATCTGACTCGCTTTCGCTCGTCAGATACCAGAACTTTTCACTCGTTTCATAAAATTGGTATTACACAGGAACTCGTTTAGTATTCTATATTTAGAACACAGGACAACATGGTTTCTTTCAGAAATCTGAATTTATATATTCTTATTCTACTGTATAAGTATTCTTGAAATTAAGTTTTGGCTCATATTTTCAAACCTGTAAAATTGTTGGTATCTTGCTATCATTGTAACCCTGTGAAAGGTACTACACTTGCAAGAATGACCTGTTTTACATTTGAATTGTATAAGCAGCCTTTTGATATGCAACTAAATATTGATTTTTGTCAGGTCATAATAAATTTACTTTTCGTCAACCATTGTTTTCCCACAGGGGCAGGTGATTACTTCAGTACATAGTCTTTCTCCCACCCACTGTCATCAAATTTGCCTTAAGTACCATGACCTACTGTATTGTGTCACTATAATGTATCCCGATGTTTTTTATTCCTCCTTGTACTACTTGCATTTAGAGTGAGTGAGTGAGTTGGGTTTAACGCCGCTTTTAACAGTATTCCAGTTATATCGCGGCGTGTCAGCTTAATGTGGGAGGAAAGCCAGAAGTGTTGCAGGTCTCAGACGTTTACCACTTCGGTGAAACCTACGAGCACAGGTATGGTGCTGACATACCTAGAAACATAATCGGGGCGAACCAGGATTCGAACCCACAAACATAGGTTTCTGGAGTGCCCAAGGGACGCAACTCTGCACAGCGAATCGCGGCGCCTTAAACGACTGGGCCACTCGTGCCCCCTCTTGCATTTAGACCATTTGTAGACGGTTCATAAGTAACTTAAAACACTCCTCCTCGGTTTTGGTTGAAATGTAAACACTAAGAGTCATGTTTTAACTATAACATAAGATTACAGATAAACCAAAGTTACAAAACATTGTAACAATTACTTTTGTCTTCTTGTTGAGTTGTGTCCACTTCTCCAAGCTTCGCATGGGTGTGAATTATCTCCCCTCTTGACATTTTTTCGGAATCTGAGGGCAACGACCTCATGGGTGACAACATGGCATCCTTCTCTGCATCAGTCAGCCCTTGACAGCTGTCCACCAGCTGTGGGATGAGGTTGTAGGCCCCCAGGGGGACCAGCACTTGCTGCACATACAGCTTCGCCACGTCAGAGTATTCTGGACTCTGTCGATTGCGGTCGTTCTGCAGCCACATTTTGGCAATGGCGTGACACTTGATGTACTCCTTTACTTTGACATGAAGGAGAAGACTGAAGAAAGACATTCCATAATAGTGTATCAATGTGATAAATAGTGGTGTTCCGATTAATAGAAATGATCAGTGAGTGAGTATTGTTTCACGCCGCTTGTACCAATATTTCAGTAAAATCATGGCAGGGGACACCAGAAATGGATTTCACACATTGTACCCATGTGGGGAATCAAAACCGGGTCTTCGGTTGGACGAATAAAGGCTTTAGCCACTCGGCTACCCCATGGCCCCATGAAATCATCAAAGATTGATCCGAAGGTCCAAATGACCAACCTATCTACTGTAATTTTCCATAATCAAACAAACAATTTTACCGCCCTATCAAACATGAGAGTTTTGATTCATGAGAGTTTATTCACTACTTGTGACTTAGTACTTGCAGAAAACAGTGAGAAAGTGCATAAGCATGTATTTGTGTGTTTGTAAGGTGTAATCCAATAGCAAAATGATGCCAACTTATTAATTTGTATCAGAAGGATGGTGCAATCATCAATCATGAACTTAAATTCCCAAAATAAGACATCAACTGTGCTGATAAACTTGGTACCACTTTTCAATAAATATGCAAATGAGGTCACCAAGCAGGAACTACTTTCAATAAGATCCTTACACCATGTACATCAGTGAGATGCTCAATCAACGATTGCCTACCACTTACAATAGGTTTAGATATGGGTTTTTCTAATGTAAACAAAGGTTGAAAATCATTTTAATTGAGAACTCACCACAACTGAATTATTCTGACTGGACAGTTGTCAATGTTGTCATAAATCCCCTGAATGAAAGGAAGGACGGCATCCCACTGGTCCAGCTCGGCATACGCCTGGATTATTACAATACACAGGGAGTCCACATAGCTCTGGTAGCTGCAACACAACACAACATAACACAAATGTCGGTTTTCATTTCTCATTAATTGGCAGTCATTAGGAAATACCAGGCAGAACACTGCAAATGTGAAGTGAAATGGGGTGCGTGCATGCGTGTAGGCTAGTCCGGAATAATAGTGCTAGCTTTAAATATAACTTTGCATTCATGTCTCACTCGTGTATTTTTCAACTTATTCTTATCGCTATATGGATGAAATAATGCTGATGCGATGTTAAATTTTAACCCTCTCACTCACTTATAGTGATAGCCCAATAAGATATCATGCTGCAGTTCAACATGGATACTGACTGAGCTGACCAGTCCTCTGTTTATCCCCTTAATGTCAAATGCCAGGCAGGTTAACAACAATATGGTGAGGTCAGGGATAGAACCACCAACCTTGCACTCTACGGTATGAAGTTCTATCCACTAGACCATGTTTACAGGCTCACTCAAAAGGACCAAGTCCATCTATGTGCCAGGGATATTTAGTAAAAACAGACAAGAACGTGTCAACATGATTGTGTGTTTGTTGTTTAATGCCGCACCCAGTAATTTTCCAGCTACCTGATGGTGGTATGTAAGTAATGGAGTATGGACCAGAGTGAGTGAGTATGGTTTTACACCGCTTTTAGCAATATTCCAGCAATATCACGACGGGGACACCAGAAATGGGCTTCACACATTGTACCCATGTCGGGAATCGAACACAGGTCTTCAGTGTGACGAGCGAATGCTTTAACCACTAAGCTACGTGAACCACGAGGCTACCTGACCAAACAGTATGGACCCGACAATCCAGGGATTGACATCATGAACATTGATCCACGCAATTGAGATTGATGACATGCATCTTACGACAAGCATAGTTGCCTTTTACGGCAAGCATGGGTTGCTGAAGACTATTCTACCCCGGATCTTCACAGGTCTATAATGCATGTGTACCCAAATATTTAGATAAGTTCAATATGAATTGATATTATGAATATTGAGTATTAATTTCATCAATTTTCCATGTTTGCCAAACTTGACCTGCTTTTGTCTCTTATGCATAAGTGAGTGAGTGAGTGAGTGAGTGAGTGAGTGAGTGAGTGAGTGAGTGAGTGAGTGAGTGAGTGAGTGAGTGAGTGAGTGAGTGAGTGTGACTTGGGGTAAAGCCACTTTGAGCTGTATTCCAGTTATGTATATATGTATGTCAGCGTGATGTGGGAGGAGAGCCCGAAGTGGTCTCAGACATTTACAACCCTGGTGAAACCCAAGAGCAGATAAACCTAGAAGTAGAAACATAATCGGGGCAAACTGGGATTCAAACTCATGGATCACAGGTTTCTGATGAACTCAAGGGATGCAACTCTGTGAATTCTGGCTCCTTAGACGACTGCGCCAACAGTGCCTTCACAACTGTGTTGGTTGGTTGGTTGGTTTGTTGTTTAACGCCGCACTCAGCAATATTCCAGCTATATGACGGCGGTCTGTAAATAATCGAGTCTGGACCAGACAATCCAGTGATTGACATCATGAGGAATAGGGATACAATGACATGCATGAACCAAGTCAGCGAGCCTGACCACACGATCCCGTTAGTCGCCTTTTACGACAAGCATAGTCGCCTTTTATGGCAAGCATGGGTTGCTGAAAACCTATTCTACCCCGGATCTTCATGGGTCTCACAACTGTGAATCCATCCTACAGAAATGTCCTTTATACAGGGTTTTGTCCTGAGTTTACACAGGCCATCACACGATATGTCAGTGCACATTAACGGATACATGGACATATTTATACCCCCAGTTCCCAAACTATTTAACGGCCAATTTAACTGTCGCTACGTTCCAAAAGTAGTAACTACAGTCATAGACGATATAATATATATTATTACTTGCCCATGAAGAGATCACCCGTTTAATAAACATACAGGTGATATATACATTGTGTAATACCAAAACGCGTGCTTATGTACTCTCGGAACACGTTTCACGAACAAATATTGAAAGCTTTCAACATCCCTTGGCTTATTCAACAACATTGCGTGTGGAGTTGATAGATCACTGAGAGGAGCTTATGCACACTCAATGACCCCAGCAACCTTGTTGCTAGGCTGGCATTGTTTCGCCGATGGATCTTGCAACAAAATTCCAACTATTCACTCGTTTCATAAAATTGGTATTACACGGGAGCTCGTTTAGTATTCTATATTTATTATATCGTCTGTGATACAGTGGAGACAAGAAGTTGTACTCCTTCCTGTTTTCCGGTCTGGATGAAAGTTTGAGTGAAAGCTGGTGCAAAATCAGAATTGATAGATCGTTACTCTAGGAGTGATTCGTATGTTTGCGTCAGCGACCAATAGATGTCAGATCGTGAGAGCGGAGCAGTAAACTAGCTTTACTACATAACTTCTACTTCACAGCTAGCGAGACTCGTACCTTGGTGTATGTCTTATTCTGTTAATTACTTCAGAACAATGGACCAAGCATGTATCAAAGTCTCTATACAGGAGGAGATCTGAAGCTCGTTCAATTGTTTGATGTAAATCATGATTCCCGTCTCCCGGGTCACTGTCAGAGGAATAAAACACATCATTGTCAGGAGATTCGCGAGCTTTGCTGCTGTCTGTCGCCATGTTTTGATCAACGTGTGTTTAGAGTAACCTGCCCTTAGCGCGTACATTTACCCGGAGAGACCGTAAAATCCACGAAAAGACCACATGGTTATTAGTGAGTGAGTATGGTTTAACGCCGCTTTTAGCAATATTCCAGCAATATCACGGCGGGGAACACCAGAAATGGGCTTCACACATTGCACCCATGTCGTGAATCGAACCCGGGTCTACGGCGTGACGAGCGAACGCTTTAACCCACTAGGCTACCCGACCGCCCCCATGGTTATAAAATGGGTAAGTGATTATGATTGTCCATCGTAAAATTAATATCAGCAAGTGAAAAATTACCTCCCCACTAAAGCCTGATGCTTATACTATGGGCAAGCTGCATTTCGTTTTAAATGTATCAAAGTTCCCCCGTGTTTGTGTTGTTGTTGTTTTATATATTTATATATTTATTATTGGGGGGGGGGGGGGGGGGGGGGGGGGGTAACATTTTAGCCCATGTCTCAAACACTAGCCATCCCGTTTTCATTGCACAAGTAAAAGCAACAATCTAGCTGAATTTTGTTATGTGGTTTTAAGGTGCTACCTTATTCGTCATTTTGTTGAAAATGAAAGGAAATATCATTTGTTTTCTGATGAATCACAAGCAGCCATATCCACATCACGTAGCATAACGCTTTGTCTATGGTCGTAGAATTATGTATTTTTCTCTTATTTTTTTTTCATTTTTACCCCCTTGAAACGTAACACGCCGACTTCAAACTGACTACCGCTCAGAAATTGTGTGGAAAAAAGGTTGACGGTATACCAAACAGGCATAAGGGACCGAGTTTAACCTCAAGTGCAGCCACAGCAAGGAGACCTTGGTACAGGTTATCACTGTGTCGCTGGGCAGGGTCAGGTCGGAATTCCTGGGACACTAAGTTCCCCAAACACGTGACTGTACGCCAACTCTGTATGTAGATGCTCTTCGTCACCCAGACGAGAGGCCGACTGCTCCGTCTCGTCCATAGAGGTAGGTAAATATGTAGTACATACATACAACGCTGGAATACATACGAGGTATCTTGTCGGATATCATGTTGATCTCATCTAGTGACCTGACAAAATGGTCATTTTGAGTATTCTGTCCCGCTCATCTTGATGCGTCAGGCCCAGTTCATTACTCGTGGCAGGGACCCGTGAAGATTCCGGGGTAGAATAGGTCCTCAGCAACCCATGCTTGCCGTAAAAGGTGACTATGCTTGTCGTAAAAGGCGACTAACGGGTTCGGGTGGTCAGGCTCGCTGACTTGGTTGATGCATGTCATCGATCCCAATTGCGCGGATCGATGCTCATGAAATAAATCACTGGATTGTCTGGTCCAGACTCGATTATTTACACACCGCCGTCATATAGCTGGAATATTGCTGAGTGCGGCGTTAAACAACAAACCAAACCAAACCAAAACTCGTGGCAGGGTCTGTTGTCGGTGACGTAGACACCTTCCAATACTGCCCCACACGTGCTCACTGAGAGTTAGATCGGGACGCAGCGCTTCCCATGGCAACATGGGGATGTTGAGCTACATGTATGCAGAAAACAATATAGGCACGTGCATTGTCATCTTGGAGGTCAAAACGTCGACCAGTGTTGTCATGGTAGTACAGACCCTCTCTGGTGTTCTGTCCTTCATGGTGGTCCCACCCCGTACATCACTGAACCCCGGCAGTACATGTCTGACTCTGACGTCGGTTTGTCTGCAATACGACCTCGACTATCGAGGATGCCAAGAGCGAGTCTAGATTCACCCGAGTACGTTACACACACTTCGGTTATTCCCCCAGTGACTGGCTGTACCGTTGACGTCAGGCTGCAGTGATGCGATCAGTCAAACTTTGGATTAACGTTACAGTCGAGCACGTAGATAAGCTTCATGAAATCTAGCACCAGTAGCCTTGTGCAGGTTTGTTTGTTTGTTTGTTGTTTAACGCCGCACTCTGCAATATTCCAGCTATATGACAGTGGTCTGTAAATATTCGAATCTGGACCAGACAATCCAGTGATTGACATCATGAGCATTGATCCACGCAAATGGGATACGCTGACATGCATCAACCAAGTCAGCGAGCCTGACCACCCGATCCTGTTAGTCACCTTTTACGACAAGCAGAGTCGCCTTTTACGTCTGAAGACCTGAACTACCCCGGATCTTGACGGGTTCTTTGTGTAGGAACCGTGGGGGTTCCGGGTAGGAATATAGGTCCAGACCAAATTGATAGGTGGTCAAGATTGGTGACTTGATTGAGTGCATGTCATCATATTCCAATTGCGTGGATCGATGCTCATGCTGGATACCGATAAGACTGATGTTGCCGGGTAGGGTGTCCTGACGTGACGACCTAAAAGGGTTTTGTGGATCTAGTGTTTTTGTATGGAGACTGGATATTTGCTCGGGCTGCAAAACCAGATATTTAAAAAAAAATTAAAACTGTGGGCCTAAATATATTTTTATGAAAACATTTAGTTACAATGTACTTTTTGTGGCAGATAATTATTTTTTCAACAGTTTGAAGCATAATTCTTTTCTTATATGAAAGTTTGGTGACAATTTATCTTTTCAATCTTTTGCATCCTCTGTTGTTTCTGAGGGAGCTGGTATATCATTTTCGATATCCTTCACTTTTCTTTAACAGTATAAATTGAAAATAAAATGCTCTGGATAATCGATGATGCTTTTTATTCCTAATTTATGATATTTACGATATGGAAACTCTATGATAATAATTTCTTTATCATATAATGTCAATTTGTAAATAATCAGAAGTATAAGTATTCTTCCATTAAATATTTTTTTAGAAATAGCGCAGTAATACAATGGACAATGTGAACCGCCCTATCAATCATATACAAACAAAAGATTTGCAGTCAAGTCACATTAGCTCTCACACATTGGGAAACCTCTATAAGTTTTGGGAACCTTATAAAAAGGTGTTTTTAGCAAGTTGGCACCGCATCGATGTATAGACTACGAAATATAGATCCTTCTCTATGACCTCATTTACATATCTACTGGATCGTGATACCAGGTAGGGATATACAGGCTTATCGCACCGATAACACTAGCCATTACATGATAGAAACCTTTATTGCACACCGACCAATACTTTAACTGTTCTGATGGATTTACTAATATACTCTTCAAAAAAAGGAAAAGCACAGGTAGATTTAAATTTTTTTTATTGTACCTAATAAAGTCGATATATTTAATTTAAAACCATAGATACAGATATGACATTTTGGAGCTCGATAGTCACATGTTGTCGTTGTACAAAGGCATTGAAAACTGTTCATTGTCATGTCACATAAGGCCACAAGGTTGCGCTGAACTCAGTACCTCGTGTGACCGCCCCGGGCAGAAATCACGGCTCTGCATTTTCTCGGCACTGACTTGATAAGTGTACGAATTCTGTCCTGCGGAATTCTGCGCCATTCTTCTTGTTACGTGTTGGCCTGTTGTGGTAGTGTCTGTGGCGTGTTCTGACGTTGACGTACACGTCGATCGATTTCATCCCAGAGGTGTTCGATTTGGTTGGGATCTGGAGATCTCGACGGCCAGGGCAAGTCGTTGATGTTGGCATTATGAAGGGAGTCTACCGTGACACGAGCTGTGTGCGGTGGAGCGTTGTCCTTTTGAAACTGCTCCCTGTGGTGGTCAATGATTGGAAGAAGATGAAGGTGAAGAATTTGATTCATGTAGCGATTTGCTTTTTAATTTCCCTGAACCACAACCAAGTCAGATCTCGTGGTGTAGGATATGGCCCCCAACACCATGACACTACCGCCACCGAAATTGCCGAATTCACGTACACAATGTGGGACAAAAATACCGCTCATTTCGACGACGATAAACACATTGTCTTCCATCTCGCCGGTGAAGAAGAAAACATGATTCATCGCTTAACCACAAGCGTCTCCATAATCTTGGACGCGACGTTAAACCCAATTTCACCTCACCTCACAAGCGTCTCCAGTTTCTCAAATGCCAAGGCTGTAAGGTATGGCACCAACGCAAGCGTCGCTGTCGATGGATCTGTTGAGTCGGATTCCAGCCTCGCGAAGATGGTTCCTGACAGTCTGGTCCGATATCCTCCTCAAACACCAGGGATGCGTCCTGCAGTCTCCGTAGCTGTGGCATTGCGATGACGTAGGTGGAACAGTCGAATGTAGCGATCCTGTGCAGGGGAGGAACCCTTGGTCGGCCGGTTCTCGGACGGCCTGCAGTGGAATTGAAGTGTGTGTATCCCAAAGGCGGCAAATGGTGCTGTGGTGGACGTTGAAGTGGCGTGCAACAGAAGGCAGCGATTCCCCTCTTTGGATACGTCCTATGGCGATGTTCCGATCGGCAGCGTTGAGTCTCGGCATTTTCGAACTTGAAAAATGTTGACAATTGAATGACAAATTGTTGGTTTATGCTTGCCTTTTTATAGCCACTACCACGAGTTACGAATGCAATAACTTGCACGTGCATTTTGCTTTACTGTTTTTGTCCATGACATTTTTTAACAAGTGTGAAAACAAAGCCGTTTAAGACATTGCAAATCAACAATGGCTGCGTTATGACGCACCATTTGTCGAATACCAGGCCACCAAATTTAAATATCGGATTTTTTGTGTAGTCAGGTTCAATGAACTTCATACTACCTGTGCGTTTCATTTTTTGAAGAGTGTATAAAATAACACTTGTGAGAAGGTATTATTTCTGTATTATGATTAGTTCTCATCTTTTCATGTATGGAATTTTACAAAATTATTCCAGGGAAAAACTACTACTTTTTTCAGCATTATGATGATGATCGTGCTGGTAACGTTCCTACTGATGTGTCACGTGACGCCAGTAACGTCGACATGCAACATGACCGCCGACACATGCATCTTCCACCTGAACATCAGCAGGCAGCTCACCATGGTACACAAGGGTTCCGTTGTAAAAGTGCATGCTGGGAAGGCGTACAGCTCAGACACAACTGTTTACAACAACAACACGGCGATCCCACAAGATGAGGTATTCGTAAAGAGGGACTACATTAAAATTTAGCAGTTTTTAATGAGAACAAACAATTTTTTTCTGGTGTATTTAACAGCATCTAGATATGTAAACTGGGAATTGAGTCAGACTGATAATCTTTTAAATATTGAGTGAAGTTAGATAGGCTTAATTGATCATAAGTCTGAGAAATCGATTCAATCAAAATGCAGTTTGGGCCATGCTTGTTCAATATAGGATGTTTTATCAATAAGTTAGACGTCAACTCACCACTTCCTGTCCTGTGTGTGTATGGAGAGGGGAGGGGAGTTGCTGTATAAGATACATATTAGGTTTTCGGTCATTGCTTCAAAACATTTAATTTATTACTCAGAAAATGGGGAATCAAATAATTTTATTCAATCCACATGCTGTATGTCCACAGAACAATATCTTTTGTTTGGTACAAATCTGTTGAAAATATTTTTTTAGGAACCAAATATTTCTTTTTAAAATTTTCCCTACCCACTCCAGAATATCAATTTGTCGATTTCAAACTCTTAATAACATTCTGTCATCAAGGTTATAACAGGGGACGGCTGGGCGGAGCCCCGGCCGGTGTTGGTGTTCAACAACCAGATGCCTGGACCCCCTATAGAGGTGTACCAGGGACAGAGCGTCCACGTCCACGTCACCAACAACATGGACAGCGACACGACGTCCATTCACTGGCACGGCGTGCACCAGAAAGGTACTCCCTGGATGGATGGCGTGCCCTTTCTTACACAGTGCCCAATCCTGCCCGGACACACCTTGGACTATTATTTTGTTGTACGTAGTTCCTTGTTTATCATATGATGTATATAATATCTTGTAGGTCGTCTGTTGCTAAGTGTTGTATGTCGTCTGCCGTTTCAAGAGTGTATGTTGTATGTCGTTTGGTGTTTATTGTATGTCGTCTGGTGCCCTGGTGTTTAGTGTACGTTGTCTGGTGTTTAGTGTATGTTTTCTGTCGTCTGCCGTTTAGTGTATGGTCTGTGTTTAGAGAATAACATGCACATTACTAGGATTCATCAGTCAAGACTGAATGTATATTTTTCGCCCGATGGCACGACATCTTCCCGAGGCAAGAGAGTTACTTTTTTGTATAGTCAGTTAACTCTTTTGCCCAGGGAAGATGTGGCTCGATTAAAGATATTTTGTTATACATTGCATCTCTATTCTGTTATAGCTTTTTGGTTGAAAATGTAAACCTAGCTCGAGGTTTTACATTTTCAACAAAAAAAGCCTAGATGTCAACTGTAAAACCTAGGTCTTGCAATTTACATTTAAAACCTCTCAGCAGGTCATTCTCGAACGTAGTACTTCTGACAAGGTTACCATGATATAGCAAGATACCTACAATGCAATAGGCAAAGGTGACAGTAGGTTTATAAAAAAAAATTCTTTCTGGGGTAATGTAGAAAACATGTTGTTCTCTAGACATGTTGAGATATCACCCGTCAGTGTATTGCTGTGACGATGATACATACCGTCGTCAGCTACTGCGACAGCGCGGTGACAAAACGTCACGTCGTTACGATTAGAATCAACGTAACAACTTGCGTGAAGCTACAGCATACTGCTCAGTGTGAATACGTTATGTTGTTTTTTGTATGTTGTGCTGTATGTTGCATTATTTAATTGCTGTACGTCGTATGACTTATGTTATGTGCTGTACATTGTTTATTGTATACTGTATTGTGTTTTCTGTACTGTTCGTTGTATGATGTAAACTGGCAGGCAAAAGAAAATATACACTAAACTGTACTCACCCACATACATCTATTGTCCCTTACAAAGATATTTTGACAGAGGACGGAGTCATATTTCATTACTTGCGACGATGCGTAAATATGACGTCACATTCCTATGGTCACAAGCATAATTGGGATGAACAATCCAATCAGAATAGCACAAAAATAAAATACTAGCTGTCCATACATCGATATTAATCATAAACCATGCACTCTTTTTACCCACAGGCTGACCGCCCAGGGACCTACTGGTACCACGCCCTTATGGCTGGACAGACGATGGACGGAGCTTTTGGTCCACTGATCGTTAGGCCACGGAAATTCTCGGACGGACGAGAATTCATCCTGACCATCCAGGACTGGAATCACTCCTGGGACAGCCAGGATTCTAAGTTGAGGGAGAGGCAGGGCTGGGTCCGGGGTGGTGCACCTCTCCCTTCAACCACATCCCCAACTGGATCCAAATACACAATTACAAGAGTCGACTCCGGCCTCGTGAACGGCAGAGGACGTTACCACAATGGCACCAAAGACGCTCCCCTGACCCAGTTCCAGGTGGACCAAGGCTTGGACTACCGATTCAGAACGATCCATGCAGGAACCATGCTTCCATTCAGGATGTCCATCGACAAGCATATGTTGACTATTGTTGCTCTGGATGGAGCTGACGTTCAACCCGTGACGGCCGAATCGTTTATTATATATCCTGGAGAGAGGGTGGACTTTGTCATCTATGCAGACAATGCTGAGTCTAATTATTGGGTGAGGGGCGTTGCTTTGGAGAGCAAGAACCCACGTGTTCTTGAGTCTGTCTTACACTATACAGGTGCTCCAGAAGCGGAGCCGCAGTCTGCAAGAAAAGGATGTACTCCCAGTGATGTATGTCTCATTGTGAACTGTCCCTTCCCGAACTTCACTTCAATACCGTACACCAAATGCATATCTGTTGATGCTCTCAAGTCCGTTAAACAGTACCAAGCGTCAGTTGGTAAGTCAACATTCAGAGAAATATTTTTAAACCTTGCGTTTCCTGGCTATGACAGTAAGCCCGGCTCAGTCAACGGTCGTGTGTTTGATAACTATCCACTATCACCGCCTTTGACTCAGCAAAGCGTCATGTCTTGCAATGCAAGTGAATGCAGAGACGACATGATTTGTCACTGCCCTCTGGTGTTGGATTTGCAACAAGGGGAAGAACTCCAGCTAGTTCTCATCAACATGGGCCAAGGTCGCGGCTGGGACAACCCGGTACACATTCATGGCCATCATTTCCACGTGGTGAGGACGGGTTACGCCACATATGACAAGACAACCGGCCTTTTCATGGGAGACAACTTGGATGTCGACTGTTTAGGCAATCCAGACAGGCAACTCAACTTTTGCAACAGAGCCACCTGGGGCAATCCAAAGTGGTTAAATGGAAACATACCCGACGCAAATCTGCAACACCCACCCGAGAAGGACACAGTGGTGGTACCTAATGGCGGATACGTCGTGGTTCGATTAAGGGCAGACAATCCTGGGTTGTGGCTGATGCATTATGGGAACACGCCTCACTTTATGGATGGCATGGCTCTGGTTCTGAGGGAGTCATCCGCTCTTATACCTCCCACCCCCTCGCGCTTCCCCGTATGTGGGTCCTTCCCCCAGCGACATGCAGGTACACTTCCAACGATCGTCCCCAACCCGACTAAAGGGAAGCCAGGCATTATAGGATGAGAAACACGTCAAAATTAACACATGCATAGCCCTTATGTATGTAAATAGAATTTGTAAATATTGTAATTTAGAGATAGCGTTGAAGATGAGTGTTACTTTTTAATCGTGTGTCCACTACACTCAGATTTAAGATATGACTTATTTAAATAAAATTACACAATTTAAACCCACCTTTAAGGACCGACCATTTAATTTTGTCTGGAGATCAATTTGTTTCAGCTACAACTGCAAAACCAGATATTTAATAAAAAGTAACTATGAGCCTTAATATTAAGAAAAACACCTTGAGACCTTTTTTTCCACAGTATGAAGTATTATTATTTATTTTTGTCGATAAAACACCGGAACCCACCACCCTACCACCTCCAACCCAAATATCGACTATCAAATGGTCGGTCCCTATGCCAACGCAGCCTCTTGATAATCTCTCATATTTGATGGTAAATGGGGTATTTTGTGTTTCGTAAACCTAACAAAGGTGGGCTTAGCTCTTACACCTTTTTGTTGAAATCATGCATTGTCTTATGTAAAATTTGTAAAGTGTGACACGTCAATAAAATATGTTTTCCCTCTTTCTCTCTGTATTACTATAATCCTCGACCAGAGGGCCATGGCTTTGATTTCTGTCTACACACTCTTCAAGCGGGTTCTCACCGAGGACAGCTTTTAAGGTCGCGCAAGTCAACAGCAGATGATACGACATAAGCCCGAACGAAAACGTATGGAAACAAAACTTTGAACAGGTGGCGCTGTTCCTTGGAATCATCACCCTCTATTCAAGAGCTTCTGCTTCACCCTCAACGTCACCCTCATCTAAAGAGCATATGAGTGAGCGCTCTTTTGCAAGGGTATATTTGGATACGATGCGCTGTAAAAAGATCTAATTCATTATCATGCTGCATGCACAAACAGTAAAGATATGATAAGTGTTTGAATATTCAATGATGATACAGTGTCCCAGAGTCGACTTCTGGGGAAGTAGTGAAGGTAAATGAATAAGGAAAGGTATAACAGAAGGAATAGATGAATATAGGTGTAGATAAGAAAACGTTGTCTGAAAGTCTGGCTGGGCATGGTTACAACAGAGTACCTGACGCTCTCCTTGTGCACTAACTGTAGCTGCACACTGTTCACTGTGTCATTGTGTGGTCACGTACAACTCTTATGCAAAAGATCTGAGTTAACGTCAGTTTCCTTAACGAGCCATGACAATGAACGGCGTGTCACCGAAGTCACTCGGATGCCATCGGCTTAATCCGCTGCCTACGTAATTCCACTGGAGTGGTGATCCTGCCGCATAAGTACTTTAAGCCGATGTTTTAACAACCGTTTATAACAAACTTAGTGGACATTAGGTCTATGATTTTATTCAGCGCAAAAATCAAACAGACTCGCTTTGTTAATTTATAAAAGGGTCGAGATATTGTCGCGAGTGTTGTTTCATCTGAAAGTCGCGTGAACAAAACTATTTCCAATATGGAATCCTCTCAGTGATGACCGAGATAAAATTGTTATGTTGGAGCCGAGTGTCACTTCAGTGTAAATAGAGTTATCTGCCCCTGTGTACTAAACTTCTACATCTTGTTGAAAATGGCACATCAGGTGCAGAGAAAGTAAGTTAATTTTCTTAGCCATGCTTGCCTGCTCTCAAGCATGGCTCTTCTATGTCCCTCCTATTGACCAATCAGATTCTACCTCTCATATCTCTTGCATTTGTTGCTTCAAACAACATGGCGTCGCCCAGTGAAAACGTTCTGATCGATAATCAAACTCTGTATTGTGATAAAAGGGGTCTTACTTTGCGAAGTGCATCAAATCAGGTAACATCTGGATTAAAAACATGAAAGGTTTGAGAAATAACTGTTGACGCCGATTTGGCGGTACATATGCTTTGGAAATCCTGCAATCGAACCGAAAACTGCACGGCAGTTTACGAACCGGATGTCGATTTCGTTACGCGATTTTGATTGGACTATGCATTGGACTCGTTAGGCCAGTCACAAGATATCTCCGTAATTCCAGCCCAGGTCGGCAAGAGCGGAAACTGGACTTTTACAGTCAGTTAACGCCCTTGCCTCGGAAAGATAGCTTGTGTATTGTCAATCTGCTCACACTTTCAACCATGAGAACGTCTCCTGACCTGTCTCCTCACACGTACACAGACGTGCTACATCTGTTACCATGACTACGCTAGGCGTTGATGACATTCATTCACTCGCTGTCACTGAAAACAATCTCGGAACGAAGCCTTCAGAAACAAAGTAATTTGTTGAAAGACTTCCCTGAGAACGCTTTACATGGCCAGAAATAAAAACCGTATTGTCTCTCAAACAACGTCCGCATACACAAGTGCATTGCTTAAAGCGCATACAAGCCTCGCTGACACAGTATCCCTGCTGAAAACACCTGTTCGTAGTGGAGAGTGCATCATGATTTCCTGGGTGATCGAAAGTCAACCCCGACAGATGTGGGCACTTTCTTTCGCCTCCGCGATGTGTTGTACGAATCAGGTAAGATTTACTGCAACGGCTAACTATACTGGGCATGGGGTTTTTCCAAGTAAATTCAAGAGACGGGCGGCACTGATGTATTGCTGCTGTCCGTCCCCGTGATGTGCAGCATGTACATGGAGGTTAGGACGTTCGCCGGGCGGTTGGATCTCGTTTGAGAAGAGGATACCTAGAGGGAAGGTAAGTCTCGCATTATACTGATGATGATGATGATGATGATTGCTGTTGGTTTGTGATTCCAGCAGGGGCATTTAGTTGATTTAAACAGACATATTGTATTGTCAAAAAGACAAATGGATGGGATTACTAGGTGTGGACGTTTCATAGTCTTCAATGTAGACACGTTTCCTTGCAGCAACATTTATTAAGGTTCGCCCTGATTATGTTTCCAGGTTTGTCAGCACCATAGCCGTGCTCGTGAGTTTCACGTGCGTAGTAAAATCCTCGGACCTGCATCACTTTCAGCTTTCGTGCCACGTCAAGCTGACACGCCGTGCTATAACTGAACCACTGTTCAAAGCGGCGTCTCACTCACTCACTCACTCACTGTGAGTTAAGATATGGGTCCGTGCTACAAAGCGACCTTAGCTTCTTTTTACTTTGACGAGAGGCCGATCACATGACCAAGAAACTGATGTCGTTAGCGTATGAACGAGCGTGTTAACGTCTAAAGGTTTTACCGGGACTGGTTGATAAATGACATAAATACACTTTAATCTGGCATTCTGCATTCATTTGTGATTTGTGTTTTGATTGCGCGTTCTTGACAGAATATCCTCGCTTCGACCCATATCATCACATTAGATCACTTCTGATCACATGCCGTCACATGAGAATCACTTCTGATCACGTCATCACATAGGATCACTTCTGAACACGTCATCACATAGGATCATTTCTATCACATAGGATCACTTCCGATCCAGCAAGTTCGCATGTTTTGTTTGTTTGTTTAACGCCACACTCAGCAATATTCCAGCTATATGACGGCGGTCTGTAAATAATCGAGTCTGGACTATGAAATCCAGTGATTGACATCATGAGCATCGATCAACCAAGTCAGCGAGTCTGACCACCCGATCCCGTTAGTCGCCTCTTACGACAAGTATAGTCGCCTTTTACGACAAGCATGGGTTGCTGAAGACCTATTCTACACCGGATCTTCACGCGTCGGTTCGCATGTCATCACCTAAGATCACAAATCTCAAAAGATAACATATTATCTCCTAAGATCACATATCATCACATATCTCAATCTCCTGAGATAACAGATTTCCTAAGACCACATATGATCGCATATTACATATCTCCTAAAATCACATATAATCTAATATCATCTCCTGAGATCCCATGTGATTCAAAATTATCCCATATGATCCCATATGACCATATATAATCTCATATCATCTCTTGGGATCATATATGATCGCAAATGATCCCATATCTCCTAATATCCCATATCATCTCCTTATATCACATGACATCACATATCTCCCAAAATCACATATACTCTCATATCATCTCTTGAGATCATATATATGAACAAAACTACACAAACAAGTGTGAGAACGCGTGGAATAGCGACTGTTGTAAATGCTGTTACACTTTGCTGGCTAAAGAATTTAACATGTACATTCCAAAATGATCTTTTTTGAAACGGAGCTTTCGTCAATACCGCTATTTTTCCGCTGTATTTTCGTATATAGTGTGTACTGTATCAAAGGAAATATTGTTGACATTTCAATTAATCAGAGGTGACAGTTAATTATTATTATGTTCATTAAATAATGAATATAGTTCCAGGCTCCCGCTTCTGTTTAATTAGCAACAATTAAGTCATTTATCTCCCGCTGAAGGCACCGTGTTGGCCATGTCCAGCAGCCAGCCACGTTGACGAGAAACCGGAAGTAGAAACAACTGTTGACCTTCACGATGTTTGTGAATTACCCTTGAATGATTGAGTTTCATCCCTCGAATTTCATTGACGAATGTGGAGGCAAACGTATGACAGCATATACTCAACTCTTACTTCCCATGTAGTGGGTGAGATAACATGAGTGGGATAAAATGAGTAAGTAATGTATGCAATTGTTGTTACTGTTAATCCTCTACTGTATATCCTCCACCTACTATATATATTCTGTACAATGTCCCTCATTCAGTCCCTCATGCTTGACAACGGTATAAGGATCTATACCGAAACGTCGCTTTTTACAGTATTAAAGAGGTTTTTATCCATAAATTGTGTCTACTTTGCCTCATAAATATATTATTGTGCCCTCAGAGGTAGCCTCGGAAATTCGTTTTTATCATATTTAACTTGCCCTCAGAGTTAAATCCTACTTGAACAAGACACAAATGTGTACAATGTTTACATTTTCTGTCAGTTTTCTTCAGTTCTGATTTGAAGTTGAAGTTGAAGCATTGACAACTGATTCGGAAATATAGCGCTAAGATACTACAGGTCAATGAGGACTACCATCATTGGCTTTGCAATTGTCCTCCGCAAAAATTTAGTAGTCTCGGGCTAGTGGACTAGCCTGAACATCGAAGGCTGTAAACGTAATATTTATTCCCTGTGCTGTCCAACCTCAAACTAAGGGAACTGAGACTTTTATCCGAATTCAAAGTCTTGAATTGTTCCCTAAGAAGTTATAGTTCTTTCTTGTTCAGTGAGTGAGTGAGTGAGTATGGTTTTACGCCGCTTTTAGCAATATTCCAGCAATATCACGGCGGGGGACACCAGAAATGGGCTTCACACATTGTACCCATGTCGGGATTCGAACCCGGGTCTTCGGCGTGACGAGCGAACGCTTTAACCACTAGGCTACCCGACCGCCCCTTCTTGTTCAGATTTCTAGTGTAAACATGTAAAATGCGCATCTTTTATTCATTAATATCTAGTTTGAAGAGGGGAGTGGGTTCGCCTGATCGTTAGCTTCCTCGGTCATATTACTGTTTACCCAGCTCAATGACACAACATTTGATCATTCTTGCAATACATTCGGGGGTGGGGTGGGGGGTGGGGTGGGGGTGGGGGGGGGGGGGTGGGGGTGGGGGGTGG